ATGGATGTGGATGCGCAGGTAGTGGCCGAATCGTCGAGGAGTGGTGGTCGAGGAAGGTCGGTCGGACCGGGTGTTCGGCGCTGTGGTGTCTGCGGCAAGCCCGGGCATAATGCAAGGACCTGTCAGGTGGTGATTGAGACGTCTGGGGAAGAGTATAGTGAGTAGTTTGAATTAATTAAATGGTTTATGATATTTTTATTGCGGTTTTAGTCCTAGAGGTTAAGATTTCTGTCACGCTCGCTTGTCTGTCACGCTCGCTTATCATATACGTTAGCTTATAATATTCTTATTAAGCCTATAGGTAAATAATTAGTTAATCTAGGTATTTTAATATCTTAGCTAATACCTTATTATAATCTAATATATATTAGGGATTATTAACCTAATTAGAGATACCCTCTTATAGCTACTAGGGGCCTAATTACTATTAAATAATAATAAGAGAGAGCTTAATTAAGGATAAGATACTAGGGGACTATATAATATTATTTATTATTACTTAGAAGTATTAATAAGCCCTATTATTAAAACCGCTATCTTATAGTAATATAAGACTAATATATAGTAAAAAAGTATCTTTAAATAATTAAGGGACTAAAATAAGTAAAATAGCCTAGTATTTATCTATTAATATAGCTTATTATACCTAGTTAAATATAATAGCTATTATTAGCTTTATATTCCTAATTAAATAATAATAGACCTAATATAGGATATATATAACTAAAAGTTTTACCTAAGTCCTAAGATAATAAAAGAAAAACTTTAGAAATCCTTTATAATTAATTACCTTAACTATAAGGTTAAGGATATATAAAGGTAATATAATATATATAAATAAAATAAAACTAATAGAGGTATATTACTTAGTAAATTAATACCTATCTAAACCCTATTAATTCTTTTTTATACTATCGCGATAGATTTTATTATAAGATTACTAGATATACCTAGTGAAAGGTAACTATAGATAAACTATAGCTTTAATACCTTTAATACCTTCCTTATAGTTATATATAAGTTTAGCTATATATCCCTAGTTATTCTAGGCTATATAGAGTTCATAGCGAAATAATAGGCCCTATCCCTAATAGATAAGCTAAGGAGGTATAACTAAGGCCTACTATAAGTAATTATATCTAATTAAGACCTAAAATTCCTTAGTGCCTTTTAATAAATACTCTAGACTACTATAAGAACTAAGCTATATATATCTATGGCGTAGTACCTATAGTTAGATAGGGCTATAAAATAATATAATTAGGCTATTAAGATCGCCCTATAATACTAAATAAATAATAACCTAATAGCCCCTTAAATAATAGCGATAATATTATTATAATTTATTATAAATAATACCTATATTAATATTATTTAGATTTCCCTTAATAAGCTTATTACTAAGTAGAAAATAAATAATAGCCTCTAGTATATAAGAGATATAATAAACTAGCTTAATAAAGCCGCGCTCTAAGAAGATATATAGCTATTAATTACCTTCGCCTAAGCTACTATAAAGTATACTTATAATAAGAAATATTACCCCCTTTAGTTTAAACTAAGGGATTAAGTATTATTATAATTAAGAAAGGGCTATAAGGTAATAAATAATAAAGTAAAAAAATTTAAAGAAAGATAAATTAGCCCTTATTATATTATTAAGTAAGTAAGAAAGCTAATATATTACCTTAATATAAAGAATAACCTCTCTATTTACCTAATAATCTCTATTACTTACTTCTTACCTATTAATAATCTAGGGGAATAACTAAGCCCTATAATAATTAAAAAAGATATAAGGAAATAAAGAGATAATTATTAATACTTTAAAATAAAATAAATTATTAATATAAGGTAAAAGAAGTTTAGATATAATAAGCCTAGAATAAAATACCTAATAATCTAAAAGGGATACCTAAGTAATTTTAATAATTAGATTAATAAAGATATTATTAATACCCTAGAGGTAATAGCTAAGTTTAAATAAAGAAAGGATATAAATTAGGCGCTTATTAATAAGTCTAAGGTATATATATAAGAAGTATAGGCTAAGGATAAAAGAGCCCCCCTTATATTAAAATAATAGTATTTACTATAAGGATATATAATAAAGAAACTAATTATACTAAGAATAAAGGATCTAATAAAGAGGGGGCTAAGTTAGCCGCATAAATATATATAGGGGAATTCCTAGGGAAATCTAAGGGATTTCCTTATAATTTCCCTATTAATATATAGTTAATATTATTAATCTAATAGCTAAGTATTACCTAAGTACTAATAGCATAATTTATAATAATAATAAACTAATAAACTTAGTCCCTAAATATTTATTTTCTTTTTTTCCTTAGATCCTTAAGGCTTATTTTTCTTTCTCTTTTTATTATTATAGCTAGATTATAATAAGTAAACCATAGCCTATTAAGCGCTTTTCCCCCTATAATACTTAAGCCTACCCTATTAAAGACTTAACTTATTATAATTTATTTTCTTATATTATTACTAAACTAATAAGTAACCTTATATATAATAGGTATATCTAGGCTATTTAGATTTATAATTAAGAGGCTTATATTATTAATACCTAGAAGGCTAGCTATTTTAGCTATTAGATTAGCTATAACCCTAATATCTATGCTTTATTCTAAGCTTAAGTAATCTAAGATAGCTATAACCCTATTATAAGTATATCTAACCTATAGAAAAGACTTTATTTCTTATCTAAGAACTTTTATTATAATTATCCTAAATATCTATAAATAAAGAAAAATAACCTTATTACCTATAATTAGCCCTCTATATTAATCCTATCTACTTTATATAGATAAAAGACTATAATATATATCCTAAGTATATAATTCTTTAAGGACTTCCCTAAGACTAATAATAATAATAATAAACTAAAAGTTATCCCTACCTTTACCTCTATAATACTATAAAGATAGCCCTATAACTAAGGTAAGTAATTTAAAAAAAAAAATAACTAACTTTAGGGTAACTATAAGCCTAAGGAAAGAGATATTGCCGGTAATATATTAAGATTAATAGAGATAGCCTATATCCTCTCCGAGGCTATTAACTAATTTACCTAGCCCTAGGTCTCTAATAACCTTATTATAGCTATAAAAAAGTAACTAAAGGAACTTAAAGAGGCTAAGGGGATTAAAAACTTTTATAATTAAGTCTAGAAATAATATAATATTAATAATACTTAGCCTTTTACCCCTATTTTTAGGTCTTACCTCTAGTCTATTAAGTAGACTAATTATACTTCTAAAAACTTTAATAATATACTTATTCCCTTTAATATTAGCTATTTATAGGCGAAATTATCTAAGAGGGGCTACCCTAATAAAATAAAGGGAAATAATAATAATACCTTTATATAATTTATTAAGTAATAAGCTATATAGAACTAAGTCATAGCTATAAATAATAAAAGAAAATTCCCCGCGAGATATATAATTATTAAAGACTAATATAATATAAATAACTAACTAATAACTTACTTCTAGCTCTTATCCGCTAATTAAGCTATCCTTTTCTTTAATTAAGAATATACTAAGGGCTTTAATATCGCCCTTAAGATAATATAGGATAAAGCTAAGAAGAATTTCTCCCTTTCTAAGGCTATATACCTCCTCTAGATTAATAACTATTTTATATTAATAATAAACCTCTTACTATATAAGCTATAGATTACTTATTCTAATATAAATAAGCTAATCCCTAATATCTTAGATTAGATTATCTTTAATAAGCCTAATAAGGTACTTAATTATTTCCTCTAGGCTATAAGGAATACCTAGATTACTAATTATTATATCTTAGCTATTATAAATAATCTAATCTTATAAGGATTAACTAAAGATAGCGATATATTTACCCTAGGTAAACCTATATTAATTATAGCTAGCCTTAATAAATAGTTTTAATTCCCTTACTATATTATAAATAATAGCAAGGTTATATAGACCCTAATAATTAACTATTAGGCCTAATATAACTAAAATACTTATAATATTAGGCCCACCTAGGATAATAATAAAGATAATAGTAATAGAAATATAATAAGTAATAAAGGTAATAATACTTAAAAGGGTATATTAATAAGATAAGATAATACTTAGAGGAGCTATAATATATAGCGAGAAAAGAGATTATATATATAGTAATAATAAATATAAGGTATATAGAGGATAAGAGGAAAATATATTCGCGGGATATAGCTATTATACTAAGATAATAACTTCCTTTATTTATTTCTTACTCTTATTAATATTCTCTTAGTATTATAATAATAAAGCTACTATATAGAATATAGCTATATAGAGGGTAAATACTAAGGATAGCGCCTATCTTAATTAGGGGGACTTATTAGGGAAATCCCCGGGAATTATATAACTAGGAAATCCCTAGGAAATCTCTAGGAATTCCCCGGAAGGTTAGACCTATTTTTCCTAAGGACTTCCTAGAGAATTCCCTAGGAATTCCCCGGGAATTCCTAAAAAGATCCTCGGGGGAAACTAAAAGGAATTCCTAGGGAATTCCCCTATAAAAACCCCTAAGTAGACTAGAGAAATCCCTATTAAATTCTTACCTTATTATTATTCTTTTTAGAAATCTATACCTTATCTAAGGACCTATAAATTCTAAGAGGCCTAATAAGGGATAAATGATCCTTTATACTATTACTCCCTTATAAATAATTAAAATAACTCCTTTATAAAGCTTAAAATAAATTATAACTTAAATTAATAATTATTTAAAAATAGCTTTAAAGCTTAATTTTATAATATTTAATTTAAAAAGCTTTAAAAAAAAGTAAAATATAACTTAAAGGCATAATTATATTTATAAATCCTTAGGTAAATTAATATAGGCAATTATTAGTTATAATAGGCATTACGTAGAGGAAGACCTAGATTATTTAAACTCTCCTCTTTTATTTCCCTCACGCTAACGAGCCGAATACCAGCGACCTGTCCCAGCCAAAGACAATGGATGCAGACTCGACGATTAGCGTCCTGCGGCCCTCTATCGACGACACCTCTGGACCGAATACCCTCGTATTATCAGGCCAATCAATCTATTCCGAGAATGCAGCATCTATTCCCCTCTACCAGTTGAACAGGGAAGTAACCTCAACTTCCCAGAAAGGCTCGACCGTCATTTTTGAACGCGTCGAGTATGATGGACCTGGAGAAGCAGAAAGCATGGCATCGATCAAGCAACGGAACCGACATCTGTTCTATCTGGTGCACCCAGCAAACGCTCAGTACAGAACAGACCTGCCTGCCTACTACATCACCTCTGCGTCGCCCGACGTGGTTGGAAATGTCCAGCTCCAAGCCTCCAAGAGTCTGTTACAGAAAGTCGAGTTCAAAGCATTTCTGAGCGCCGGAAAGACTTCGTCATCCGATAAATTGTTCAATGAGGACAGCCAGGAGATCCTTTTCGAGGTCAAGCCAAAATGGAAGGGCGGTCAGTATCAGTGGATTGACTCTGCAGGCAAGAAAATTGCCCACGAGGAAGGGAAAGGGGAGCACAAGTTAGTCATTTCACTCCCAATTCCACAACAAACCAAAGACGCACTTGTGGCATTGTGGGCTTTGAAGATCTGGCATGATACTTTAGAGACCAGAGCGGCCAAGAGAGAAGGCAAGTTGAAATGTGCTATTCTAAACGATTGAACAAGAGGCTAACTGCATTGTTAGAACTTGAGAACTTGACGGGTCCGATAGACCCCTCTTCGTATCCGGACTCGAGAATGACGAGTCGAGCTGGGGCTCTTGCTGGATTTGGGGGAGCTGCTTGAGCCATCGATCTTCGGGCCATCAAGGGCCGGGCTGCAACTATAATAAAGAACAGATCTTCGACACATTATAACATCATGACCCGATGTTAACACAGTGGCCTGTTTAACTGCTTGAGCCATCGATCTGAGGTTATACCTTGTGTTCTCAAAATTTACACCAAGGAGGAATTTGGATAGTTGTTCTAGAAAGTCCGGTTGTTCTTCGCACCTGTATGCTTAAACCCACCACCACGTGCAAATTATCACGACCGAGATTACAAGACGCAAAGACACAAGTAATTTGAAAATCCTCCGGGGATATTTGTTTCATTTCTCCACTAAAACGTGGTTGGATTAGAGAAACACGTTGCAAATGAAGGTTGTTGACTCAAGTATCATGCTTCGATAGACTGTGCTCCTTTTTGTCCGGACAATGTCGCAAGCTTAGCGATATGAGCTTCAGCCAGGCGGTTAGCTGTTACCACCAGGCAGAGTTGGGCCTTTTGTGTCATCTGAAACTGCATGGCTCAAATAGCAAGGGGCAGAACACCAAAACGCTCCTTGATGTGATCCATGAGCAATCACCACTTCCATATCCCTCACCAAGGAACTAAAATAGACATCGTACTTTTTTCCAGAAAGTTTGACGATTCTCTGCCCAGTTCAGCATGACACCCAGGCACTAGGACTGAGCCACCTCTTCGCACCCGGATGACCATAAAGATGAGGACCCTTACCTAAAGTGGCGAGTGCTCCCATTCCCTAGCCACACTATCACGGGACTGGAGGTTATGTCTTGCCCTTCAGTCTTCTCTTTCTCTCTTTCTCTTATTTTCCTCTTCCACAAGATCACAGCTAGCAGAGGTTCGTGCTGCCTCTCCTTGCCTCACTGCATCTCTGCCATCATCACCCCATCTCCTGGCCTTTGTCGAAATGTCGCCCGTTCTCTGATTTCCTCCAAGTGCTCCTCTGCACACATGCACCCTCACTCATTTCCCAGTGGCTGGCATCGTCGCGTGACTGGCTTTCCTGTGGCCTTGTAATCGAGCCTCTGCACAATTCATTTCCCACCCGTCATCATCTTACCTCTACGCATCCCAAAGAATCGGACTAACTATGGAATCTAGGCCTGCCAATCAATCTCCGCTCCTCTTTCGTCAATGCCGTAACAATGGTCGGCAATATCTACGGCTCACTCCCAGGGGGGACAACAATCAACTACTCGAGAGGGAGAACAACTGTCCACTTCGGGAGGGGGGGCGCCAGCTTTAATATCGTGGGAGGAGACATTTACTTCACTGGAAACGGAGGTGGTCGACGAAGTTCTGGTGGCTCTAGCCGAGGCCGGGTAAGTTCAAGTTCGGTGAGATGTTTTCTCGATGGGCTAATTCCGCGTTAGAACCACCGCCAGCGCCGGCAGAGGCGACATGAGACTGAACGGGTTCCTCACCGTGCCGAGAATCAGCTTAGACACCCACGTCAACCAAACCCATCCGCGAGAACCGCCCAGCGGAGCTCGAGTTCGCAGAAGACCGGTAACCCAGCCGAGAAGGCTACCATGTCGAATTCCCCCATCGATACGGTCAAGCCGAGCCAGCCGATGAAGAACAACGAGGGAAGCTGGGCTGCGAAGAATACTTGGGGAAGCCTGACAGAGGAACGACTGAGGGTGAGGGCCGATTTTGAAGCTCCACCAAGTGCTAGGAAGGCCACTGAGATGGGGTCTCTCGCGAAAACGGCGGAGGCCAGCAGTCATGCGCAAACTACCAACACGATTCCACCCAAATGAATGCAGCTGCGTGGAGGGTAGGCTGGCAACCAGGCCATGGGTATCCCCTTGGCGTGATGGTAGGTTTCTTCAGTACACCCTCCTCCTTTGGTGGAACACAGACTAACATCAACAGTCCATGTCCTTTTGAGGCTCCCTGTCAATCCTGGCTAGATACTCCTCTACAACTCCATGCTCACTCGCCATGAGCTTCAGGCCCCTTGTCGCTCGACCCTGGCTCTAGCAGCCTTTTCTGAGACCGGCTGTGGAAGAAGTTGTGTGCGCGGACCAAGTACGGTACCCTCGCGTTTTTTCTGGGATGTGGTGAACTCGGTTATTGCTGCGTGATCCAGTCGAGCAACGATTTTGGCATGTGTCACTAAGGTTCCGGTATCATTTGTGATCAGGTAGGGCGTGAAGATGAGTACAGTCTTATTATCGTGCCCGGGGAGGGTTACCAAGGTAGACACATGGGAAATACGAGACATAGCCGGGTAATCACATTGATTTTCTCTTCACATAACATCTGAAAGGTTTTTCAAACCTGCCTGGTCACCAATAATTTGCGCAGCACCCATTAGGCACTTTGAGAAACCTGAATGGTGGTCATCCGTTGGTACATGAGAGGAGACCAAGCGCATTTGAGGGGGACTCGCGATGTTGCACCAACTCCTTGAATCGGATTTCGGAGGCATACGCCTTGACAAAGCCGATTAAAGCTAAAGATGTCTGTGAAATACCCCATTCAGCCCTAGTGCATCCCGTCTCCTCCATTACCCGATTTCCCTGTAGGCACTTCGCCTTGCTTCGAGCGGAGGTGCACTCCAGGCTCACGTGATGCCCCTCTGAGGTTTAACTAAGGAACCTGCGACTTCCCCTTATATACCACAATAACTGAGCTGCTTTCACCAACAACATGAAGACGAGGCGCTACGGCTCAGCGGCGAATGTCCCCAGATCACTACTGGCGAGGATGCAAGACCCTGGAGTTTGAATCAGCCCGCCCGAGGCCACGGTTCAACCCGTGTTGTTGGTTTTTTTTCTTCTGTTTTCTTGATGCATGCCTCCAATTGAACAATCCCATCTCTTTTAGAAGAGAGCTTTTTTCCTACTTCGATTGTTATCCAGCGGCACCCACGGATTTCCACTTATTGAACAGAGCTGTTGTGTGCTGAGGCATCGAGGCAGAGTAACTGGGAAGGAAGGTACAGTGAGCGGCACTGACACGCCATGCCTCATCTTGGCTCACCAAGATTCTCATGGCATCCCATTCGGCTGCTGCACTGATGACATTCAAAAGAGCGTAATTCATGGAAGCTAGAGGTTGAATATTTATCCGTTTCGAATCAGTCAACCTCCAGGAGCTGCAACATCTCGTGCAGTCTCTCCGCCACATACGAAGGGTTATCCGCCTGGATAAAATGACCCGCCCCTGGCACTTGGAAAGGCCCTTTGCTTCTCTCGGACATCGTGAGCTTAGCCAGACCTTGATTGTAACGATGCCAGTATGTGTTCATATAAATCTGAATAACAGCGACAGGAATCCCCAGGTCCATCTCTGCGCGCTCCGCGAAAAACTCAAAGTCGTGGCCTAGCACTTGGATGTAGGGAGCAGCTTCTCTAGCTTTGTAGAGAGGGGGCGAGTCGGCGCGCGGCAAAAGTTGAAACAGGTTTCGTCGACTCAAACCCTCTTGGCTTCCAACGTCGGGATGAAACCTCTGTCGTATCTTTTCTCTGGCATCTCGCAGACTCTCAGCCGTCACGCCAGGAGGCAAATTTGGATCAAAAGACTTGGCGTCAGGATCAGGGAAAAGGGAGACAAAATCCGTGTCGGTCAAGGTGCTGTCGAGAAAGAGGATGCCAGCAACAACATTCGGATATTCTTGAGCATAGAGACGAATGAGGGAACATCCGACAGAGTTTCCGACGAAAACAATGCGCAAATTATCAGGTTCCTCGGCATTCATCTTGTCTTTTGCGATCTGGGCGATGAGCTGTCGCATATCACGAACCACACTCATGCAATCATGGGCATGGCTCGGGTCTGCTGCGCCCTCATCGGCGGGATCGCGGTCGACAGATTGACCTTGTCCAAAGCGATCGTAGGTAAGAATGGCGGGAAGCTTCTGGGGGGAGAGCTCTCGGAGCCTGGCAATCGTGGATGCCCATCCTGCCTGCGGTAATCCGAGGCCGTTGACAAAGACGACGAGAGTTTGCTCAGTCGTCGATGTCGTAGCCGGACTAAAGCTGTAGCATAGTCGAGCAGTTGGCTTGGTTTCCAGGCGAATGAAATCGTACATAGTAGTGGAAGGCGTGTCGCTCATTTCGAATGTCTTGTAGTCTTGTTGATGACGAATCCAAGTTTCGGCTGTGCTGACGAGGTGAGGTTGATCGTGATGGTGCTGACATCACATGACCAAATGCAAAGATCGATCTGAGGAAAATACATTACTGATTGAAGGCTTATCATAATGCTCTTACTCTGTTATTATTGAGGTAAATTGTAAGGAGATATTATGCTGATTCTTTATCACAAAGTGAGGACATTAACATGAGAGTATGGACCAAGCCATGCTCAGTGGTAGAAAATGTGAACTAACAAACGGTGCCCTTGAACAACCTTCAGATTGTCAAGCGGGTGTATGTATTACTCAATTCTGGGTATCATTATTTTTGGTTCAACTCCAACAACCGCTCACAAGTCGCTCTAAACTGTCAAAACCCACGAGGAACTTTTAGAGCGACCTCGGCAACGTGTAGTCCTCCTAAGCTTGCATCGTGGTCTCCTCCATGGAGCCATCATCTTCGTATATCGGGGGACTGGGGAACAGTTCTTGGTAGAACGGTAAACACTCATCCACCGGCACATTCGACACCCTCGCAAAGTCGCTTAAAACAACTCGGTGCTGGGAACGTAGTATCCTCGCCACTCCCGTCCGTATGGATAAGTCGGGTCTTCCCTTGGGGAAATACTCCTTGACAAGCATCAGCTCGACGACCAGCGCGTGAGTTACTTCCACCTCGTCTCCGTGACCGGTATCGTGTGCGTAGTTGATTGCGCGACCTTTCGTCTTTTTCAACGAAAAGACAAACTCCATGTCGAGAGTGCCGAGCATATCGTCCGTGTTCCACCCGTTGTATATGCCGTCTTCTCCCAAGACGGTCACTTTGCTGCGCTTCTGGACCTTATCGTCCTCAGGACACTCAATCTCATTTGCATGGCGATCACAAGCTAGCGCAGTCGTTTTGACGGTTTCTTCCAACCTCCAAGAGCCCTTCCACAGCCGCCAGATCTGAACATTTTCTCCATTTCCAGGATAACTCGCGAGGCCGTCCATTGTCAGACGCACATTGTGGGTGCCATTGGGGTCGATGATGGAGCCAAAATGACAGCCAACCTCTATCCCGGCTGCCTGAAAGATGCGTCTAGAGTACAGGGTTGAATTGGGGACCAGTAGCGAGCGTGCCACATCGAGACTGCGTTTGAGTGTCACAATCCTGGGGACCCCGCTCAATTGGCCCTTTCGTCGAACATAGGCCTCTGCTTCAAACTCGTATGAGACAGCCGCAATGGACGTGTCCAGAGAAGGCGGTAGGTCGTCGGGAACTCGGTAAGAGAAGGGATACTCGTACTTTCCGCGTTGCAGAGTGGCAGTTGGCGTGATGAACGAGCAGTGCTTTAATTCGGTTACTTGGTTTTTGCAGTCCCTGCACCCTCGCCTTAAGGGTTTCTTCTGGATTATGCGGAGGAGTAAAGTTGCGTGGAGCCTCTCTACCTCGACGTCATGATGCGCGTCGAGGACCAACCGGCCTTTAATGAGAGAGCTGTTGCGGTTCTCTGGATCGTTGAGAATAACCGTGGGGGGCGTGTCGATTTGACAGCTGAGTGAGACGAGAGAGGTTTTCGGATCTTGGTGCTTTTTGGACAAGGGGGATTTGATCAATGCCGACAGACCACTCATTTGAAAGAGGCCTGTGGGAGATCTTGAACGGTCGGTTGATCGGAGGGTGGTGCTGGGGCGAGAGGCAAGTACGACAGACATGTTCTCAGGGTATGGCGAATAGGTATATCGTGTAGCTCCTAATATGGCTTTTGGGATCAATTGGATTGGTAAAGCTAGGGAATAGAAAGATGAGGAATAAGAAAAAGACGACGATGCAGCTCCGTATAAAAAGACCTCCATTGCGGTCAAGTCAAAGCCCAACACGACCGGGTTAACCTGCCAGGAAAGGCACGTCAAACAGATCCCCCATTGGATCTGAATGTCTCCACGCAAGATTTATTCTTGGCTAGCCGAGGATCACACAACATGCAGACGACGAAGGTTGGTGAGCTGATCAGAGACCCTGGCTGAGAGTGGCGGTCTAACTCTTTGGGGATAAAGTAACCGGTGCTTCGGCTCACGGGCAGCCTGGGTCAGGAGATGATATATTGGGGTCTCCGCACTTTCTGAAGAATTAAGATGCGCAAGTGTTAAGACCTGTTTTGATGTAATGCTTAAATGCTGTTATGCATTGTCATGAGGCAGAGTCACGATGCCCAACGATGGACGGTGAGTAGGCGGATGTCCGCTCACCCATGGCATGATGTTGACTGTGAGAATTCACATGTAACAAGTCAAAAAGCTCGGTACGTCATTGCAACCCTCGATTTACCTGTCAATCTAATGAGGCCCGCTACCGATGGATTTTGGTGCTTTGTCAGGGTCATTGTCTTCTCTCTAGCCTCTCTCCGTATTCACAAGAGCTGACTATTTCGGCGGATTACCAATGCGCACTCTCTCGATGATGATAAAACGAGGCTCTATTACCAACTCCTCAAGATGGCGGTGGCATTCTCGAATTCCCCAATGTCGATTGAAGCCTTGAAGGCTGTGGAGCAGTCGTGGTGACATTCCAGAATAGGTCTAGCGGGTACCACCACACACGCTTTTCCCAAAACGGCTCATCACAGCGAGATGATGTGACGATGTCTCGGGTTGAGAAGCCAGACAAGGCATTCCACAACGTCCAACCTCGATCGTTCCTATTTGAACCTCCTATTCCCACTCCATACGTCAACCCCTGAGCGATGCCGGCCGAGTCGCGTCCAGATGCCAACTCGAGTCAAGGACGGAAGAGTCGCACAAAGAGCTTCTCAGGATGCTGGACGTGTCGCGCCAAGCACGTCAAATGCGACGAGGCGAGACCGACGTGTAAACGTTGCCAACGATCGGGTATCGAGTGCGAGGGATATGAAGTTAGACTTTCGTGGACGTCGGTGAGGAACCCCTCGACGTTCCGCCCGAGGACCGCGTCGAAGCGGAAAGCGGCGCAGAGGGCCACCAACCGGCTGCTTCAGACGAGACCGCTGGATATCGTTGAAGAGACCGATTCTCCCCAGGACTCAGCTACTACAGATCCGGAAGATACCGCACTACCCGAAGAAGTGCCCGAAGAACCATTGTCCGGGGAATCCGCAAGCCGGGATCTACTACCAGAGTCTATCCCACCTTCTGAATCTACACAAGATCCGCGGCCACATATCCAACAAGAACCCTTCAATGGCGGGCTGAACTCCCGGATCTTTCACTCATACGAGCTACTAGGCCAGGGCCTGGCTACAAGACTATCATATGTCCCAGTCCAGCAAGAGCACAACCAGCAACAACCTCTCCCAGACCAACCCAGAAACTGGGAGCAGACTTCCAGCACGCAAGACAATATCAAGACGTCAAATGGTCTCACGCCTGCCAGCATCAGTGATATCAGTACTGGCAACCTGGTCATTACAGGTGTTTCTCAACCTACATCTCCTTTGCCAGTTCAGAGTCACGAGCAGTATCAACACGGGGGATCAGACGCTCAGACAACACGTCATCTGGATACTCTACACAATCCCGGCCTCGAGTGCGAGCTTTTGGAACACTGGACATTGCGTCTCTGCGATTCCCTGAATCCTGTTCCTGGGATTCATAACCCCATGCGGACCGCCATGATGCCCATCGCCCTTGAAGGATCTCGGACAGACTCAAAAAAGGCGACTGGCGCAACCGCGTTGTTCCATCTAATCTGCTCGGCGTCCGCATTTCACTTGGCACCGAAACGACCAACACCTGAGTCTAAAAGAGCTCTCGAGAACGTGGCACTTGAGCATCACAATATCGGCATCACTCACCTAGCCCAGAACATCCGCTCTGATGATCGAAACCAATGTGTGCCCCTCCTAGCATCCGTTGTCATGTGCATCATGAACGAAGCCATCACGCTACCTACGCAATTCTGGCGCCTTCACTTTCGCGGAGCTGTCGAGTGGGTGAACCACATTGAGCCACAGGTCTGGCGGCAGAGCGAAGCAGCTTCGGCTGTGTACCAAATGTTTATAGGGATGGCGACTCTTGTTCAGGCCCAGCTGCTGTTTGACGGCCACCAAACATCCTTTTGGCATTTTGCGTATGATCCCAGATCGCAGCCCGAACCGTATGCGCTCAACCTCGCCATTGGCCTTCCTCAGCCGATTCTCCAGGGGATTCATACCATGAACACCATCCAGATGCGTAGGAAGTCGTTGAACGGACAGGCACCGTCTCGTCAGGCTCTGGACCGGCTTGAGCTCGAGCTGTATCTGTCGGTGCCCGCCAAGCCGGATGCATCAACCAGCAGGGAATATGGCGATCTGATCTACCATCACGGCTGCACATTTTACTATGCGGCTTTGCTCTACATGAAACGCACTCTGAAGGATACTCCCGTAGCTGACGTGCAGCCACTCATCAAGCAGTCGCTGAACCATCTCGAGGCGATGCAGACGAGTACCAGCGAACGCTTCTCGCCCATGATCTGGCCCGTGGCTATTATCGCATTCGAGATCCTAGACGTCGGAATGCAGCACCGCATGCTCAAATGCCTCGACTTCTTCCTTGACAGATCGGACCTGGCCATCTGGGCACAGATCAGACATCTAGTGAGGGATCTGTGGTCGCTGCGAAAGGGTCCGTCGGTAAATCTCAAATGGCACGAGACCCTACTAGGGTCCATGAGTGACAGCTTCATGCTGCTGTGAGCGCGGCTAAAACTGCCGAACTGCAGAAAAAGCCTAGTTTCCTCGTCAATTTTCTCCCCCGTTACCAAATGAGCTTATCTCTTGGCGGGGCTCTCTGCTCGATCTCACCCATCCGCGATCTCAACTTGCTTCTTCTTCCCCACCATTACTCAAGTTTTATGCACGTTTGGGCTCCTATGGGTCGTGATTCGAACCTCTGACGATTAGCAGATCCAGCACGTTGCAGGAAAAGCCGCGCTGAGTTGCCAGAAGAGGTTTGGTGGGTAAGCTCGCCTTTGACGCGCCTCGATGGGGCAATGGACCCCGAATTCTGCACCAAGCGGTAAGAGCGGTTCAATGCGAAGTTCGGATGGATTTTTCGCTGTTATCTCTGAGAATTGATAAATATCTTTTATCTACAGTTGCTGGTTCTTGGTTTTGTCACCTTGATTGCATCCCCTCTGCACCATGTCGAGTCAAGTCACCCTCCATTGCGTCCGCCACGCTCAAGGTTATCACAACCTTGGAGCTGAATTCTTCAACTTGAGGGACCCCGCTCTGACGCCCCTTGGCGAGGAGCAGTGCGCCAAGCTCCGACACGATCAGTTCCGGGATCAATCCAAGATAAGGCTTGTCGCATCTTCTCCTCTGGTCCGAGCCATCCACACAGCATGTATCGTCTTTCAACCTACCCTTGAGACGCAAATTCTTCTAGCCATTCCAGAGGCTCAAGAAATTTTCGACTATGGGAGTGATATTGGAAAGGAGCCCGAGTTTCTGAAGGAGACGACGGATAAGCATGGGTGGCCTGTGGATCTCAGCCTGGTTGGTCGGGGTTGGAACAACAAAGATCTCGACGGACCAAACAGTCCCGTCAGTCCAGCCTGTGCAGCCCGCGCCCGCATAGTTCGAAGGATACTCCGAGAAAAAGCCAAAGAACTGAGCAAAGACACGGACGAAGAAATTCACATCGCCCTTGTAGCCCACGGAAGCTTCCTGCACTACCTAACCAACGAGTGGGAGAACAGCACACGCGGCTGCGGCACTGCGTGGCGAAATTGCGAGGCGAGAGCCTACAATTTCAAGGATTTTGAAGATGATGGTGCTTGGCTCGTTGAGACTGCTGAGAGTAGGGAGAGGAGAGGTGTTGAAGGACCTCCTGCGTCGTTGGAGAGGCAGAAGGATTTGTATGAGAAGACTATGGATGGGTGGGTTGGGCAGGGGCTGCCGGATTTGAGATCTGTTGCTACTGCTTCGGCTAAGGAGCCTCAACCGAAGCTGTGATGGGCGTGGGCTGGATGCCGCATGTTAACAGACTTGCAGAAACAGATGGACGCTGTTGTGGGAATTAGAGGGTAAAAAGGGATGCATAGCTTGACTTCCAAGGTTGCATATGTCTACAACCAGCCATGAGATATAGAATGGGTTGATAGATTTCCGATAGAAGCACTTGACATCAACCGGCTTGGCCTGCTCGAGGTCGCGATGTCCACGTAGTCTTTCGTTGGGAACATTGGGCGAGATGAATGCTTAAATACGGTTTGGCGCAGAACTCGAACCTTGGTCGAATAAAAGGGCCTTCCATGCATCCAGCACGCAACTATAATTGTTAAAACTCTATTACAAATGTCAACAAGCCCGTTCCTTACGAATATAAGAACAGCTTATCTTGCTTGCCAGCATACATCCAAAAAGCCAAAGACCCATTCGCCCTTGTCTCAACTACCTACCTATTCTACAATCCCGTCATGGACATGTCATGTATCGAAATCAAAGATCACTGCTGCCGGTGCCAGCGTGTTGCGGCCTGGCCTGGAGTCACGATGAAAAGGGTGGCATCACATGCAAAGAGGATCATCTGTCGGCTACGACCATCACCGGGGCAAAACTTGGATTGCCGTCTTCTCCAGTTGCCGGTTGATATATTTGTCGCCGTGATTGATCATCTGTCGGAAGTTGACAGGCACGTGTTGGCCAAAACGTGTCGAGCTTTTTGGACCGATATACGTCGACGCTATGAGCCAATTTCTTCGCTATCCAAGAACCAATACCTGAGATATTTGATCAACATCTCGCGGAGCAACCCAGATGTATGGGTTTGTGAGTTGTGTGCCAAACTGCACCCGGCGAGGAATCAGACCTGTCCCCGACACGCTCGAAAAAGCTACTATCTGGCTGGTAGCAGCGTCAAGCTATCGCTCCAGCATCGGCATGTCCAGCTCGCTTTGAAGTTGGACCGCCTCGGTAACCTCAACAAAAGGCAAAGGAAGTTGCTTGATCAGCTCACAATGTCTCACCGAGCCACCCTTTCAACATGCTCAACGATAAGAGGAGCTGTGAGATGCAGATACGATGCGTATCCCAAGATCATACAGGGAAGGTACATGGCGTTATCAGTTTGGACGTACGAGCAGTGGAGCGAGCCAATATCTCAGCAGGTCATTGAATTGTTCTCGATATGTCGGCATCAAGGGCTCACTTTCACAATGGCATTTACTGAAATGTCTTTCTGGGACTACGAAAAGGAAAATCTCGAAACGGGCGGCAGACCCTCCAAGGTTAGGCATGCGCTGCGCTTCGCTTTCGAACTTGCTCGACAGCGCCCAGGAACCGCGGTGGATGGCTCCTGTGCGAGCTGTCCCGTCGACTTCTCGGTCAATTTCTCGCCCGAGAAAATGATTATTCGAGCTTGGCATGATTTTGGGCCTGAGGGCTCGCCACTGGATCCTGCTTGGATGGTCCATGCCAGGCATCCACTTTGTTCCCCTAATGAGGCGTTGACACTTGATCACGTCGAGGGAAGTGTTCGAGAGTTGTATGAGTCATGAGGGAAGGGAAGAGAAGGGGGGATCACTACGTTTTGGGCTACAGTACGGGGGTGGAGAAAAATGATGTTGTTGATTAAACCTTGTACAATGTTGATGTTGAGTGATGAGTCACGAGGCTATTCACAAGTTTGACCACTGGTGATGATTGGCCAATGCTGGGGAGTTCTTTAGGGACGGGACTTCATCTGCTTTTCTCCATGGAATAGGGAATTCGCTCCTTCCGTCTGTCTCTACATCATCAGCATTGTGAAATATGTCTGGTGCGAATGTTGATGATGTGGAATTTGCGCATGGCTCGGGGTCTGGCCTACCCCAGAGTACCAAGAGAAATAGTTTAGGGGGAAAACCCTTATTGTCTTTCTACTTCCTTCGATAATGTGTTAAATGAAGTTGAAGGACTACACCATCTAGGCAAACAAGAGTAACAAGTCATAGGAACGCCTTAACCTAGAGTAACATCAGGTTTACGATATCCACACGCGGCGAGACATGGTATTATGAACCTTGCACATACAAAACAGCACAATGTTCATATCCAATTATGTTTGCCTATGCTCATATTCCTCCTGCCTAACACCCCCCCTCAACTCTAAGTAACGTCATCTCCATCCGGTACGAGACAATTCAGTCTATACTCATACCTCACCGCAGTCAACATTCCATTAATGCCCAAGTCTGAAGTTATTTACTGTTGATCAAATTTATACCGGCTAAGACAAATGAATACTATACATAACGTCATTTCTATGCGGACATGTGGCCATAATTATACAAACCAAAACAAATAAACAAACGCAATGCAAACCGCTCATTTTCTCCGCGGTGGTGGTGATAACCCCTGTTGCTCCTGATCTACCGCCAACCCAATACTCGAATGAGACCTCCTCTCATGCCCATACTCCATACTTCTTACACTCTCGCTTCCCCTGCCCAATGGCCAATTGTCGGATTGTGGTGATGTTGGTGATATGACGTTGGCTACTGGTGTTATTTCAGGTGTTGGGTTTTTATCCCAGAATTGGAAACCTCCTGGGGCTTCTTGCTCTTCGGGTATATCTCTCAGCTCTACTCGCTCGGGGTTTCCGGCTGCTCGTTCTTCGGCTAGGGGGAGGGTTGCTGAGACGTGTTTTGTGCTGCGGGATTGTGTCCAGCCTGTGCTTTTTCCGCCGTCTGCTGTTGAGTCGAGTCTTCTTGATGTGAGGGATGTGTGGATGTCGCGGAGGATTGGTCGGAGGATGGGTATGCATTGGACGATGATTGTTCCGGCAACTTCGGATGAGTACCAGATTTGGGACATGCCGTTGCGCCCTGTGAGGGATTGTGAGCGAGAGTTGATGACAGTGGTTTAATGTAACTTACACATGTAGTGAGCGTCACGGTCGTTCCCTTGATCCTTCCATCCAACGCGTATAGCCGCAACAATCGCAACACTATCACCTGATTAGCCAAACCTACCCACGTATTCGCAAAAATCATTGACTCACATCATTCCCAGACTCATTGTGAGACAAAGGCCAACCTTTTCCGCCCTCCGCATTTCTAATGAACGTGTAATCAACCAAGGAAAAGAAGCAAAGACAAAGTCCATAATGATGTTGTAAACTGGCAGCGCGTTAGCAAAGATGCGATGCTTCCCTTGAGGCGTAGGTGACTCACCATTTCCTCCCTCTTTGAAATTATCCCGAAACTTCCACCCAATGCAAAAGTCGAGCCGGTACCAGTTCTGATAGCTATCCTTGTCGCAAACCTTGGCCCACTGAAATATGACCTTCAAGATCATCCAGATGTTCATGGTGAAGATGCAGAACCACAGTATCCATTGTTGCCATCGGTTACTCATTCGAAGGAGCGTCACGCCGAAGGCCGTCTTGGTCCATGCTTGTCCGATCAGGTTGCCGCATGATGAGATGTTGATGAGGATGTGCATGCGATCATCCCATTGTTGCTTGGAGTTTTCGAGGACGTAACCGTTTCCGAATTGGTAGACAATGAGGGAGTCGGTTGCGAGAAGGACGCCCTTGTGATTTGTTAGTTGGTGTGTTGGTACAGGGGCATTAATGAGACACTCACCCATGAAACAATGAGTATGTAGTCGTCATACCACATGCCATGCCGTCGAGTTATCTTTACCCATAGCCTCAAAGCCAAAAAGGCTGTCGCACCGAGGAACAAACACCAAAGACCAGCGTTGAGCTCTGGATATGGATTGACGAAGCCATGGACAGGCTCGTCGTCGTCGTCGCGAGGCGTTAAGCTCATGGCTTTCTGCTACATTCTCGGCCGGCCGCGGGTCTCTCTGTAGGAAGGCGGCGCAGGGGGGGAAGAAGTAAAAAAAGAGAGGAAAGTGAGACAAAAAAAGAAGAGTAGAAGAAGGGACGGGAAAGGAAGACGAAACCCCGCGGCAAACATGGGTTGACTTCCTTTCTTACGTCCTTCTTTTTGCCGGTAACGGTATAACTTGGGTGTGATATGTGCAAGGGGTCCCCCCTTGTTCATCGGGTGTCGCGTTCTTTAATCGATTGGGAGGGGGGGGGGGGTGAGAAGTCTCCATCAAAGTTTCAAGAATAAGCTTGGAACCCACTCGTTGTCGCCTGAGAAGTATTCGTAATTGCTCCGTTCGAAACGGGGAGGGCGATAAACTGACGTAACGATAGACGAGGGAAAAAAGAAACATGGCTCAACTGCCGTATCAAGCTGAAACGAAAAACGATGCGCTCTAGGAACCCGACGACACAGTTAGAGTTTAGGTGAGGCCGTGTTCCCGCAGAACGATGAACCTGACACGAAGCCCTACGCAGGCGTGGTTTCAAGCCTCTCCACCCTCACCCCAGTAATCCAGCTTCCAGGAAGGGATTGCTAGCCCGCGCACACTTCGCTAGAGTTTTGTGAAACGATAGAGTCTGGCCTGGTTCCTGCAGGAGTACCCCTGTCGCGGGAGCTAGCCTGACGCTTCCTATACGTGGCATAACGCTCCCCCGGATTGATTGCCCTCCCCCCTTGAGCTTGGACCTTTTCTTCAAAGCACGTTGACTTTTTTGGACCAAGGCATCCGTGCAGCCATGTGGTTACTTTTAGAAGGAAATCAGTGGCAACGGAAATGTGGCCAGTGGCTGCCTCTCGGTGACTGAACAGAAAACAAGGTCTTTCGTCCGTCGTTGGTTTCAGTGGCTTATTTCTGTGCCCGGACTCTACGCCGGCTCCGGAGCCTCGATTTGGGATTCAAGTCCGATTCTGTAGCCATCGAGTCTTTTTTTGTTTTTTAAACTCTCGTCGTTGTCCGAGGCCCCCGAGCCGCAGATAGATTACCACATGTGAAGATTCTTTCAACTCCGATTGATTAATACAGGCTGTTAAGATCGCGGGTTAAGCCGTCTGCAGTGCTGTTTATGTGAGAACTTCCCGTGTCCGAGGATGGTCTCCTGATTAAAGTGAACAAATTTCCCGATGATCAGTCTCTTCGAAATGTGATCGCCTTCCAGGAAGACGGTACGGTAAGAAACACTTAATCTTGCAGTAAACAGCCCCATGGTTATTCAAATCCCTTGCCGCACAAGATCCAACAACCAACACACTGGGTTCGCTTGCACACTGGGCACCGCAAAATGCGTGCAGATTAGCATCATGTCATGCATCCAGTTATGGAGTCTCGGTGAAACGCGCGACATGGTCATGTCATCTTTCCCTGCATGGTCGGCGGGGCCGTGGTCGACCCATATCCATTCCAAGGAAGATTCTGGGCGGCAGTTGAAGGGGGAATAGTTTCAACGTAACAGAGGAGATGAAAACAAAAAACATCTGCTTTGGATAATTCGTGAGTTATTTGTTGGATTATCCTAGCGTGTCTTATCCTTTGTGCGGGCTACCACGACGACGGCCCTCACAACTCTCGTCCTATCAAACCAGTTGAACAACCGCCCGGCTAGTTTGAAACCACCCAGAGACACTCCGTATTCTGCGAGTAACTCATCCTGTCGATCCATGTATTTGACCAGTCCCGAAAAGACATCATCGGTAATCTCCTTGATAGTTATAAGCTTTCGGTCATACCCGCATTCAACCAGCTGATCTCGATATTCATTCTCTGTCAGGAAGGTCTTGAGGGGACATCCCATCATCTTGCCGATGAGACGAGCTTTGAGGATGTTCATGGCAGAAGCTGATTCGTTGATAAGGAGATCGAATGCCATGAACTGTGCATCGAGCTCTCTGGCTGCGTGTTCAAATACGGGCTTCCTCGATGGGGAGAAGTGGTATAAACAATCAAGAGCGAGCAACCATCGTTCGTTGAACCTCTCGTCAGCCAACGAGTAGACAGCATCTGCCACCTGAGGAGTCCACGTTTCAGGCTTTGCAGCATTTGCACAAAATAGCTTGAAAGATTCAGCAGTGACTACTCCAGCATCGTTGCCAGAGTTGGCTATCTCGCGGTAGATTTTTCGTCGTGATGTTTGAACCTGGGCCTCGTTGAGGGTGAGACCAACGTAGCGAAAGTCATCCCAGTTCTGTGACTGGGCGAGTCGTGCGAGTTCCCATGTTTGATCGCCGCAGCCAAAGCCTAGATCTAGAATGGCAAGAGATCCACGTGATCCGGCTGCGAGGAGTTCCTCGTCTAGGAGTCCAGCGGCGCCGATGACTTGCTTGAGCAAGGCTGCAGAGGACTCGTGGAAGTCCTTGATGGGTTCGCCGGAGGGAGTTTTCCTGGAAATGTAAGCCTACCACGGCATAACCAACAGTGATACTATAGAAGCACAACTGCAGATTTCATAACCTTACCAGTATCCAACGTTCATCCACATGGACGGCGGGGGAGATCTGATGTTGAGCTTCCAGTGCCCCAGACCGTAAATGTCGCTCTTGTGCAGAATGGTAGTGCCAATGAGCCCTGCAATAACTATGGTAAAAACAATGCCCCAGATAAATCCAGTGGCAAAGCCACCCTGAGTCGAGGATGAGTCCATCTTGAAGTATCTCGCCAACGGCCACAACCTCTCTCGATGTTGCGAAAGCTGGCGTTGTGATGGCTTCGTCTAACTGGCCTGATGTTCAACAGACCCACATCGCTAGCTGACTAAGAATTGTGCATATGCACACATTGAATTATGCTCGTATCTAGATCTAAACGAATGCTTCTCTCATAAACTCATGGCTCAATGTCAATCAATGTTCATTATTCCTCCCAAGGAATCACGACCCCAAAATCTGACGCGATCCTCATTGCTGACACGACGCATCCCTCAAGAAGAACCATGCCGTCCCAGCACCAGGCCCCCGCCAACCAGACGTTGTCCTGCCCGTTGACCCAAGCAGCCGCCGTGTCATCTTCCTTCTTGGCGGACCTCGATTCCCCTACGAGCTGCTGCACCAGGGCCTGGCCCTCGGTGCTCCGCAGCGTCCTTGTGAATCTCGCTCTGCGAAGGGTGGTGGCTTTCGATTCTTGGTCTTCTTGCAAGGGGCATGTGCTGACGACGACTCGGCTTGGCATCGTGTGCAGGGCCTCGGTCCGGGCGCTATCTGACTTGGGGAATAGCGTCCTCAGCGTCATGGTCTCGGATGGCGACGTGTCGGCGAGGTGATGCATGCAGGATTTGACACTCTTGTCGCTGTCCTTGACTACACACATATTTCCTCCGGTCTGGGGCTTCAAGACGGTGCTCTCGACGCGACGGGTAGGGAGTATCTGGAGCATCGGTCGCAGCGGCTTGAAGATTGCCCCAGCAACATCCGGCGACACGGCAAGGACCACACGATCGAAAACCTGTTCCTCGATGCGCGATGACCCGTCGACTGTCGATTGCCAGCGAACAATCACCGATTCCCCGTCCGAACCTGGTACAGCTTCAATCACCCGACTGTTTAGATTCACATCCTCCAGGCCCTTGGTCAACCTTGCCTGCACCTGCGAGACGCCTCCGCAAACCGTGTAGTGCTGCTGCCCGTGGGAGCGCTTTTTGTAGTTGACAATGTCGCTCGCAGGAAAGGCAAGGAGCTCGTCGTGAGAGCAGGTTGACACACCGCTTAGCAGCGGGAGTAGGTAATGTGATATGTATCGTCGAGGCAATCGTATTCTCTCGAGGTAATCGGCCAGCGACTCGCTGTATCCTGATGATGTCGCGCGTCCCTCCAGCGGGGAAACAAGGAAGCACGCCAGCGTGAACCAGAATTGACAGACAATCAGGTACAGGATCTCGATGATGTGGGCCAAGACACTGCGATTTCCAGGCCACGGTGGTGGCATCTGGTGTAGATTCGACGCGTGCACAAAATAGCTCTCGTCGGGTCGGTTCGTTCCATCACTGTTCGTAGGGAATGCCTTTGCGAAGACGAAGAGGAAGCGGGTTGGGTGCAGGGGGATTCGAAGGTGGTGATACATGCGCAGTAGGTGATGGTAGTAGCCGCCAGCGTTTGCGCGCATGGGCAAGTCGATGCGCTCAGTCAATTCGGTTTCTTCATTCTTGACGGTGACGGAGGCGGAATCGAAAGAAAGGCGGTCGGCCTGCGAGAGTCAGAATTATCGCGACGCTGATGCTTGTTGAGATGTCTCCCCACCTGCTCAAACAACGTCACCGAATACCGTTCTTGTTCATCACTGCGCAAGAGATATGCCGTGGTCAATCCAGCGAGTCCTGTGCCAATAACGGCGACCCTCTTCTGTGCGACGAGGTCATGCCCCTTTGACGACACCTTCTGTGGTTGTTCCATTGAGCAATTGAGTTTGCGCCATCATCAGCTGCCGCCACTGAAGTTTAGACTTTTACCTTTGGTCCCCCCTGCCGCTTTTTAGCCTCTTTCTCTTTCCTTTTTTTCCCACAACCATTTTTTTACCCTGATTAATTGGTCCATTCTTATTGGGAAGGTACCGTTGTGAGACCGGCGCAATTATTATGCTTCGCCGATGACCGGTGCAACAATGGCCCCGAGCCGAGGCTTGTTGCGGGTCGGTCAGCGTGTCTCAACAATGCCAAGTTTTTTGCACATGAATTCGTATCGCAACTCAACAACTGTCGATTTTGTGGCTTGATACCATGGTGAACGTTTCTAATGCCCGTCCAATTGGCATACTGGTCGGATATTTACTGACCTGTGCCGCTATCACTGCCCGCTGTCTACACCTTCTTTATCGCCGTTCAAAGGTTTCACCTCGGAAAGATGCATCTCACCGCCGTAATGCGATACTTGTCTTCAGCGCCCTAGCGGCCGTAAGCCTTGCAACCACTTGGTACCATATGTTTTGCTTCTTCCAATGGTCTTATCAACAATGGGCTTTGTCCGCGCCAGCCGGTCTTGATACCAACAAGCTTCACCTAGGAGAATGGCTTCGTGACACAACTCTTTTCAAGCAAGCTTGGGTGTCTACTCTGGAGAAGCCGCCGAGAGCTTGGTGGTCGCTTCAGATTTTCGGGTTCTGCGCTATCTGGAGTATCATGCTTGCAGCTCAGTGTAAGTGAACCAGAGTCTCAATTGTGATAGGTGCTAACACGGCTGTGGTTGTAGCCAAGAAGGGGAGAATTCCGCATCTCTGGATTTTCATGCTGCTAGGCCAGATCGTAGCCATTTCCTTTGCTGCGAACCTGTCTTTCCTCGCTTTTACCGTCTTTGATGAAGGGAGCCCATCAGGGTCCAAGAAGAGTGCAAAAAAATCCAAGCCCGACTCACGGACAGAACAAGGTTCCTGGCTGCCCCTTTCGTGGTTGGCCATTCTTGCCATCAACCTGGGCTGTGCTATCGCCATTCCAAACAATCTCGACCACCCACAGTTCATGTTTCTACTGTTGGCCCCTCACGTACTGGCCTTTGTGCCGCTGCTGGTGAATTGCGTGTTCGCTACCCCGGCCCCTTCACGATTGTCACAGCAGCCACCCTTGGTTGCCCAGGCTGCAACCATGGCCATCTTGCTTGGTACAGCTATCACGGGTCTTACGAGAGAGGGCGGGGGTTGGGAGGATATCAAGACTGCATTGTATGAGCATCCAGCCGTGAGCAGTGTAGGGTGGGACGTCATCTGCTGCTGGACGAGTTTTACCGCCTGGCATATCCTAGGCAGAGCATGAGCTTGAATGACTTGGGATGCTGGTTGAATCAAGGATCACAAGGTCAGGAAGTAAGACTAATTCACAGTCCGGCTTTGATTCTCCTATTCATACTCGATAACTCGCCATGTGAATGTTACCCATCGTCGTCATGGATGATTCCCAAACTTTAAGATGGGCAAATAAAGTAACCTTGCGTGTGTTGCTCAATTGCTTGTTTATGTCTGTAACTATTGAACATAGGTGGCCTCGCTTGCTTGTTGAGCAAGTACCTTGGAGGTTATTTGTCATTTCCCCCAATCTCGCCAGGCTGGCTAGAGCTGCTGGCTAGAGCTGCTGGCTAGAGCTGCTGGCTCCAACGTTCTGAAGAAGCCGACTCTCTCCCTCCTTCTCCTCTCTTTGGAATCGCTCCAAGGCGTTCAGGAAGCAACCTTCACAGATAACGAGACCATCCTTCGCGGGGTTCAACTTGCAAGTGGTGCATTTGGCACCTTTTATCGACTTTATGGCCTTGAACTTGTACTTCAATCGGAATTTTCCCCTGCAGAGCTCACAATGGGAACCTTTAAGGACAACAGGGTTCCCACATCTCTGGCACTTACCCTCGGTCGTTCTCTTTATAACTAACTCGGCCTGACTTGCACTGTGGACCTTTAAGCACCTGGGGCACCTTGAGTTGCCTTCGATGGGGATTAAGGCGGGACAGCGCAGACACTTCTTATATAGGGGTGCCTCTTCTGCCTTTTTACTAGGCTCGGCGAGCGAAGCGTTCTTTTTTCCTGCAGAGCTCATGGTTGGCGGCTTGGTTTCGCTGTAAGCGTCTGAGTTAATTTATTGGCATAAATGCAATGCTCGTGCTTTGCCTGGCTACTAGTGCTACATTTATAAGCAGAGCGTTCATTGAACATGGTCTTAATCAGAGACTTTCCATGGCATCGGATACCCAGTCACAGTGTTTGACACATAATTGCATTCAGGTTCAATCCCGCGAAGCACCACCCGTGATGCTATGCAGCTCCATGCATTTCTATCGTCTTTTTGGGGGATTCTGGCTTTTTCGCTGCTTAGGTGTGACTCAAGCAAGTTTGACTGGTGATTTGAGACCAAGGGGATTTCGTGAAAAAGAAAAAAGGGATGGTTCGACTTAGTAGACAGTGTTATGAACCTGATAGCGCTTCTGAGAGACGCTATTAGCTACAATAATGAAGAAGAAAGTTATTTAATAAATGCTAGCATGACAACTCTAAATATGAACAGGGCATGTATCTACTATCTTAGAGCCTATGCCGGAACAAACCGAGCTCTCCCATCTTCCTATTCTGCGTCCTCCCAAAGTTGTGATTCAACTAAAGAGCATCAAGGTTATCAGCAGCGTCTTCTCCACAGGTATTACTGACCCCTGAAGAGCCGTTACACTCACCTGTGTGTGGTTATGAGTGAAATAGTACTTGGACATCATCGTTTCATTTTTTGAGAACTATTGGAACTGCCATTACGTTTGGGCAAGCCCCGCGAGGCTGAGCGAGCCTACATTTCCCTAAGGATTAAATAGCTTCTTCGCTTCCTCTTCCTTCCTTTTCATTACTTGCTGCTCTCGCAGTCTTTGCATGCTTGGCATACACCGGTGCCATCGTGCACAAGCTGCGTTTTGCAAGTACCGCAAAGCACTCCTTTTGAGCGCTTTGCTTCCGCCCTGATCGCCTGGCGTCTGAGAGAGCAGGCTTGGCACTCGAGAAACCCCGGGACAGCCTTTTTTGATGCGCACACGGTGCATATGCCCTCTCTCTTCATCTTCTGGTAGCTCTTTTTCCTCCTCTCATTATGTTTAAATCTGCAGCTTTCACACATTTTGGTACCGAGAGGGACTCTGTTTGGACATCTGACACACTTCTGAGTAGCCGAACCGGGGTCTATAATTGGCTCGGGAGGTGGATCTCTTCTGTGTGCCTCTATGGCCTTTTGGCTGGGCTCAGAGGGCAAGGGGGTTCTATTTTGTGAGGAACTCATGATCGAGGACTTGGTAGACTTAATAGTGTGACTTGCTTTAATCAAATGAGGGCCCAATTCGTCACCTGCTGGCCCCCTATTTATATCCAGAATCCAGGTTTGATTGAGTCTCAATCAGGGACTTTTCCTCTCCCTCAGACATAGTATCACCCAGAAAAAAAAAACCTCTGCTGCTGATACACAACCGCTTTCCGTCTCAATCCCGGAAAACCATTACTTTAAGTTATTTCATAAATCTCAACTCAGGCCTATCGCTGCTTTAACATGAGTCACTCAAGAGTGTTGATGGTGATCCTTATCAGTAGTCTCAGTACACTAAAGGAGACGACGTACAAGGGTCGATTGAGCAGACGGACGCAGGTTATACACCCTTACAGCGGCAAAACAGACACCACGATGGCCATATCGACTAAAATGCCCTTAATTACTATCCCCTGTGACTTCTGGATTATCTTTGTGCACTCGTTCGAACATGACCCTACTCACCTCCTGAAGTGAACGGGCATGGATTTACCCGAGTCCGAGCAAGGATCTAATCCTCCGCCTATGCTAAGCCATTTCAAGCGCCAGTCAAATCTGACAGCTGCAACAACAACCACCTCTTCACCTCCATCGACACCGTCCTCACAGATTCACAGTATGGCCATTGTCGTACCAATCATGAATCAGAATTCCTCAGGCGCTCTGTCACTACCGCCGGAAATATGGGACAGCATTTGCGCGCTGCTGCTTAAACCCAGCTTGTCTCGTCTGAGGCTCGTTTCTTCTGGATTTGACCGTATTGCCCTACCCTGGGTCTACAGAAACCTGCGTCTTGAGGGCTTTGGTAACTCTGCTGAGCGCTTCATTGAGATCGCCAAGTCCCCTAAGCTTCGCGACCTAGTCCGAGAGCTCACGGTGGACACCTCGGTTGGCCTTGAGTTTTCATACAAGTCCAACTGGGCGTATCCATTCCCTGCCTCTTTTATGGATGCTCTGCCATATCTACGTTATTTCGGCTACCTTGCGGCCCTCCACCTCCGATTTAACGAGTATTGCGGTGAGGATGATCGGAGAGGTGTGAGCATGGAGGAGACGTGGGACTTTCGATATGGTGTCCTCGATACTGTGTGCCACTGCGTTGCAGGCATGTGGACTCCCGATAAACAGATCGAGATTGACAAGAAGAGCGAGCACCAGTGGCAGGAATACACCCGAAAGCGCGCTGATCCTGAGGATGATCTCGGCCTCCCGTTTGATCAGGTCATACAGCTCAAGGAGCTGACAGTCACGAACCTGGCCGATTTCTACGACACTCATCTGGTTGCCTCGGGAGCCTTGAAGAAAGTCATGTCCCTTCCAAGTCTAACCGACCTTAAGCTGCTCATCGCCACCGAGATTGACGAAAGCATGAATGATAGCCCTGTCTTCTATGAGGAGAAGTACGAGTTCTTTGACCGTCTTCCTGAAACGTGGCTGGCCCCCAGCATCAGCGATAACTTGCGTGTCCTGTCGCTGTACTACAATGAATACTGGGGCTGGCTCCCGAAGATGGACTTTCGTGGCATGGCTTTCCCGCGGCTTAAAGTGCTCGCGCTCGGACAATACGTCTTTAGCCACGACTGGCAGATTGACTGGATTGCCTCTATCGGCCAGGAGAATGGGAGTGGTGGTCTGGAGGAGCTGTATCTCGACGACTGCCCCATTATGTTCCAGGCTCTTCAGGCGAGTCCATTGGATGAAAAAGACCCTGGATATCCTCTTCTCAGCACCATACTTGACGGGGCGGCTGAAGATCTGTTCAAGTACCCAATGAGATGGCATCATGTGCTTCCCCGGTGGGCTACGGCTCTGAAGGCCTTGAGGGTTTTCCGCATGGGCCATGGATCATGGCACTTTGCACCAGAAGATACGTTCAAATCTGTCCTTCAAGAGTTTCGGGACGTTGACGAAGATGTGCTGCGTTACCGCCTGTCCCAGAACTCGCACAGGAGCTTTGCTTGTCCTGGACCGCTAGTCAGTGACTGCGACGGCGTTGAGGATCCTTTCCAGGTGTGGGAATCGGGCAAGTACGTGAACGGAACCGGCATCAACGGGAGTGGGGCATACAAGTTGCAGTATATCGAGTACGAGCATATCTCTAGTTCACCTTGGATGGAGACGTTCTGGGATCATATGTCTGATGATGAAGGCTTTGAGCCGGAGGAGGGAACGTGGGTTAAGGACCTTGCTGCGTTTGAGGCGCTCTGTTCTGCAGTCGAGGCGAGAAGGTGAGGGGGATTCGGAAACAAAGTCAGGTCTTTGTGAGTATGGCACGACCTCTTTCTGTTTACCGGCGTATTGTATGAGATTTGAATGGAACTTGTCCTACTACATGAATCTTGACCTAGTTGGAATAGAGGCGGCTTGATTGATAGGAGGCTGCTCGATCTTCTCGCTCAGTTCCCATCAAGGGCCGGGCTGCAACTATACTAAAGAACAGATTGAATAGGGAGCTCCTCAATCACTCACTAGGGCAGTCCTGGTCGAAACTAATTCACACAAGTAGTGTAATTTCCCAATGTTTATTTATCCCAAGATCCGTGCTATCTAGTCTTCCTTGTACACGTCGTACTTGTACTTTGTCCCTGGGTGATCGTCCCGCAGTCCAGCTTGACCCTGACCATACACGCTCTCACGCAGCGTATGACCTGCCTCATCACTGCTAGGTGCCTCTGGATACAATCCGCGACGTCGAAGCTCAGGAATGAGAAGCTCAACAACCTCCTCGAAGGTTCCAGGCGTTGTGACGTATCCCACGTTGAACCCATCCAGATCTCCCTCTCGGATCCATCGTTCCATCTCGTCTGCAACCGTCTGTGGGCTGCCGACTGAGACAGGGCCAAGGCCACCGATGGCGGCTCTTTCAGCAATGACTCTCGGCGTCCACTTTGGAACCTTTTCACTTGTTGCTGTGAAGGCGTCAAGAAGACTCTGCACTCTATGGGGTTCCTCTGAGTCGGTAGCAGTGAGTTCCTTGTCAACAGGTACCTTGGATAGGTCGATGCCAGTCCATCCACTAACTAGCACAAGGCCACCGATAGTAGAGGCATACTTCTTGACCTCCTCAAACTTCTGCTGGGCCTCTTCATCAGTGCGTCCGATGATTGGAGTAAACGTCGCAAAGAACTTGAGTGATTGAGGGTCTCTACCCAACTCGGCAGCCTGCTTGCGGATCGCCTGGACCTTGGGCCTCAAAATCGCGGGAGAATGAGACGAGACAAAGATGCCCTCTGCGTGTGATGCGGCAAAAGTAGAACCGGCCGACGATGTACCAGCCTGAAACAGGAACGGGGTCCTCTGGGGTGATGGGTCTACAATGTGCCGTGTGTCAATGTCGTAGAACTTTCCGTGATGGTGAATTGTGCGGATCTTGTCGGGATCAGCATAGCTGTCGAGCTCTGGGTTTGGGGAGATGGCATCATCCGCCCAAGAGCCTTCCCACAGCCTATCACTGTTAGCATCGATGTCTTTTCGGGGCAACGTATGGGCAAACACACTTGTACAAGACGCGTAGATACTCATCAGCTTGTGCGTATCTTTCGTCATGTGGAATCGGGCTCTCTAAACCGATGGCCTTGAAAGCAGCCTTCTTCCAAGAAGTCACGATGTTCCAACCGATTCGACCTTTGGTGAAGTGATCCAGACTCGAGAATCGCTTAGCCAACAAGAATGGGGGTTCAAAAGATGTGGAAGCAGTGATGGCAAAGGAGAGGTTCTTGGTCACAGCCGCCATGGCGGTGATGGGCTCGAGGAAGTTAGCAGGTATTTTTCCGTCTCTGCTCGTAGACTCACGATAGTTGGATCTGTCATCGGCCATTGGGCAGCACGCCGGATACAGTTGTCCAGGCTCCCTTCGTATGTGTCATATCCACCGTAGGTGTCTGCAAGGAACAGGGCATTGACGCCGCCCTTATCCAGAAGCTTGGCTAGGTCGATCCAATATTGCAAATCTCGTTTTGTTGCAGACTTGTCCACAGGGTTCTGTATGTCTTTAGTAACTCACTTAAGTAACTGAGCGAACGGGTCGAACACTGACCTTCCATTGGCCTGGAGACAGATGCCCAACGGTGGACATGTCAAAGGCATTGATCAATATTTGCTTCTTCTTCTCATCCTTGTCACGGATGGGGATAGAAGTCTCCGCAGCTGGTGCTGATGCCATTTTGAATTGCTCTCTGTTCAGTCTCAACGCCGGTTGTACGTAGTTGATTGAACTCAAGGCCGGGTTTACACTTGTATACTTATACCCGTATCAACTGGCAGATCAGAGGGGTAAACCTGCAAGTCGTGAGCACGTCTTCGGGTTCCCCATCTAATGCACCTTTTCTACAATGGCGTTTCCTCGGTATGGTGGTGTGGGATTTCTCCTGCCCTGCTATTCGCCGATATGGACCTGGCGTCATCCCGATATGAATGTCACAATCATGTCAAAGATTAGGCGCCCTCTACATTTGCGGGGTTGATATCAAATACCGCGTTTTAACTGCCGTCTTTGGAAGATTGACTAGCTCAATGGTGGTTAATAGTCCAAAGCAATGGTCAACTTGCGTCCGCAATCGGCGAATGAAGACGGTCGGTTGATGACATCGCTGTTTCTTTGCCATTACGCTGGGCCTGATTGGTGAAGAGTATGGTCATCTTATTTTGGGTTAAAAATGACTGGTCTATTGCACTCTTTCCGTATAGGTACAGAATATCTCTGCAGATAGGTTTGATGCTTTCATTAACGATGGCTGAGCTACCTTCGGCCGAGATCTTATGTGACTTGATTCTATCTCCAAGGTGATTCTCAGTCACAACAGCACCTTCAAACCCCCTCTCACTCGCTTGTCTCTCCCTTCCTCGTCTGGCTAACAGGCGCCTCCTTAGAGTCGACAGGGAATGTGCCATTCTCTTCCGACTGAAGTGCAGCAGGCTGCTCCGCCTGAGGACTAGAGAACTATTAGTGTCTGCGTGTATCTCTAGGTAATGGCATAACTTACTCTCTATTCTTCAGGTATAGGTGAAGTATGTGAGTGGCAACTAGCAGTCCGATTGCACACCCCAAGCAAAAGGCGAAACCCTTGGGGAATCGAGGGGCCTCCACGGTCTTGAAAACAAGTAGAGGGGTCCAAGCCGTGGAAGACTGGGAGATGGCGTTGATCAAGACCAAGGTGAATGACCGTTCCGCGGGTGACGCACGCAGTTGCGTATTGACCCAACCGTGAAAGACACTGGACATGGAGTATGCCGAGTAAATCGTAGAAAAGGCGAACCAAAGAGCTGCCTCTGGCACCCTCCATATCACGAGGATGATCAAGCCGATGATGTTCCACACGTGAGCCATGGTAATAGCCCAAGCCGGACCAAGTACCAGGTCTGACGCGAAGCACACAAAAAGTGTGTAAAAGATGCCGAGAGCAGGTGCAATAGTTCCCAACTCGTTAACTCTGGCAGGAGAAAACCGGTTCAAGCTCTTGATCCAGAGTAAGAATGAGCCAGAGCTGGCGTGAATACCGGCGTTCCAGAACAAGACGTCCACAAGGATGATGCCCCAAAATTGAGGTCTGATAATGACTTTCTTCAAGTCTCTCCACTTCATCTTTCCGTGAGATTGGTGTCCTGCGCGTCTGAGCCTCTTCTCTCCGACGTCAATGTCGTGTTGGTTGAGGACACGGCGGTTGGGTTGATCAGGCGTGCCGGGGAGGACGAAAAAGCCCAAGATGCCGATGGGAATGGTGATAACTGCACAAATGATGTACATCCATCGCCATCCTTCAAGGCCCCTCACGCCATCGAGACGGGAGGAGGCCCCGGCTTGGATGAGGCCAGCTGTTAGGGTGCCGAGCGAGAGACCAACATAGAAAACGCCGCCTCTTCGACCGATTTCATCTCCACGATACCAGGATCCTATAAGAATTAGAACATTGCCAAGAGCCTTCTTCAGTTGTAAAGACATACCGAACAGATAGTGCATCACGGGGAAAAACGCAGCCTCGAACCAACCAACCAAGAAGCGATACGCAGCCAGTTCAGCAAAGCTGGTCACCCGATATTGCAAAAGAGTAAAAATGCCCCAGGCCACATCCAAAAAGGGAAGAAGCCAGTGGATTGGGATATAGGTTAGAAGAAAGAAGAATGGGATCTGGCCAACGACGGCGCCGATGATGTAAAAGGTCTGAAGTTGAACGAGTTCATTGCCCTTGAACCCCAGGTCCTCCTTAAGACCGGCCACATAGGCATTGTCTAGGGGGTGTTAGAAAGCACGAGCAGCATACAAAGTCCCAAAAACTTACTCAGGTTGGACTGGTCAATGTACTTGACCCAGTATGCAAGCACAGCATAAGGAACAATAAGAGTATCAAGCTTGATGATAAACTTGCGCTCCTCCTTGGTATCAGTATCAGAATACCACTGAATGTGATACCACTTTCTCCTTGCGGGGCCAGCCATTTCGAGAAAGGATGTAGAAACTGCAGAGTCGAAGGATCATGCAAGGACAGTTGCATCAAGGAACGGCGCAGTTTAAGACATTTTAGCTAGTAAACGTAGCACGGGCCTGTGCAACAGAGATTGCAACGATACAGACTTTGCCGTGATCGGCGGTTAGTGTTGCTCTAGCATGGGAGAGTGCTGCGAACCCATGCAGAGGCCATGGCTTGGCGGATTGCATAATCGGGTGTGTTTTTGATGTGACAAGCGCTGTTTGGAATCTTTTGATGCATATCCTTGTAACATGCTGCCGGCCGCTAGAAGGACGTAGCGTTTCCGAGGATGCGGTATTGGGATTCGCTATACCAGGCACCTGGTGATACCTAGCCGGTTGCACTTGTCCTCTTTTCGATGTGAATCAAGTTTAGGCCATGATTTCTTGTATAACTTCGGCCTTGGTTTCTGTTTAACAACGAACTCAAAGGCCATGATAAGATGGCCAACGTGGCCCTCCCAGCGACTTCCTCTGCCTGCAACACCACGCTGTGCCAACTCGCTTATCCTCGCTGCAACCCCGAGCGGCATCATTCCGACAACCCAAGCCAATCTCTGTAAAATTCCCCTTCTGGACGGGTGTCATGTTGAGTCGATCTGCTGGGGATGTGATGCTGTGAAGAGTGGGGTGGATGACGTGCTCCCCCAGTTTGCCATGTCGCAATCTGATCCTTGAGTAACGCTTCGCAAGTGGGTAAGATAAAGGACCAAAGCGAGTCAGAAATCGAAACAAAGTCGTCTTTAGCTTATCTCGCATCTCGAAAGGGTTATAGATCCCGAAGAATGCCCCTCTGCGTCCGACTTGGCGGAATACGCAAAACAGATAGCTTGCTCTAGCGTCGTGTATTGGACATTGACGTCTTGGCAGGAAGCGGCGATGGTGGTTTTAAAGGGCTCTTATGAGTCTAGAATGATCTGATTCTCATTATCAACTTCCTTGACACAGACACTTGGGTCAAACGAGGGTGACATGAGCCCCAACCAACATTGAGTCATTAACAAGGCAAAAGACGCCACGCCACTATCGGTTTTTTTTTTTTTTTTTGGCTATCTGGGTATTCAAGTCTTTTCTTATAAAGTAAATCCAATGGCCTAACAACCTTCACCGGAGGGCAAAGACCTCGACACTCTGGATGGTCTCCGAGGCGAGGTTAGTGATATCGTTTCTCGTACTCGACAGCCGCGACAATAAAAGACCCAGCTCCCCGAAGGTCGTTCTGTCTCAGTCCAATGCTAGCATAATACTATTTCTGTTAGTCTTCGGGTAATAGATGCCAGGATTTAAGCTTACCTGGAACGTGGCGTTGCTACCCAAACTCCCGACAATGACAGTATCCTCCCAGTTGATAGTCCCATCGTCGTTCTTGGTGACAAACATCTTAACGAGCGAGCTGTAGGCCTTCTTGGCGACGGCACCGTAGCTCTTTTCCTTGAGGAATCCAAGATTCAGTCCCTTGAGCCAGCCAAAGACAAACATGGCACTTGCGCTACTTTCAAGGTAGTTGCCTTCGACGTCCTCGTATTGTTTATCCATAATGTTCCACCAAGCTCCCTTCTCATCTATCGACTTCTTCAGGCCGTCTGATAGATTGACAAAGTAGCCAAGAAGTCTCTTCTTAGCAGGGTGGTTGTCAGGGAAAAGTGGAATTACTTCCAGGAGGGACATATAGTACCATCCAATAGCCCGAGCCCAGATCAATGGCGCAGCACCCGTGACGGGATCGGCCCATACAGCCTTTTTGCTCTCGTCAAAGCCGTGAACCAGGAGGTTGTTCTTCTTACGGGTGACTGAGTCGATCTTGTCAAACTGGAGGGCAATATCGTCCCACGCCGTCTGGTTCTTGGGCTGAAAGAGCGAAACCCACTTGGCGTAGAAACTGTCGGCCATGTAGATGCCGTCCAGCCACATCTGGTTGGGATACACGACGTGTCGGTGCCATAGTCCTCCTGTTGGAGTTCGTGGGTGCTTGTCGATCATTTCCTTGATTGAATCCGCGGCGAGCTTGTACTTCTCTTCTCCGGTCTTTTCATACCAGTACAAAATGTTGTTTCCAATGCGGTAGTTGTCCAATGAGAAATGAGAGTAGTTGAAGCGCTTTATCACGCCGTCATCGGTGAGAGCAGCATCTATGTGGGAGCGGTAGATGTCATTTAACGTTTTGTTCTTGCTGGCATCGAGGACGCTTTCAAAGCCAGTATAGAGCGTTGCTTCGCCATAGCCAATCCCCGGCTGGACACCAAAGCGGATCATGGAGTCTGTCAACCATTGCGCATAGGCTGGCTTGGGTGCCGCAGCCGCGGTCACAACTGTGACAACCGTTGAAAGGGTAAGACCGTGCAGAAACATGACTGTAAGAGAGACGTGCGAGATGGTTGCCTTTCCACATGGTCCTTCGTATGCATACTATTAAGCTTACTTATAGTCCGAATCTTAAACACTTCCGTCTTGGCACTCTCGAGCCAGAACGAGGAAACTGCCCGGACGGAATAGATGTGATTGTTCCCGCCGGATGATCTTGATAGACTATGCAAGCCTCAAGTGGTGGAAAAATAACACTCCAACCGAGCCCATAGTGTTACTCATTACAAAACTTTATAGTTGCAGTCCAGCAGGGAGTTGCAGCCTGACTTGCGAGAATCCGATTAGTGGAAAATTGTTCCGTCGAAGTTTCTATGTCATCCGATTTCCTGATCGGCAGTTGATCTCTTGCGGGGTTGGAACGGCATCCGGGGAAAGTCGTGAAAGTGCGGAGGATCCGTGATATCCTAGGGTATTTAGCCTAAACGTTTCCGCAAACTGTGGTGCTCCTCGCCTTTACTTGGCCTGGTCGGGATCATTACGTTCTCTACTGCTTCATTTGCATGACTGCCTGGGCGATGGCGAGGGTGTCCTCGACTATGAGACCCATCACTAAGAAACATACTGAACTACCCAGTCCTGCGCAATTGCTAATGTTGTTTGGCAATTCCACGCTGCCGTGAGAATATTTGTGCAAATTTATAGGCGCAAAGGATGGAGGCAACTAAGGGCAGAGTTGTGAAAAGCAGTTAAAGACAGAGATGAAGCTTGCATATGCGAGTAACTCGTACCTAGACTACGGCTTATACGACTGAGACTTGACCGATACCTCCTTGCTTTCAACCAGGTCTGCAGCATTTCTGCCAACACTGAATATGTATTCACCAGCCTCAGCCACCCATTCTTTCAGCTTCTCGCTCCAAGACGCAAAGTCGCGAGCATGGACGGGCACTTCAACTACTGCCGAGGCATCAGGCGCCAAGGTTTGCTTCTTGAAGCCAACCAATGTCTTGATGGGGGTTTCGGGCTGTCTAGTTCTGTTCCCCACGTAGACTTGCACTGCTATAGCTCCCCCGAGGTTGCCAGTGTTGGAGACCTTGATACTGACAGTCCAACTATCCTCGGGAGTTGATGAGACGACAAGGCCTGAGTAGCCAAAGGTTGTATACGACAGACCAAAGCCGAAGGGGAAGTTTACCTTGTCCGCTGGGAGAGTGTCGAAGTGCCTATAGCCAATGAAGACACCCTCGGCATAGTTGACGGTCAGCTGTCGCCCCTTATAGTCGCCAGGGAAGTTTCCGTATGCTAGACAATCCTCCAGTCTCTTTGGGAACGTGCAGGTCAAATGACCCTCAGGGTTTTGGACACCCGTCAAGACATCAACGATAGAGTTGCTGGCCTCTTGACCAGGGAACCAAGCCTGCACTAGGCCCTTCACCTGGTCTAGCCAGGGCATTCCAACGGCCACGCCAGTTGAGTTGACGACTATCGTGTTAGAGTTCGCTGCAGCGACTCCCGACACGAGACGGTCCTGACTGCCATCCTTTGGGAGGTGGAATCCAACCTGATCCTGCCCTTCCGTCTCCCAAGAAGGGGTATGGCCCGTAAAGACGACAGCGTAGTTGGCTGACTTGGCGAGATCAGTGGCCTCAGTGAGCAGATCTTTATCATACTCGGTAGCCGAAATGTAGTCCAGTCGTACGCCAACCTTGCCTTCGAGAATTCCAAGGTCTTCGCCTTCAACGTGTTCAGGCGGCGAGCTCGCGATCAAGATGTTGTATTGCTTGCCGGCTTCCAGGTCAAACTTAACAAGGGGAGCCGAAACTCCACCAAGCAGGAAGCTCATAGGATCGGAGCTCTTTTCCTCCTGCTCGTATAATAGACTCCCATTGATGGTGACCTTGGAAGGGCCTAAGCCAGTGGGGGTGAAGTAGTAGGTAGCTGTTTCAGGGGCAGTAAAGGTTCCCTCGAGCTCAACAGAGGTATTGACCACATCCAGATTGTTGTGGATGGAAACCTCGGAGTTAGGGTGGCCGTGAATGACACTGTAGGGCTCGGATTTTCCGAGTTCAAACATGCGCCAGGTAAAGCCGGGGTTGCCCTGGACATCCTTCACATGCTGGGTGATGAGAGGCAACTGACGCATGGTGTGCGCGCCTGTGATTGTTAGCCTGTATCCTCACGGATTAAAGGACAACATACCCTCGGCAAAGGTTAGTTCAACGTCCTGGTCTTTGAAGGCGTCCTGGAGAGCGTCCCATGGGGTAACCTTGCAGTGCATGCTGACAGAAGCGCTGCCACCGCCGTGGGCAAGGCATTCCTTTGCAAGACCCAAGATAGCGATCTTCTTCTCCTTTACCTTGACCTTGTCCTTGGTCAAAGGCAACAGTCCGTAATCGTTCTTGAGCAAAACCATGCCCTTGGCTCCAGCTTAACGGATAAGTTTTTGGTGCTCAAGCCTATTGATAGCCTGTTCCTCTGGGATCTCTGGGTTTTCAAAGCAGCCGTGGAGCTTGAGAAATTCCAATATGTGCAGCGCCCTGTCGTCGATGACTTGTTCTGAAACCTTCCCAGCTTTAACGGCTTTGAGGACGCTGTCAATCTTTCTCTCCAGCAACAAGTGACTCAGCGGTTGAATTCACACCACCCCAGTCACCACGAGGCCGTCCCAACCCCATTCTCCTAGCGACACGGTCTGAAGGAGAAAGAGATTCGAGTCAGCATGGCAGCCATTGATCTTGTTATAGGACGTCATGACGGCGTGGGGATTGGCTTCTTTGATGGCGATTTCGAAGGGTTTCATATAGATCTCCCGCAAGGCCCGATCACTGACGATAGTGTCGACGCTCAAGCGCTGGGTCTCTTGCTCATTGGCGACAAAATGCTTGATGGTTGCGGAAACGCCTGTCGACTGGATTCCCTGAATACTTTGCGAAGCAAGCTTGCCGGCCAGATAGGGGTCTTCAGAGTAGCTCTCAAAGTTTCGACCTCCGAGAGGATGACGATGGGCACACATGGTTGGCCCCAAAATGCAGCGAGCCCCCTTGGTGATAGGTTCCTCGCCAAGGGCCACACCCAGACGACGAGCAATGTCGACATCAAAGGTTGACGCAACGTTGCAGGCAGCGGGAAAGCAGGCGGCAGTCACGCTGTTCATGAACGTTCTACCTCGTGCGCCATTAGGGCCGCTACTCGTCTATCTTTAAGTCAGCACTCGAGACCATAGAATCAAGTCAGTTCAAGCCGGGGTAGTTGTCCGTAATTACCTTGAGAGCGGGAACACCCTTTTCGGGAATGGCCACAGTCTCCCAGAAATTGAAGCCCGCGAGCAAGGAAATCTATTCAAGGTTAACGACAAAGGCCGAAGTGAGATCACTATCATCACATTCCCTTTTCCTCAAGTGTCATTTTTGACAGAAGTGCCTTAATGTCGGTGGTTGCCATTGTGAGGGGGTAGAGATGGTTTGATAGATAAGAAAAAGGGGCACTTTCATCACGGCCATGGCAGGGTTTATAAAGTTTACACAACATCTACCAAAGCGGATATACCACTGAAGTGGTGAGATACTGAGACTTGGGAACTCATTGCCTGTACTGCCTAAAAAAGCTCCTACATTGTCAGCTTGCAGCATGTCGTGGAGCGATTGTGCATGGCTGCAGATCAACACGTATAATGTCAAGTCATTCTTGCACCCTGTCCGACCTTCAACGGATCTTTAACCTCTATTTCGCCATGGGATGCGTAATAGCAAACGTCGGTGAGCCAAGACTACGGTCGAAACAAGCCATGATGAAATAGCGGCTTGGTATTTCTTGATAATCCGTTACCGTGCTGCGTGCACACGTACATTTACCCGACCAACAAAACAACGTATGATCCAAAGAAGGTGTGTCGGGGCTAGAATCAGACGATCAAGAATATTTCATTCATAGGGTCAAGCCAGACACTTATTGGTTTAAGAGTGTATCGCCGGGATGACTTCGCCTTCTCTTCGGATACCCACCATCCTCAGGATGAAGTACTTGACGTAGGATCTGTAGGATTCCAAGTTCCACCTTTGCTCAGTGGACTGGAAACGGAGTCGTTAGCTACTACCTGTCTATCATTCTCAACTCGGTGGGAATCACCTCGGTTACGCATCAGACCCTCATCTCCGCTTGCCTAGAGTTGTGGAATCCCTTCTGGTCTATGCTTGCTGCGCTTAATGTTGATCGACTTGGCAGACGAATGCTGTTTATGAGTTCTGTAAGTGGAATAATCTGATACCTCAGTTTAGCATACTGACAGCCTATATCTAGGCAATCGCCATGCTAGTAGCTTACAGCATCATCACCGGGTTATCTGGAAGCTTCGCGTCTACTTGAGACTCTAGTACCGGCCTGGCTGTTATACCTTTCCTCTTCATGTCAGTTTCCATGGGCTCCCTCTGCACGTCATCACCATACTGACATCTTCCTAGTTACTTTTTCGGCTACGATATTGCTCTCACACCTCTCGTCGTGAGCTATCCCATCGAGATCTGGCCTTACAACACGCACGCCAAGGGTTTGGCGCTCACCCAGGTGGTCTCACTAGGTTTCACCTTTTTCAACACCTTTGTTAACCCGATCGCCCTCGACGCCATCCGGTGGAAGTACTACTTTGTATTCCTCACCACCATCATCGTCATGATCTTTGTCCTGTGGTTCTATTACCTCGAGACCTGCAGCCTTACACTTGAGAACGTGGCCTTATTGTTTGATGGCGACTCGGCCCACGTGGGTGTTGCGACAGCTGAGAACGCCATCAAGACCAGCTACGCAAAGCATCAGCACGTCGAAGAACCTCAGACCTAGAGCGCGCTTGAATTGGTAGAAGCGGGTGTGCACAACCTCTTGAGGTCGCCTCTAGAGGTTGCTCCACCATGATTGTTATAAGCAACAGGGTTTGATGATGTGCACAGATTAAAAGCAAGGCATTAAGACTCTATTGATTACTTCATTCCTTTCTTCCCACTTGCAAGTCCGCAAAAAGCATTCCCAAAATAGAGTCTTTTTCAAGTCAATCAAGATCTCTGCAACACATCAACTACGAAATCCATAGCCTCCTTGCTCTCCTTGAGCCCGTACTTGAACGCCAAAGGGAAACAATGCATTTGCCCATCCCAAGCCAACCATTCTCCCCTGATGCCCTCCTTGTTGCAATTGTCGCGAAATGCGACAGCTTCTGGCCCGAGAACATCATGTGAAGCTGTTATGCCGTGGACTTTGACGTAGTTTCGGGCTAGGACGCTGAGGTCTGCTTGGATGGGCGATACTCGAGGGTCTTCGAAGCTCCAGTCCATGCGTAAATCCTTCTCGTTGTGGCCTGCTCTCGAATCAGTCCCTGCCTGGCTCAAGCCTGTTGGTTCAGGACACCAAGTTCTAGCTGTGGAGTTGATGCACGAGAAGGTGAGCACCGGGTCAACCTTGTCCACTGTCTTGATATCCGGGTGTTCGTGACGGAGGTCCGTGGTAGGACAGATGGCTAGAATGGCTGTGGGGGGTGCCAAATCTTGTTCCTGTGATGTCTTCAAGGTCCATGTTGCCACAGCCAAGGCAATATTCCCTCCTGAGCTATCTCCGGCCACAACAACAGCCTCGCCAGCCCTTGCTGCCTCTCTCAACAGCATTTTGTAAGTCTTTTCGATTTGGGGGAATGCAACTGAGACTGGATCTTTCGGCGCCAACGGTATAGACACAAGGGTGATCTTGGTATCGGGCATGCGAGACACCATTTCAGCACAGAAAGACCAGTGTTGATTGCTCGGTGGCATCTGCCATCCTCCGCCGGCGAAGTAGATAATTCTTCGTCGATAGCCTTCTCTTGCTTTCCCGGTGTCTTTTCCGGTCGGTTTTGCTGTCAGGTCGTACACCCAGAGACCCTCAACTCGCCTCTCCTTCACCTCACATCGGTTTAATGCGGCCTTGGGTGCATTTATCCGAGTCGAGTTCTCTGTAGCTATCTTTCCCGCCTTTACCAGGGCAGGTCTGAATGGTTTGATGACGGCCTGGACGACCCTCGTCATGAGATATCGTTCGTTTCGTTCGTAAACTGTGATGGTGCTTTGGGGCGGGCTGGCCGGATAGCCCGGGTCTGCATCTTGGGCCATTCGTGCTAGAGCCCGGAAACTGGTAATTCTTGGCTTTGAAGTGGAGAACGGATGAAACTGAAATCTGTACGAAATGTTATGAAAAGGAAATAAGTTTGTCGCTCAACCCGAGAAAAGGAGTCTTTGACTGGGCCGTTGTGCAACGTCATGAGCTGTGACATCATGACTTGGCACCTCAATCAAGGTCCGGTCTCAAGCCACAGACAGTGAGGCTCAGCCTGATTGGTGAGCCATTGAACAAGACCAAGGAAACGGGAGATTTCTAACTCTATCAGCTATTAACGATAAGCATCATTTCTTATTCATAGTTTATATCATTTCACCTAAATACACAAGAGGTGTCTAAGCGTGCAACTCTTGGGGTCTCACACGGAATGTGCGTTAAAGATGAGGAGGACATGAAACGCTGCCCAGGCGTCATCCAAAAGGATTAATGTTGAAGTCGAAATAAGTTATCTTGATAGGACCAACATACATGATTGGCGTCCTTGTTCAAAGTTGTTGTATCTGAGTCGACAAACCGAGCTGTTAGAGGCATTCAATAGTTCCACGTTCTCTTAAGTTATAAGAATAGAGATGAAGCTTTCCTACCTTCTTGATGATAATATCATGTTTTTATCTCTGCTTTTTTTCATCAAACGCACGATTTGATCGTTGCTAGACGTCATTTAGTGCAGTACCCCGTTGCACGTCCGCTTTTGTGGATGTCCTCGTGTTTCGACCTACCCTTGACCAAAAGACCAAAACAACCCTTCAGTCAAAAAAAATTCCCACAAGACTACAAAGATTTAACAATAAAAAAACATTGGGCTCTTGGGGGGGTTAATGAAATTCGTCCGGTATCCCTGTTGTCTCTTCTTATGATAAATCCATGAAGATGATCCCCGAAACCACGTAGAAATACAACGTGCTTGGATTAGAGTACTTAGGTGAAAATGCCATTCACATTATTCGCCATTTCCCCAGCAAAGTCGTAAAAATACAAGATCAATCTCACGGGCTTGGGATTTAAAAGTTATTATTTAATCCTTTGTGGTTATTTCTATGTTCATATTTGTTTATGGTTTAGTACCCTAGGGGCATCTTAATTCCTAATCTCGAGAATCCACAAACTCAAAACTATACACATCAAGGGCACTGAGAACCATATTTCGATCACTCCCTACCTCTATGCCTGTTTCTCTGTCCCATATCCGAGAATAACCTGCTTCTCCCGCTCGTCGGAACGTGTCTGACTCGCGTCAAGGCATCTCCCTTCCATCTCCTGAGTAAACGACCGATCATTTCCTGATTCAGGACCCCTGCAGACTAGAAAAATTATTCCCGTCATTTGTATCCGCAAATTAATAAACACACGCACTGTCTTCTCGCTGGACTTTCCACCACTACACAGTGCGTCGGCGATTAACCGAGGCAATGTGGATGTTTCGAGTGGATTTGGCGGGTCTGAGACATGGTACATGATTCGACTGGAAACGAGATCGACGAGGGCCGTGACGTTTTAGCGATACGCGAAGGATGAAGGGCTAGACCTGATTCGTTGATGCGGGCTGCCGCTGAACCTCCTTCGACGCGTCAAATGTTTTTCGCGACGTCCCCCCTTTTGAGGTAACAGTTTTGATGGAAAGCTGGGGGTAGTGTCGGTTCCTGCAATGTGCTCGTGCTTGTCGAGGTGTTCTTGAACGTGCGTGGTGGGCTCAGGCATGCACAGTTCGCGCCCGTTGTAAGCACCACCCTTGCACGCAACATCTGACGTCTCAGTGATATTCAACGAGTACTACGCTAGAGAGGGGAATCTTTTATCTTATCAACAGATACACCGCTTATGCAGTATGTATAGTGGCTTTCGTGGGTACTCCTTTCGCTTATGTGCTCGGGAAAGATCTTCGGGGTCAGATCTGCCGTCCTCATCATGTGGCAGCTCTGTTTGTCCGTAAGACTGGAGGAGAGTCGCGAGTCTACAGCAGATGCTTCTTCGACAGACACACGCTACAACACGATATTCTCTGACAAGATCATACCCAGTGCCATTCTATCTGCCCAGTCATACGTTCTCCCTCGCCTGAGGCATTCACCCTGGTCCGCGCTCACTCATCCAAGCATCCCCAGCTGACAGGGAGGCCTCGCCAGCCCCCGTTAACGGACAACGGGTACCAGATACTGGAGCACCCCATCCCATCTCCCGTTCTCCATGATCCCTTCACATGGTCGACGTCCTTATATTGAAGCGCTGCCTTGCTACTGGACCGCCTGCAGAGAACATGTTACCGAACCATTCGCGCTGCGTGCCTTGTCCTTGCGGCTGTTAGCGGCGTCTTGGCGACCTTGTACTCGGTATTGCCGGGTATCGTGGCGTATCGAGTTCTGGATCAAGTGTGTAATAGCAGCCACTTTTGCTGGCATGCAAGAGAAACAGCGATATTACCTCCCAGGAGCATCACACTAGCGATGTAGTGATCGTACGTGGAGGCCGCTTATGTGTATCTTGACAAAGATTACCACTCCATCAAACAGCGCAAACAACAACTGATGGCATCGTGAACCATGGCGGCCGCTTCAAACGCTTCGATTCAAGACGTCTTGACTGATCCTCCAAGTGGACCCGCGTGGGTTCGGAAACTCGGAGTCTGCCCACATGGCACAAACCCCCCCATGTCCCAGAGCCGCGGATTCAGCTCCTTGGCACGAGCCTCCTTGAGAAGAATAAGCAAGCGTCATAGCGGACCGGCTACACGGCAGCCGCACTCTCTCTTCTTTGTCACAGGGAGCCTAATGAGTGGACTTTTGGGCCCTCCACGTTTTGTCCTGATTTTGACATCCCGAGCCCATGGGGACCCCTCTCCCCGGAAGGTGTTGATCATCTTGGAGCCCAAAGATGGGGTCATTCTCTTTTATTGCTACGCTACAACGCTCACGTAGAAGGTAGCATATGCAACATGTCCATCAAATGTAATCCTCCAATGTCACACAAACTCTTTCGCCCCACGGAGCCGCACCCGAGTTTCTTTAAACTGTTGCCTGTCGCCTTAGCGACCCTGTCACGAGCCATGCAGAGAAAAAAAAAACACGACCCCATAGAAAGACATCATCTTGAAATGCTGATTCGTGCGCGTAAAACGTGGGGACTCCATCTCCACCCGCAAACAAACCCGCACAGGAAAAAGATGGGCTTCAAACCAGGTGACGTTCATGCACTGGTAAAGAGCCTCACAGGCTCACATTTCAAGGAGCGGCCCTGTTTCCGCCCCCCTGGAAACTTGGTAAAAGAAATTTAAAGCAAGTCGTCTAGTAGAATACGGTTATCCGAGATGTGGAGATGTGTGGTTTCACCCCATCTGGAGTGATAACCTCCACATTCCAAAAGTTATATAAGTGCCCCAGACTTCGCTCCACGATTACAAGTTGGCATTCCTCTATATCCAGATATCCAACAACATTACTAGCCAAAGATGGAGCGTCTTCCCGGCTTCAATGTGGCAAACCACTTTGAGAAGCGTCAGCTTCTCATCGCCATCAACTGCATTGCAGCTCTGTCCATTTTCTTCTTTGGGTATGATCTGCCAAGCCCCTGCGGCCGCCTATGAAACTAAAAAAAAGTCTAGCTATGACCAAGGAATGATGGGTGGTGTGAACAACGCCAAGCACTACATTGACCTCATGGGCTTTGGTTATGTCGACGAAGAGACTGGAGACCCCGTCGTGACAGACAGTCTGTTGCAAGGCGGTATCGTGTCTGTTTACTATCTTGGTACTCTCTTTGGCTGCCTTCTCGGTGGTTGGGTCGGTGACAAGATTGGCAGAATCAAGACCATTGCTCTTGGTTCCGTCTGGGCCATTATCGGAGCCGCGTTGCAATGCTCTGCTCAGAATGCCAACTGGATGATCTGCTCTCGTGCCGTCAACGGTATCGGAACTGGTATCCTGAACGCCATTGTTCCTGTCTGGGCCACTGAGACCGCTGAGCACACTTCTCGTGGTCAGTTCATCGCCATCGAGTTCACCCTCAACATTTTTGGCGTCGTGGTTGCCTACTGGCTCGAGTTTGGTCTCTCCTTCATCGATGGAGGTGCCTCTCCATTCCGCTGGCGATTCCCCATCGCTTTCCAGATCATTCCTCTCCTCTTCCTCTTCGGTTTGGTCTGGTTCTTCCCCGAGTCTCCTCGATGGCTCGTCAAGGTCGGCCGCGACGATGAGGCCCAGTATATCCTTCGTCGTCTGCGTGGATCTGACGAGACTGATACCGCCCGTGCTCAAGCTGAGTACCAGGACATTAAGAACATTGTTGAGCTCGAGACCAAGGAGTCTTCTAAGAACTCTTACATCCACATGCTGTTTGGTATTGGCTCTGGAGAGCTTCACACTGGGCGTCGTGTGCAGCTTGTTATTTGGTAAGTACTGACCCGGCGTTGAATAAGAGGAAATTTAACTGATGTTTGCAGGCTTCAAATCATTCAGGAGTGGGTTGGAATCGCTGGTGTCACCGTCTACGCCCCCACAATCTTCCGAATCGCTGGCTTCAGCTCGGAAAAGTCTCAGTGGATCAGTGGTCTCAACAACATCTTCTACATGTTCGCCACCCTCATCTGCGTCTTCACTCTCGATCGCATTGGTCGCCGCTGGACTTTGTACTGGGGTGCGGTCGGCCAGGGCATTGCCATGTTCCTTGCCGCCGCCTTCTCCAAGCTTGGTCAGGATGCGTCGCGAGACGGAGATACAGCCAAGGCGAGCTCGTACGGAGCTGCTGCTGCCTCTTTCGTCTTCATCTTCACCTCCGTGTTTGGTGCTACTTGGTTGACCGTTCCCTGGTTGTATCCCGCCGAGATCTTTCCCCTTCAGGTCCGAGCCAAGGGTAACGCTTGGGGAGTCTTTGGCTGGAGTATCGGCAATGGCTGGCTCACTCTTCTGTGCCCCGTCATGTTCGATAACATTGGCGAAAACACTCTGCACATCTTTGGAGCTTGCAACTTGCTGGCCATCCCTATGGTTTGGGCCCTCTACCCCGAGAGTAACCAGCGAACTCTTGAGGAGATGGATCTTCTCTTTGCCGCCGACACACCTTGGGTTTGGGATGCTGAGAAGAAGTTTGCCGAGTTGAAAGCTGAGAAGCCAGAGCTTATTACTGCTTCTGGTAACGGCCGCGGCGTGTTGGATGTTGAGACCGCTGAGGGTAAGGTTACCTCTGGAGAAGAAGAGTAAAGCCAGTGATGTGAAGTCGCCTCGGTCGTCGATAGAAAATCTGTACAAGCGCAGCATGAATAATCTATAACCCTGCATCTAATAATATCGACTATTGTCATCGTCAACTTCTTGTGTTCGTTGTGATAATTGAAACCCAACCCTTGATGGGAACTGAGCCAGAAGATTGCTAGTACACAGGGCATTGAACCATATACCACATCTTGTCAGTTTGCAGCTTCTGAGTATTGGGCCTGGCGAGGGACAAACAGCTTCGCGAGAACTACTAAACAAGCGTAATGACCTGTTTCTCCGACTTCCATTCCGTCCCACTCGGCTCCCACCACTCAGGTGGCTTCGATCCCTCGTGTTCCAAAAAGCCAATCCTTTCATACACGTCCTCTGTTTCATCAAAACGATGCAGAACTAGTGACCTATACTCCTTTTCCAGTTTCAAGAAAAAGACCCGTAAACAACACACAGTTGTGTCTGAGCTGACAAAACCTTTGCCTTCCTCCTGCAGATCGTAGTCAGGGGAGAAGCTCGTCCTCAATCGCTGAAGAGTACTCAGCTTGGCCGGCACGAGAGCACCTTCTAATCTGAGCTTGTAGCCTGGCTCCGTGTTCAATGGCTCGTCGCACTTGCGGATGTGGAATGTGTCTTTTGTAACTCCCTTGGTCATGCCATCAAGATCCCATAAAATTCGACCGGTAACTGAAGCCCATGACCAGGTAGGGAAGAGCCATCTCTTGGCGCTCCACTGCGTCTTTCTTGGTTCTGGTTTCTTTTGTTCAGTCCTAACTGGGCCTTGAGTCGACAAACTGTCTCCCGCCTTCCATAAAAGATCTCTAGCAAGAGAGTCTTCCCATAATCCTGCTAGGTATTTGCCTTTGCGCAGTGGAAGAATGTACTGGCAAAGTCCCTCAACAGCTGCAAGTTTGTCGCTCTGATAGGTCAAAGTTGTTTGTCCGTAGACCTGGATTAGCTGATGCCACTTGCTAACGATTTTGGCTTGAAGTTCCGAATCATGCCGAGTTGGAATCTTGAGAAAGTCGGGGCAATCGTCTTCAGGTTCATCCCAATCTTCGAGCCCGGTGCATTGGCAAGTAGAGACTTGTCTACATTGCCATAGCAACTCCTGTCTGCCAAAGTATAGTGTTCGTGGTGAGATGAGACTCTCTTGAAAGACCCAGCCTCGCTTCATCAGGGGAAAGTCTGAATTGTAGTGACTGGGGACTTCTCGGGCAAAGAGGTGATAGGAATTGCCATTCGGGGTGCACCCCTTCACTTCGGCTCGTTTTGGAGTTCTGTAGAGCCCATCACGACACCCCGAACCTGAAGCAGCTGCCACAGTCAAATAAGAGTTCTCGTAAACTGAGCACATTCTTTTGGACTCCTGCATCCAATCTTTGTCGGAAAGTCTTTTGTCCTTTTCTGTGTCTTTTTCCTTGTCCGGCTGAATGATACACAGAGAATCGATCCAAAGATAGCGAATGCCCATGCTCCTCGCAAATTCGACAGCGTCCTTGAACGTTTGAGGGAGTGAAGAAATGGAGATACCAGATTTGTAATCTTCCAAGGTGTGCATGGTGAGCTTGGTGGTCATGTGCTTTGGGTCCCCCCAGCAGTGGCTCAGGGCAATATATTTGCCTTGTCCAAAGTCTTCACCCTTCTGTCCCTCGACTACCTTGACGATGCTGTTCCCGCAGTAAACATCGATAACTCTCGTCGGGAAGAAACTTGATGCAATTTTGCAATCTTCATGACTGTTCAGGCACTCCTGTACCCGCTGTTGTACCCAAGTAAGGCTCTCGTCAGATAAACTGCTTGGAACATCCTCGATTCTGGAGAATATGTCCCATGGGCAACTATCGGCTAATCTAGTTGAACTCAATGTTAAGAGACATGTAAGATTTTAACAGCAATAAGTCATACCTTGCCTGTAGATTTGTATCCCTGTAGATTTATGTCCCTTTTTCGATACGCCGAGATCAAGATAGTAAGTACCAGGCTCAGAACCATTACGAACTGCCAGGTTGAAGGTGCGTTCTGTCCCATCTTGTGTGTCGAAGAGACCCTCGATGGATTCCTTCAATACCTTGCATGAGTGGCATCCCATTGAAGCCGAGTGGACAATCTCAGAGACTAGCCCACCGTCGGGTGGTCCGTCATGGGCAGACCCGGGATTAAAATTGGCGCACACTTGGCATCCAGGCATAGTGTGTGTTCTTATCTGGTGGTCTGGCAGAGTTATACTTGGAAACGACAAAAGATAACCAGGAATCAGTGTTTCTGGAAGCAGCCTGTCATGTTGCTCACAACATGCATAATCAGGCGGTCAACACCGGCAGTTTGTCAGATACCCGTTGTTCTTGGGTAGGATCCCTTGCAACCCAACTACTTGAGGGGCCTAGAGACCGGCCCGGTTCCCTGTGCTTGGTTTCTGTTGCACTTGGAAGGTGCTTGATATGAAGTTGGGGAGACCAAGCACGCAAATAGGCGGGACCATGTGCCACTTTGAGTAGTATTTCTTGCGTCGTTAAACGAAATGTTTTATTGCCAGCTCAGTTTGCTCTTTTTGACGGAGATATAGAGATCAATTGATGAAAACGACACGTAAAGCCTTGTATCTACAACTATTTCTTTACAGGTATAAGGGCACTTAAGCACACTAGCCACAACAAGACCAACCAGATGGTCAGATGTTACGTGCCGTGCCGTATACAATAGACCACTATGCTATACGGCAAAAGTAGAAGATACCTTCTAACAGGTACCGTAGCAATTGGTCATTTTATGCTGCTCAACATGCCGCAAGTTCCTTCTCTGTCCAGTCCCAAAGCTTCTTTCCCAATTCCTTGTTCTTGGACAATGCACTACCTCGCCCAGCAACCCCAACAGGCTCATAGTACTCTCCACTCTCAACACCCTTGGCGGTTGCTGCCCACAGCTGACTCTTGGCACCCTCTTCCACTTCAACTCCTATGAGCGGAACAATGAACTTTTGGAAGCCTCGCATGAGCAGATTCCCGCCAGAGGTTTGAAGATCCGTCTTGACAGTACCGGGATGGATGGACACTGATGTCAACTCCGGATGGTGCTCGGCGTACTCCTTGGCGTATATGAGATTTGCAAGTTTACTCTGGCCGTATAGATTGTTGGGCGACTCCCCTCCTCCATTGGCTTTGAGAATGTCGAATTTTACGCCGCCCGAAACGCTAAACTTATGGGCGACAGAGCTGACCGAGACGATCCTCACCTCGGATCGAGACTCGACCCTTGTCTTGAGAAGCAAGGGAGTTAGAAGCTTGAGAAATAAGGCGTGACCAACGTGGTTGATTCCCCAGTGCGTCTCGTAGCCTTCCTTAGTTTGGCCTGGTGGGCAACCCATGACGCCAGCGTTGAGGAGGAGAATATCGAGACGTGGGACAGAGGACGTGAAAGTGCGAGCGGCGTTTTTGACGGAGTCGAAGGAGCCCAGGTCGAGTTGGAGGAACCGGACAGACACTTGAGGCGCTGTCTCTTTGAGTTCGGTGATGGCGGCGTCGGCCCTTTGGGAGTTGCGGGCAGCGAGCCAGATTTCGGCAGGGTTATGCTTTACGAGGTCCAAGGCTGATTGCTTTCCGAGACCAATGTTGCCGCCAGTGATTAGAATAACCTTGCCGTCCAAGGGTGGGATGTCCCTGGCAGGACTGTAGTCGTTGGGGGCCATTGTGCTGTAGAAAGTAGGTAAAGGGAGGATTTAAAAACTGAATGGTTTATAGAACCAGGGTTTACCAGGACGACTCTTATGAGTGTATGAGGTGTTGATATCTTAAGTCGATACATGATGAACATTAGAGTGTTTTATATCCTTCACCACGCCAGGCACCGGTATGCGAACTCTATGTCCGGCCCATGGTGCCGGATTTAACCAAAAGCGTCTTCCGTCAAGGACCAGAAACAGGGAGACATTTCTGGCGGAATTGCGGAGTTTGAGAGACAGCATGCTATTGAGAGGTTCTATCGGAGATAGGGGAAACATTTTTCGGATTGCGTACTCGGAAGCTCACCTTGCAGCTTGACGCTATTTCCAAACTCTATCGGAGAGTGGTTCAAACCAAGGGAGAATTAGGCCAATCGCATTGTGCAAATCGCGACAAGGCCAATCATACCCCTGGGTTCAGTTCCACTCTGATCGTCACGAGCGAACGACGTGAACCTGTTTCCTGTGCAACGTCAAGTGGGACTTGAATCAAATGTTGACGAATAGGCTCAAGACAACCGCGATCGAGCTAATCAGGTGCTTCCCGTGATTGTATACTACTTGTCCCTACTCCGGCGTGTCCAGTTCTTGGACATCTCCGCTGCACACGAACCCGAAAGGACAGATTCGCCCTGCTCGCATGATGGACAAACTACCGCCGGGTCCTCCGAAGACGAGATGTAGCTCCAACACGCGAGTCTACTCCAAATCCGGCTGCCGTACTTGCAAGTAAGAGTCTCCCACTGCAAGCAACAGCTATGTAACTTTGACATCTGACCCTCCCTTCCATAGGATCCGACGGCTTAAATGCGACAAGGGCCGGCCAGGTTGCCGGCGATGCCTCTCCACCGGCCGTGTGTGCGACGGCTACGGCGTCTGGGGAGAGGGACTTGTTGTTACGCCCGGCAATCTCCAGAAGCAGACCCTGCATGATCTGTCGGCGCGGTCTCGAGTCGGTCCGAGGAATGGTCTGGAGCGAGAGAGCTTTGACTGGTTTCGACATCGAGCGAGCGTCAAGCTGTGCGGTGTTTTTAGTTCAAGATTCTGGGACACCTTGGTCCTTCAGGCTAGTATGACAGCTCCCGCAGTCCTTCATGCATTGCTGGCCTTGGGTTCTGCTCACAGGTTGGAGGTCATGAGATCATGTCCACAAAAAGAGACGAGCAGCGAATCTTGTGAACAGCAGGAACGGTTCACTTTGGAGCAGTACAACAAGGCCATTGCCTCTCTTCGACCCCATTTCGAAAAGCCAGGGCGCAACCCCTCGTCGACTCGAATGGTTCTCATAACTTGTGCTATTTTTGTCTGCTTGGAGTTGCTTCGAGAGAGATACATGGAGGGCCAGACCCATCTCGAGAACGGACTGAATCTCCTCAGCCAGCTCCAGGCCGACCTCCAACCTGCGGGGACACAAGGCCTTATCATGCTAGGCCACCCTCAAGAATCCGTCAACGATAGCTACCTGGCCGAGGCCTTCTCCCGCCTCTATGCCCAATCATCACTCTTTGGACGTGTCCCAGGTGGATGTTGCAGGTCAAAGTCATACGCTATCGCTACTGTCCTCGCGGACTCTACCATCCAGGCCCCGCCTCCCCTGTTTAGCTCCATGAGCCAAGCAAGGCAGCATCTCGATGGGCTCTTCAATGCTATCCACTGTCTCACGGTACAGTGTCCACGCGACCGCACAGCCCGAGAGGCCTCGAGCGAGCTACTTGATACACAAAGTCGCATCCTAACTGGTCTTCGACTCTGGCAACGTGCTTACAAAGTCTCCCGGCTCAACCTGACGTCGCAGCTCAATGTCCGAGATGCGCTATCCTACCCACTCTTGAGCGTCTATCACACCATGGCCGTCATCATGGTGACGACTTGCCTCGCTCCGCCAGACGAGTCAATATTCGACTCTTTCGAAGAGTCTTTTATCTCTGTGGTATCCGCCAGCGAAGTCCTCTTGGAGGAGGCGATCGCGACCATTGCGGCAGACAAGGCGGAAGGATACTGCTCAGGAGGATTCAGCTTCACAGCTGACATCGGACTGATACCGCCACTGTACTATACCGCTCTCAAGTGTCGTGTTCCCGCTTTAAGGCGTCGGGCCATCAAAATGCTCGAGACTGCTACGCACAAGGAAAGCATATGGAACGGGGCTGTCGCGGCGCGGATTGCGCGTGAAGTGGTTACGATAGAGGAAGAGGGAGACAGCGTCAATGTTGGTCGTGACCATCTTCCCAGCGACACTCAGATGGCAAAGCTCGGCCCGTATCGAGTTCGCCAAGTATCAATGCATCTCTCTGATCCTCTTGCTGAGAAGGCTATTTTGACATGTGAACGGAGACGAAGCGATGGGGAGTGGGAGTTGATGCACAAGATGATGCACTTAAGCTAACAGGGTAGGCTCTATAAGCTAGAAATAACCCAGATAAGAAAGCAGTGAGCGTCCGTTCATCTTGCTTCTATTCCTTGCCCTCCCAGGCCTCGGTCAACAGCTCCTTCATCGTCCTCAACTTGATGTCTGGGAAATCCTGCGCAATAGAGGGACCCTCCAAGTTGAACAGGCCAGTCTCAAACATCAGTCCAAATATCGCCAGGATGCCCTGCAGCTGCTCCTTAGGAAGGAAGCCATACATAGCTGCATGGCTGGGCAGCTCCGAGACCTTGCCCTCCTTCAACGAATCTACCGAATCATATGTCACGCTGAACTTGGTACCCTTGACAGCCTCAGCGAGTGCAAGAAGCTGATTCCATGTCAATTTGTCGCCGGCGAGGTATGTCTCGGGCTGCCACTTGGGCAGGGACAGCGAGGCGGAAACAAACTTGGCGAGATCCACGGTGTAGGTGAATGCCACGGGGACGTCGCCGGATCCGGGGATAGACGCCGCGTTGTTAGCCATGTCAATGACGACTCTCAAGATGGTCATGTGGCTGGGGAGATGGGGTGCGATATAATAGTCGGCGAAGTACCCAATGAGCCATGAGGTGTATTTAAGGCTCGTCTTCTCGAGCGCGGCAGTGACAGCCAGCTTAGCCTTTGCAATGGGAAAGCTGTCGGAGATCCTACTCCAAATGGCAGACATGGATTAGCACCAAGTTCAATCACCTGCAGGACTAGATGACCCTCACTCTTGAGTGTACTTGGCGCCCCAAATGCTTGGAACGAAGCGCTTCGTGGTCTTGGCCCGATCAGCAGCCACAATGAGGTTCAACTCCGGGTCCGCAACACCCATGGTGTTAAGAGTAGAGATGATAGTCTCGATATTATTATCCTCAAGGACCTTGGTCAAGCCGTCGACATCGGCATAGTTGACGGGGAGGATCTTTGCCCCAATCTGCTTCTCCTTTTCGGCATTGGCCTGCAAGATTGTCAGCCAATTGCCTACTGGGACGGCACCAAGATCTACCTCTCTGGCCAAGATAACGACTTGGAATTTCCCGTCGGCGATTATGGCCTCGACGATGGTGCGGCCCAGGTTTCCGGTTCCTCCGGCGACTGCGACGAGCGACGACATAGTGTAGGCGATGGTTAGGACTTTACAAAGGCGTTAGTGCAGTTTTAGGTAAAATGATGAGGTGCGGATGGAATAAGAGATTGCTAGAAAACTGCCATTGTTTATATATGCGAGTTTCCTCGCAGAATTCCGTGTCAAGGCCCAGTCTTCCATGCCCTTGTCACGGTAGAGCGCACAAGTCCGCAATCCCGCAAGAGCTGCAGAAGACAGCTACCAACTGACGGCATCGGAGAGGCGGTCTCTCAAAGCGCCGAAGAGAGCTCCGGGCCGCGCGGGTATTGAGTTGGCATCATGTCCAAGGCCGCGTTGAGTGAACTCAATTCAGGGGTTTGGGTTCCGTGAGTGTCGGCGCCGACTGGCGGCTTCGCGATTGCAGCCATGTAATTGGACGGTAATGAAATCCACGTCGAGCCCCTGGGCATTTCACAGGCACGGTGGATACGGTCGCCGAGATGCCCACCACCCGCGCGGGACCTTGTCCGCGCGGGCTCTGTCCTCTGCGGAGAGGGACGCTGTTTAACAGCCAGTCCATCATAGCGCCACGAATGCAGTTCTTTGGTAAGAGAGAGTGCCCGCCTTAGTTCACTAAAGGCCCATCATTGCCAATAATTACAATTGTCGCACTTGTTTGCCTGCCTGTTGGGCGCGTGAACGTACGGTGCGTCTTGACTCTGGCTAGCAATGATCAACATTAACTCATGACTCTTTTTCTCTTCTTTATTTATTTATCTTTTCCCCCACTTTCCTCCAACCGTCATCTTCTCTTTTGAGTCTACTTTACCCTGTACTAGAGGACTAAACTTCAACAAAGACCACGCCGTACGCACTGGTCATCCACAGCGTCGGCTTTGCCTCTCTAATGTGCCTAACCGAGTTCTACTGCTGGCAGCAGAATGATAAAAAAATTCCGCTGTGTTGGCATTGAGTCATAATGCTAGGATGTGTTGACAATGCGTTCTTTGTTATGGTTGAAGCCCGGCCCTCGACGGGTTAACCGAGTCAGAAGATCGCGCCCAACCGAGTTGTCCAGCCGTTAACTCATTTTTATCCGCCTTTCCTATCCCAAGTTACCAAATATTACCGTCTTCGACACCTGTGCGATATCTTGAGTCTCTTCTCACCGTGCTGGTAGACGAGCACCCCCAGCGGACTCCAACGCGGGCCTCGATCTCTCCAGGCCCCCTCCCTGGCAAGGCCCACAACCCCATAGTACCGCTGACCCTTCGAACGGGCAGGCAGGCAGCGTAAAGAGTACGTAGTAAATCCGAGAGCTGGCGTGCCGGGTGACCTGCGTGAGGAGAAAGCGGGGGAGAGAAGGGGAGCAACGAAAAAGGAAAAGAATCCCCGGTGGGGGAGCGAGATTAGATTCGGAAAATTGGAGCCTCAAGATCCAAGATCTGTCTTTGAAGCATGATTGGGGGCCATGGTGGTGAAGGATAAGCATCAGGGGCTACAAGTCCAGGGTGCATAAAGCTGATAGCACTAATTAAGTTGGGGACATGCTGGAAGCTATCTAGACGAGAGCAATGATAAGCGAGATGGAGGGGAGGCTAACGATGGTGCCGGGCTCGAAGAAGCGGTGGGGGGTGAATCTTCTAAGCAACCCAACGGAAATAACACAGCCGTAACAATAGAGCCGAGCCCGACCATGCGAATTACCCAATGCGGTGATATCTCCAGTCCGGGGAAGGCTAGCTGCTTGTGGGCAATAGATAAACTTGTGCGGGGGTGGAGATGGATGGTGCATCGAGGCTCGAGTATATAATAGATCTTGACTTGTTGATACGAAACATTTCTCCACGCGACAAGAGATACCAATTGCAGTAACGAATCTTCTTGTATCGCCATCATGTCTCTTGTGTCTGTGTTGTCCAGGTTTCCTTCGTGGGTGCCGCAAAAGTCATGGCAGGTCAACATCCTGCTCATCTGCACCGCCATCAACACTGGCTCGGTACGTACACCTCGAACATTACAGCTACTCTTTACTGACTAAACATCTCTTCCAGGTCCTGGGTTATGATGCCTCTATGATGAACGCCTTGAATATCCTGCCCGCGTACACGGATTACTTCAATCTCACACCTACTACGACGGCTCTCAACTCGGGCATCATCTGGGTCGGCGCGGCGATCGGCAGTGCCAGCTTCGCCAGGGTCCCCGACTACATTGGAAGGAAGCCTTCGCTTTTCTACTCGGCAATTGTAGCCATCATCGGAGGGTAAGTTGAGCCATCCACATGCTTCGCTGAAGAGTAGTTGACCATCAATCAGTGCCCTTACAGCAGCTTCTCGGAACATTGCCATGTTCCTTGTTGCTAGATTCATCCTCGGCGCTGGCATCGGTGGCACTTACATGGCAGTTCCTGTCTACATCTCCGAAGCCCTGCCTCTCAAGTACCGTACCTTGGGTCTCGGTCTCATCAACGACGTCTACTATGTCGGCGGCCTGCTCTCAGCTGGAATCACATATGGCACCTCCTTCTTGCAGTCCACATGGGCGTGGAGACTCCCAGCGCTGTGTCAGATTGTCTTTACAGTCATCTCCATCATTTCGCTTCCATTCGCCCCTGAATCTCCCCGTTGGCTGGCGTACCAGGGCCGCAAGGATGAGGCCCTCGCCGCTATTGCGCAGGTCACCTCTGATGGTGACATCTCGGACCCGGCGGTTCAGCTTCAGTTTGTTCAGATTTGCGAGTCTCTCGATTACGAAAAGGAGATGGAGACACCTTCAATCAAGGAGCTTTACGTCAACAAGGGTTACCGCAAGCGAATGCTGCTGGTCCTTTCCGTCGCCATCTTCAGCATGATGACAGGCAGCAACATTTTCTCGTACTACCTTGGCACTGCACTTACAAACGCCGGAATCACCGACTCTACGGTCCAGCTCCAAGTCAACGTTGTGCTCAACGCCTTCTGCCTCATCATCTGTCTATTCGGCACCTATATGGCCGACCGGATTGGAAGAAAGATGTTGGCCATCATCTCAACGGCTCTGTGCACCATCACTCTCTTCATAATCGGAGCTCTGACCAAGGAATTCGGTAACTCGACCAACAAGAGCGCCATCTACGCCAACGTCGCCATGATGTTCCTGGCCCAGGGATTCTACAGCTTTGGATGGACTCCTATCCTGCAGATGTACCCTCCCGAGCTGCTGAGCTACCAGATTCGAAGTATCGGCATGTCATGGTGCATTACGTGGCAGAACATGACTATCTTGATCCCAATTTTTGCTTTCCCCATTGCAATGAACAACGTGCGTCCACCAATACATATTGAGGAATGAGCTAACATAATTCTAGATTGGTTGGATCACCTACATGATGAACGGCGGCTGGAACCTATTTCAACTGGTTATTATGGTAAGTATCTTGTACAACATCACTGGGTGTAGATGACTAACTAGAACAAAGGCCAAATACTGGGTTGAGACTCGAAACCTGTCCCTCGAAGAGGTCTCTCTTCTCTTCGATGGAGAGGTCCACTCCCAGGTCACCGGTGTCAAGAAAATCATCGAGGGAGTGCCGTCCAAGTTGGACGTTGAGGCGGTTCTGGTCCAGGTCAAGCCCGATATCAAGCAAAGTGCTGAGCCGCTGGATGAATAGATGGTGCCTGCGTGTGGACACCGGAAATTCAGTTCCATGATAGCCTCTTGCTTGGTCAAGTAATGTACGGGCAACTCGATGCTCCGATAAGTTTTAGTGGGTAGTGCTAGGCTAGCAAGGATTCAAGATCGGTAGTTGAAAAGAAGAAAGCAGGCCCTAACTGGTTAACTTGTTCTGTTGTAAATGCCCATGCGTTGATCCTAGAGATAAGTGAATGAGATATTGATACGCCAGGTGGACGTCTTCATAATGCGTGGGGAGAAATCCCCTCACCTCTCGATATCAAGTCAGATAGTGATTAGTAGACCATAATGTTGGCCTATTTTAGTGTAGTGCTTTCGTACTCGCAGGGGAAGAATCGGGGAAATATGATAAGAGTCATGTCAGTTCCAGGATGGAGAGTCACTCCTCTCACTCCAACCTCTAATCTCCCTCGTTTCCAGTCCCAATCTAGTAAAAGCCTAGTATCTCCAGATTGCAGCCCTTGTAGTGCCGAACAAAAGCATCTCTCCCGTACCCCGCATCTCTCGGTGATAAGCGGCGAAGATGACAATCTAGGGTCCAGCTAGTGTGCCATTATCTCCAATACTTGACGCCTTAAGCAGGGGTAACCAGTAACTGAGTCGTGCTTCTCCACCGCAACAAACCAGACCAGTCCGACTCAGACAAGCGTCCCGAGGAAATCACGAAGAGGGCCCGAAGGCCCGTCTTTCCGACACTAGACACCAATCGAAACCTTGACATCGCGACCCATGATAGCAACAACAGCTTAGAGGATCTGGGATAATAGCCTCATCTGGACAAGCAGTTTATCTCCAAAATAGGGAATAAAACGAACGCTGCCGCTGAATAATCCCGTGTGAGGGGTCACCCTTTGTACCATGACTGATAAATATGAGCAGGCAAACCACGGGATGGATAGTGTTGATTGAGCACAAGGCGCCACTCGGAAACACGGCACCATAACGCTTTGACGAGACGAAACCTCAAGTGACGTCACATCGACCAGTCATGGCCTCCCTCCATACCGACGATGTTGAACAGCTCCTCCAGCTGCTTACCCTGGAGGAGAAGGTCTCCTTGCTGGCCGGAGCCGATACGTGGCATACCAACGAGATAAGCCGGCTCGGCATCGGTTCCCTCAAGGTAGCCACCCCTGTCTAGATGTGCCTAGTGCATAAAATGACTATGTCTAGACAACCGATGGACCCTCCGGTGCCAGAGGTCAGCTGGCAGTAGACGGACCAACGGCCGCGTTCCTCCCCGGGCCAATCTGCCAAGCAGCGACATGGTCCAAGCAACAACTTCGATCTGTCGGTCAACTGCTCTGCGAGGAGACCAGGACAAAGGCGGCACAGATCCTGCTTGCACCCACTATCTGTCTCTCGAGAAACCCCCTTGGCGGCCGCAATTTTGAGAGCTTCGGCGAGGACCCGTTCTTGACAGGGTCCCTGGCCACTGAATATGTTGCTGGTGTTCAGGAAACGGGCCAAGTGATGGCCACTGTAAAGCATTTGTAAGAAGTTCCAGCTTGGCTTTTCGAACTTTGCTGATCCATCCTCTCACGCAGCGTGGCCAATGAGCAAGAATGGCAGCGTTTCACCATCGATGCCAAGGTCAGCGAGAAGGCCCTGAGAGAGATGTACCTTAAGCCTTTTGAGATGGTGGTCCGATCAAACACCACGCCGGGATGTCTCATGACATCTTACAATGTGGTTAATGGCGCCCACGCCGACATGAACCAACATCTACTCCAGGATGTCTTGCGCGGGGACTGGGGCTTCAAGGGCCTCGTCATGAGCGACTGGGGCGGCACCAACTCGACTGCCGAGAGTGTAATTGCTGGCCTCGATCTTGAAATGCCTGGACCGCCGAGCAAGAGAGGGGAGCTGCTACTCGAGGCTGTCAATAAGGCGGAGAACCCCGATGAGCTACTCAAGGCCATTGACGCCTCTGCCGGTCAAATTCTGTCCATGTGCAAACGGATGAGCCTCTTGGGTCTGTCTGAGGAAGAGGCTTTGCAGACTCGCAAACATCTGGAGCAGTCATCAACCACCCAGGAAGGCATTAAGTTGATGCGAACTGTTGCTGCCCAGGGAGCTGTCTTGCTGAAGAACGACAAGTCCACACTTCCTCTGAAGCCTTCTGGTCTCTCCGGCAAGCAAGTCGCCTTCATCGGTCCCAATGCCTTGGTTGGGACCCCAGGTGGCGGCGGCTCGGCCACCATGAACCCGCAATACCTCAGCCAGCCCATGAGTTCTTTCAAGGCTGCAGTCGAGGCTCAGGGGCTGAACACTCGTGTCGTGTACAGCCAAGGAGCATACTCTAAGAAATGGCTCCCCCATTTCAAGAAGGAGCAGTGGAAGTCTCGGACATCAGGAGAAGACGGCAAGAATCTGGTCCGCGTCGACTTTTACACTACTCGCGACCTCTCGGGCCCTATCCTCGAAACTCAGCATCGCAATAGCTCCTGGGTCGACTTTGTCGACTCTGCACCGCTGCCTCTCCAAAAGGCCCACGTCCCCCCGTATTCTTTCCGTGTCACATCTACTGTGCGTCCTGAAACCACAGGAAACCACCGTTTCGGTGTTGCAAGCGTGGGTGAAGCTCGCCTGTTTATCGACGGTGGGCTGGTCCTAGAGAACTGCAACTGGACTGAAACGTCTGAAGCCTTCTTTTCATTTGGAAGCCGCGAGAAGATTAGCTCCAAGCACATGAATGCTGGACAAACCTACGATCTTGTACTCGAGGGCTGGACCAAGCCTGGCCTCTCAGAAGAAGAGTCGCTGCATTTCTTTGCAGGACATCCTTCAGTCCGCATTGGATTCGAAGAGGAGCTCCCAAAGAATATGATTGATACTGCTGTCAAGACTGCCGATGAGAGCGACTACTCGGTTGTCATCCTTGGCATTGATGACGAATGGGAGAGCGAGGGCTACGATCGACAGTTCATGGAGCTCCCGGGCACCCAGAATGAGCTGGCAGAAGCATTGTTGACCAGATGCAAACATCCTGAACGTCTGATCTTTATCAACCAGTCTGGATCCCCTGTTGAGCTTCCATGGGAAGAAAAGTGCAGCACCTTGGTGCAGGCTTGGTACGGTGGCCAGGAAGCAGGTAATGGGCTGGCAGATCTGCTCCTAGGAGCCATCAACCCATCTGGCCGGATGCCCATCTCGTGGCCACGCAAGTACACCGATCTCCCGTATGCTGCAGACAAGGAGATGTGGCCGGGAGTGGACGGCACAGTCATCTACAAGGAGGAGTGCCATCTTGGATACCGGTACTACCTACACAACAACGTGCGCCCTCACTTCTGGTTTGGTTACGGACTGAGCTACACGCAGTTTGAGTCCTCCGTCCAACTTGAAGGGAAGAACCCAGATTCGTGGACCTTCAGCACTACTGTCAAGAACGTTGGCAGTGCCGATGGCGAAGAAACAGTTCAGCTCTACGCCTGGCCATCCGGAAAAGAGGCCAAGAGGCGATTGGTTGCTTTTGACAAGACACCTTTGCTAAAGCCAGGCGAGAAGGCTTCGTCGAGGCTAAACGTTAGAAAGCGAGATCTGGCTTCCTGGGAGGGTGGTATTGACGGCCAATGGGTGTTGCCCGAGGGGTCTTGGCAGTTTGCTGTTGCCAAGCATGCTGGTGATGCCGATGTGAAGGCAATTGAAGTGCCGGTGCAGTCAGCGAGGACTTGGAAGGCCTCTGAGTGGTAGGATAAAGTGTAAACACCAGAGACCGCATGAAAAGACAAGAGCAGTACCAACAAACGATAAGAACACTGCACTACACACATGTGCTACCTACAAGGCACAAAAGGTGAAGTAGGGATTGGCTGAACCAATAAGTGCCCGCAAAGGTGTCGTATATCGCCGATTGCGTCGTCGTGAGGTGTACCTTGTTCTGCACAGTGAAGGATCAGCAGTATGGGTACTCAGATCTCGTCCCTCCATCAAAGGGATTATTATGCAACTGCCAGCGTTGAAAGATTGATGCAACGGAACTTATATTCGGATTCTCTATGGCCCTGTTTTGAATGGGCATACGGCAAAACAGTCTGAAAGAGTAATGTAATGAAAGAGTCGTGTTATAAAGGCTGATTGTTTCGGGGGCACTAAGTATAGTCTCGCTCTCTTGACTGCAGCACTCCATTGAAAAGGGCTTGGGAACATTATGCGCTCGCCGAATCCATCATTTCAAGTAATGGATTGAGGATCAGGCATCCGTACAGGTTTGCTTGATTAAATTACTACGATAATATTATCTTAAGGGGGTTCAACGGTAAGTCAATTAGTTAGCTAGCTTTATTGTACATATCAGATGACAACACAGCGTATTATTTAAAGCCTAATCTTGCAAACCTCCCTAAATAGACTTATTCCCCTTTTGTCAAAGTAGTAGGCTTAATAGTATTAATCTGATGGCTCTAGGATGCTACTCGACTCCAGCTCCTGCGGCGCGGGACGGATCGGCCAACGATCTCCTAGCGACGGCTGCTCCAGCTTACAGCTTGTCAGCGCGTTCAAGGCCGCCTGACTGCCCCTCTCGGCGGCAAAGTGAAAGATGTCGTTGGGCGCCGCTCGGCGGAAGTGGATGGGCTCCGGGTATGGCCAGGCGTCAGTACCGTTCAAAGCTGGAGGGATCAAGAACTCGATGCCCTTCTGGACGCTCTGGCCTTCGGGTCCGACGTATTTCCAGAGGTCGACGCCGACCTTCTCACCCATGAGGATGATGCGCGAGAAGCCGACGAGAGTGAACATCGAGTAATGGAAGGGCTGCGTACGGATGAGCTCATTGGGCTGCGACCCGTTGGCCGCGATGCCATCGTCGATGCGGTGTGTCACATTATGCAGAAGCTCGCGGGCAAAAGACTTGTCGCCGACGTATAGTCCCATGTTGATGCCCGCCAGATGTGCGTATACGCCGTGATTATTGAAGCCGAGGAGCGTCCCGCGGCCGACGTGGGACGTGGTCAACCATTTGATCATCTTTTTACACCAGGACGTCATGCGGGCAGTATCCGCAACTGTCCAACCCGGTGCGTTGGTCGATTCAAGGATGCGGATGGCGTCAATGGCAAAGCTGATGCGAGCTGACAAGCTGATGAGCGCGGAGAAGGAGTAAGGATTGTCCTCGGGCTCCATGCAGGGGAGCCAGGAGCCGTAGTCCATGTTTGGATTCATCTTGGTCTTCTCGTCGAGAAACCATGTCTTGAGAATCAGGCTGGCGTGCTTGGCATAGGCCTTGTTACCAGTGTACCACCAGGCCAAGGTGAGTGCCCAGCTCGCCTCAAGCGTCCTTCTCAAACCCAGGTCGTCAGCCACGGAGGCTTCGGGATTTGCAACACCATCCCGGGGTTGATAAGGGCACCCGTCTGTCGAGTTTTCCGAAGGCCAAAAATATGGGTTCTGCACGAAGAAGTCGTGCTTGTTTCCCGTGGGGGCGGTTGCGTTCTTGGACATGACTGTCCAAGGCCCGTAGTGCAGCCAGCCGTCCGCGTCCTTGAGGAGGGACACGAGGGCCTTGGTCGTCGAAGGCTCTCCAACTGCCAGGGCAGCCTTGGCTGCTAGCAAGCGCTTCCCATCAACGGTGATGGTACGAGGCGCAGCCCAGATTTTACCATCCCCACTGACGAGAGAGTCGAGTTCAGGTGCTGGGGGCGTCAAACCCCGGGCAGCCACCGTTAAGGCGCAAATGAGGAAAGCCGTGAGTCTATAGACGGTCAGGGAAGAGGATCAGAGGGCGAAGAGACGTTTAGGGTCACACTTACGAGCCCATTGTGTAGACTATTTAATGAGACTAATAAGATATTGCGATACGGGATCAGACGAGAGATGAGTGCTCAGAGTTTGAGACTCCCAAGGCAGGCTGATTCCAGGCTTATTATAGACGAGCATTGCTCTGCTGTTTATTAGATCGAGATACATAACCGCAACTAACTAAATATCTATACGCGGAACACTGTTTGCCAAGACTCTTATTTGAACTCACATGACAGAACACTCGGTCCGAATGCTACGTTTCCCATGGGGAATACAAGGGGGCATGCGGAGGCGAGAGACTAACGTCGTCTGACCCCGGAAGTCCATGCACCCCATAAGTCCGTGATTGGTACGGATACAACTAGAGCTCTATAGAATAGCGAGTTAATGGTACCAAATCAGGTGGATGAGATTCTGGCACCAGTCGCAGCTTAGGCTTAATGTCATGCCAATAGAGGAATAGATGGATGCAACCAAGACTCGTTATGTTCAATTTCAATCTTCTATGGGTTTATTCATGTACATCCCCTCACTCGCTGTCATGATGCGCCATGCCGTCCTGACTGGCCTTGATGCTTACCCGGCTATATTGTCTACAATCAGTGTCAAGCCTGTAGAAATGAAGAACTGGATGGCATACTATACTCAAATTCGCCGCAGTTGTTGGAGATGTATTCAGAAAGATTAATGTCGGAAGAGGTTTGCTCGCCATCCTCGTTGTTGATGGTGGCTCGCAGGATGGGAACCTCGTCATCACCCTCGAGGTCGAAGGAGATGTCCTCAGAGGACTCGGAGAAGTCTACCGGTGTCAGTGACCGAATGAGAGTCCAACAGCATTGGTGATGGCCTACTCTCGCCACCCCAGGTGAGGGCGCCGTCGCTGACACCAATGACGGTGTCGAGGTCAAACTCGGCTTCAAGGTACTCCTCACCGTTGGAGAGCTGAGCCTTTAGGATGCTTCCCTCGACGGTGATATCGGTAGCGGACTCGTGGAAAGACATGGTGATGAGTAGTGGAGGGTTGAGGTGAGGAATTGAGGGGAGTTGAACTGTGATGAACTTGTTGGAAAACTAGGTTGGTTGAATTTGATGAGGGAAACAGAGAAATGAACCTGATCTCTTATTATAGTTCTAGATCTACTCAGGAGGCCTCATCATTCTGACTGCATTTCCTGTTGTTGATCAACATTGTCCACTGTGTGGCTCCGCGGCAGCCAAGTCGCCAAGATGGCCTGGGCGCTGTCGACATAGTGGCCTTGTCTCACCACAAGCACGAATAAACCATTTCAGCCCTCCTCCTCCAAGCACGATGAGTACGAGGAAACCCGATGTTATGGACTTGGCACGGAGGGACAAGACGGTAAAGCGGCACTACGACACGGCAACGGCGTCGAATGAGATGCCGCAGACCTGCATAGCCCCCAATGTGCTCCAATGGGAAACAAGCCAAGCAGGGCCGACAGTTGACAACGTGTCTCGCGCATATTCTTGGTCTCTGGTCTGACGTGCTGATTCTGCAATCCCCCGGAACAAGTCGAGCCGAACTGCATGAGGATGACTACGGGGATAGGAGGCTGAATAGGAGGAGCTGAAACCTGCGACGAGGGGTTATTCGACCCCTTAAGGACACGTAGAGAAATGCCAACGTAGGGCTGATTAAGGTGGAGTTCTGTAGTGATAGCTATGCTGTAAGTCTGTCAGAACTGTCAGATACTCCCCTATGCAAACATCGCAGGGTGTGCCCCCTTTAGGCTCTAACTTATGTATATTGCAACTCCTCGCAAACTTTCAATGGGTATTACGTGCCCTATGATTTCCTCAAGTGGCTGTATTCCGCCGTTTCTATCGTAAACATGTCGGTCGCACGTATCTCACGTCAGCTGCCGACGTATCAGAACATCTCCATAGTGCGATGATGCTATTTTCGCAAGTTTCATGCTTGAGGGTTCTTTCGTTGATATCCAATGCGTCAAGCGCTGCGTCTAGCCTCAGGGTTGTCATGACAGGCAGATTTGCATCGCATGCTGAGTGCATGAGCCGAGGAAGGGAACTTGCCGTGGCTTTTGCACCACCAAGATAGAGGGCCAAAGTCACAACTGGACGAGTTTCGCACACCGCCCCGCTCTCTTGATATTCTCTGGTTTACGACTAGAGACGGTAGCCCTGAGTAAGTCGATCTAGCACTCTTCATACGGGCTGATATAAATCTAACCAGGTCTTTCGTCTACACATCGTGATGCTGCTTATGCAATGAATATACGTGGGCGATAATCTCTCCCTAATGCTAATACTCACAGAGAGGGCGCGAATCGTGGCACAAACAACGTCCTAACCAAGTCTAGGTCCAGCTTTGAAGGGAAGCGTCTGCGTCATGTGCCTGCGGTCAAGTCATGGTGAGTGCAGAGGGAAACCTGCTATCACTTCTCCATCCTAAATACGTTTATCAACACAACCAAGCCATCACGAATCATCGCTGAGATTTTTATATTTTTATATACTGAGTGAAGGCAGAAGTTTCTCGATTTGCTGACGAGTGCATGGCAGTTACGAGATATCCTAGAGCGCATAAGGAGCACTACGAGTTTACACATATCATTTGTGTGTTTCCTTGGATTGTTTTTGGCTGGATACATAAAACATAGTTAAGAAGCAATAGAAAATGTATCAGATCTAACGGATAATAACATCCTCCCACTCAGTCTCGCTGTCGCCAGTGTGGCTATTTTTCCTTGACAGGGCTGCAGCTGCTTCTGCCGCTTCTCTCTCTTCCAAGTCTGTGAAAACCTCGTCCAACTCGTCGAGACCATCTTCTTTGGTGGCCTCTCTAGCCCGCTGTTCCTCTGTGATCTTTCTAGCCTGCTTCTCCCGCTGGTTCTCCGGGTATCCTAATCTAACAATGATCTATTGTGGCAAATGGTACACAAGGGACACTGGCGCTTAGGGGTCATCAATAATGCCGGGGCATGTAGGAGCGTTGTGTGCGGGAGAAGATGTTTGTGAGAGATATCCGCACGAAATCACATTGAAAACGATTGGTGCGGCCTCTGTGCCTCAGACACGGCACACTTTGAGCTCAATATGGCGGTGGCACGTTGCTTTGGATGGTACTGCTGCGCTCAATCTTAACATTCTCCATTTTCAAGAGTAGTATACAGCCCTGACCTTGACATCTACAGTTATGAGATTGTGGTATGGCTATGCCAAGGTCAACAACTACGACGAAGATACAGGGGTTTGGACACAAAACCGACGGTCGGCTGCCTCGATAGAAATCCGTATCGTGACCATAGGCCCTCAATACTGGGCGCCGTCACGTCTGCGGCGGTGGCTCGTCATGCACGATGAAACTTGGCACGGTTTCCTCAAGGGTCGGTCGTGCATCACGGGCGGGCACAGCCGCATGCTAAAGTGCGGGTGCCTGAGATGCGCCCAGACTGCTCAGCCAAGGCAGATCTGATAACCACAGTTGAGGCTATTGATGTAAACGATCAATTTCAAGGCCAGTGATGTTCAAATTGCAGCCAAGTGTAATGTCAGACATATTTTCAAGCTGTAGGTGTCCTTGTAGGCCGAGGGCAAGCCTCCATAATCCTGAAGGAGGCTCTCAAGCAAGACACCAACCTCAAGAGCCAATTTCGAATCCGGAGCCAATTTTGCAGACTTCGTAGGAAGGAAGTTGTTAGCATGATGATAAAAGTCGGTGATAAGAATGCCAAGGGCCTAACAACTTCAGGAGTTTGATTAAACAACTAAGCGAGGCCACTTGGCCCAGGCGACCTTCACTATTGGCCGCAGTACGCAACGTAGCATCATCTCGCCATTCCCCCTTCTTTCCCTCAACGTGAAGACAGTTGTTTGTTCCTCTCGCAAAATTCTTCTTGTTCAATGAAATGAACGTTTTCAGGAGCTTTTTCAACATCCTCAAGGCCAAAAATCCCCCGCAGCAGATGGCACGAATGGCGCAGACGGTCAGGGCCTCTATCAATCCTTCTCATGATTTCCTTCAGCGGTGCAATCCATTCAAGGACTTGCCGGATGATCCCGACACTGTGAAAACGTTTCGCGAGGTGTCCTACATCAAAGCCAAGTTGCAGTATTATCTGGTGCCCACCTCGTTGCCCGGAGATGACTACGCGCTGTGCTCTAAATTGTTGCGCAGCCTTGAGACGCGTCACGACTTGACGTGGCTGGTGCTGGATGAGACTGGCACGCGGGACACAATCCAGGCGATAGGTCGACGAGGAACCCCGCGGGAACCTATCCCAGAGGAACCCTTTGACCTGAGCCAGCGGGCCAAGACTTTGGCCGCACACTGGACGGCGCTGGCAAAGCTACCTGAGCATCCGAGGAAGTGGGAGGCGGCGTTTTCCACTCAACATCAGCCTCCTTTGATAACTGAAGAATTCAAGCTCGAATTGGATCCTGAGCAAACAGCAGATCTGGAAAAGGAATACACGGAATGGCGCACCAGAAGGGACGAAAAGGCCGCGTATTTGAAGTACAATCCGCCTCACCCGACGGGCTATGTCCAGGCGACGCGCGACCAAGTCCCCGTCGATGAGACTTGGGAGCTTTTACCCTGGGTCATCTTCGAAGGAGCAGCTTCTCCAAATGATGGAAGCAGAAGATGGCTTCCCATCTACACATCGTTGCTTTCACAGAATATTCCGTTTGGTTGGAGAGCACCGGATGCGCCGCCCCCAAAACAGAAGACGCAGGAGGAGAAGGATCAGTGGGAGAGGGAATATCGGGCAAGTAATGAAAGACGTGAGAAAAAATATGCCCTTCAGAAGCAGTTGCGGAAGGCGAATGAAAGAAGATAGACACCACAGATAGCAAGCAGCCTGCATCGGGTAGGACTCAATGCCAAAACTCTTAACTCAGCCCGAGGACGAGTCCGAGAAACCTTCAAGATCTCCTTGTCGGCGAAATCTGCCAACACACCACGGGCTTGATGCCCGGGCGAAGACGCCCGGTTAGCTCAATCGGTAGAGCGTGAGACTCTTATCTTGCGCCTACAAGCGAAGACGAGTACGCGATCTCAAGGTTGCGGGTTCGACCCCCGCATCGGGCTTTTCCTATAATTCGATTGAATCTTTTTTTGCTCCTCTGTGCAAAGGATATCTTTTTTCCTTGCTCTCTCTGCTATTATTTGAAATAGCATAGAGTGTTGAAATTGTCTTTAATGCCTTTGCGTCTAGGTCTTCTTTCTTTTCCTATGCTTCTTGTAGTGGGGAGTTTGCTTTAGCTGAAGCAGAAAGCTTAGAATAAAGTTTCATTAATAGTACGCATTTTCACACCCATTCTACCTAGAAGAACCAACGCAAAGTCTCTTCTTAAAATTGACCTACTATTGTGAAGTAATTCAGTTCTCTACAGTCGCGTTTATCCCTCGCAAAAGGCTGACTTGTTGAAATTCGAAGAATTATAGGGTAGGGTGAATGTCCCGCCATGGACTTTGGGGCCTAAAAATGGAGACAAGCCCTCGCTCGGCTACGACTCCATTCAGGGGAAGAAACGGATGGTGGCGTTGATCTCGACATGGGTATCTCGGCATCGTCTGTGCGACTGAAATGTCTCCATAACCTTATTAACATGAACCAGCTGGAAGCACCCGCATGCGACGTTCCACAAGGAGTGCGACTCAGATGCAGGGTCATCATCAAGCAAACTGAGCTGACTGCAAAGAAGATGGGCAAGACTCAGTGCTGCAAAGATCGTGCAACGCAAAAATCCTTTGACTTGGCTCCGGCCTATTGCACAAAATGTTCCGAAAGGACTCATTTACTCAGGTATATCTTGATAGCTATCGAACGTAAGAGACAAAATAAGCTCGCTTGTTGCGGCAAAGAATCACATATCCTACAAATGAAACTCAAACTCCCTATAGCGCCCGCTTCTTGAGCTTCACCTCCAGTCCCTCTTGTCTAGGGAACCAGCTATTAATCACCTTCCACTCCTTCTTAGGGTCTGCCAGCTCAATCTCAAATAATGTGATGAGCGTAGCAAGAACTTTGTAGGTCTGGAATAGACCCATGTTCTTGCCGATGCAGATTCGGCTGCCGCCTCCAAATGAGAGATCGGTCTGGTTCATCAGAAGAAGCCTCTTCTGGAACTGCTCCTCAGTCTCGCCATTTGCCTCGTCGCGGAGCCAGCGCTCGGGACGAAAGGTGTCTGCGTCTTCGCCGTAGACCGACTTGTTCCGGGCGAGGATGTAGGGGTTCATGCCTACGATGGTGCCTTCGGGGAGGTAATCACCGTTAGGAAGCACGAAGCCCTCGCGAGGCACGTAGCGCTCCATGGTCATTGAGACACCGGGGAGCATACGAAGAGCCTCACGGATGACAGCGTCAACATATGGCAGGGCCTTGACCTCCTTGTAGCTGGGTGGTGTTCGCCCGTAGAACCCTGCAGCCAGAACCTCATCTGTGAGACGGTTCCAGACGCTGGGGTTCTTGAGCGAAAAGTACAAAGAGCTGCGAATGGTAATGGCAGTCGTGTCAGCGCCAGCAATCATGTTGACCATAAGCCATGACACGATCTGTGGATCGTTCACATTCTCAGGATCCGCATTCTTGGCTTCGATGAACTTGTCCAAGAAATCCGGTTTCTCAGGATCATGGTAGTCCTTGTCATTGCCTTGGTACCGATCCACCAGGTGCTTGATCGAGATGCCCGTGATGGTGTTGAAACCGGGGGGTCCAATATGGCAGACGGGGTTCTTGTCAAAGACACGGTCAAGGAAGGGCATGGTTCCGACGACGGTGAAGTAGTCCATGGCCTTGTCGGCGTTGGACAGGGTTCCATCAAAGTCATATCCCTTTTCGAGGTAGCCGATGGGCTGGGAGAAGGTCACGGCTCCAACGACATCCCAGGTATCTAGGAGGTGGTTAACGACTGCAAGGGTAGTACATGGTAGATCAATTGCACTTACAGAATAGAGTCCATTGGCCGATGTCGCAGACCTTACCAGCATTGTCGCCGGCAATGTACCGCTTCTCGAGCTCGTTGCAGAACTGGTCGATGACCTTGTCCATGTGCGGCTCCACAGTGGTGATGCCGGCACTTGAGTAGTGCTTAGCGATAGGTTGCCTCTCCTTCCTGTGCTGGACAGGGTCGGTTTGACTAAAGAGATTGTAGACGATTTGCCCATTCACAAGAGCACTGCTGCCATGGTAGAAGGGAGTCTGGTTGCTTGTTAGTCAAGGCATCTAATTGAGGGACACGTCATCTTACCTTCAGCCAGTCACCCTTGATGCTAAACATGGTCTTGATGAGCTCAGGGATATCAACATCGATAATGCTCGGTGTGATTCGAACAATGGGTCCATATTGCTTGTGTAGCTTATCCAGCACAAGGTGAGAGTCACCCGTCCATGCTTGGTACAGATACCACAGCCTTGTGAACTCTTAGTCATTGTTAGCTGCTTCTCTGAAACGCGGTAATCGCCCCGGAGATGTGGAATCCGAGAAAAGCAAAGATGGGTTGTGTCACTTACTCGCAAGGAACGGTCCGGGGTACTTCTTCAACGGTGACGAAAAGTACGAGCCAATGGTCCACAGTGAAATTGTGCTAACAGGGACAATGAGGTATAAAAAGAGAGATGAATTGCTGCGCAGAATTCCCTCTGCAGACTCCAGTATGGAGGTGTCAAGATATGAGGTGTGATTCATCGTCGTGACACTTGCGGCTGCGACTTTGGGGAAAAAGATGGAGAGGGTGCTTTTTGCATGGGGACTCGGAGCCCAGATATGTCGCTAATAAAATTTCATTTATCGTACAGGTCAGGGATCTTTCGAGTACCGGTTTCAAAAAGCCGACGGCGGCCTCGACCAACGACTCGAGTAAGAGAAATCGTACGAGTCATTTTTTGCTTTGGGATTCATTGTTTGTCTGCAGGAACCATGTCACAGAGAGGCTTCGTCGTCGTTGTTTGCTTGTGGAGATTGGGACAGGGATCTTCATCCCGCCGGTCGAGAACCAGCCAACTCGAGTCAAGCTATTTCACATTCTCCGGCCGGGGAACTGACTCTCTAGTCCCGTTAGCATGGATATATTGCCCTAGTTTCCCGCCATACCCGCAAGTGCCCGACCCGCCGTTTCAACGAACTGTTCTTAACAGAGCCTAGCTGGACTATTAAAGAATGGCCAAGGCAAACAATGGCTGCTAAATCAGCCATGTAACCCTTCCAAGACGCGTATTTCTTTTGTGAGGACGACGGGTTGGAAGCTAAGGACTTGGGGTCCAGGGATTTGCCCCTCGGTTACAACCCGTCCTGACGATCAACAAAGCTTCGAGGATTACCCGTGCCGTTTCATTTGAAATGCCGCATCCATCGTCTCGGATGCGGCCAGGCCCCCCCCGGGAGAGAATCAACGGCTGCGGTCCGGGCTACCGTTGCAGCGAACTAACGCGGAGCAATCCTACCCTGAGAAAAGCAAACCGCCAAGGGCAGCTAAAACTGCTCAGCAAAGGACTTGTTTGCTTCGCCTTTCTCTCTTTGGAAAGGAAGGCGCTTATCAGCTAAAGTAGTTGTGTTAGAGGTTTGCTACCGGCGTCTAGACTGCCGACCGGAGGGCTGGAGTGCTTACGTTCATGACTGATGCATCTTGTTTTCTCAAAGAGCTATCATGTTTTCCCCTGCATGTTGAAACTACCGATGAACGATGGGCCCCTGGATATTCAAGATCCGTGGAGTGGCCTAGAAAACTCGTTCAGACCGAACCACACCATGTAACCCAGCCGCGATGCAGATCAACCAGGTCTGGGGCTCCTGTGGCGAAGCACCAGCCATTCCCACAAACCGAATCGTCGATACCAAAGACACGGAACCGCACGATGCGTATTTCTCGGTCCTGGGGTCCCCGCGAGAGTTTTTGCGCAAGACATATGTTTCGTTCGTTCCTCCCGGTAAGATTGATTCCTTTCGCACACGGTTCCTTGCGAAAGAAGTCGAGCTGCCCATCATGGAAATTGGAGGACAAGCCCCGATGGCCTTGGCCGTCATGTGGGCTTTTACAGTCATGACTTGGATCTTTGTTGCTCTTCGTCTTTACACGCGAGCATTTGTTATGAAGCAAATCGGCGCTGATGATCACGCTTACTGGCTGAGCGGCGTGAGTACTTCGCACACTCTGAGCTTGTGCGTGGCTTTGCTGACTTTTCTAGATCTTGATTTTGCTTTATACTGTATTTGTCCACATTTCGGCTCAATATGGCTTCGGCCAGACGATGCCCGGCCTGGATGCCGGCACCGAAGCCTTTGACAATGCTGCCATGGCCATCAAGTACGAGATGATTGGTCAGACCTTTGCAGTCATCGGTATGGGTGTGGCAAAGACATCTCTCGGTCTGTTTCTGTTGCGCATTGTCGTTGAGCTGTGGCACAAGATCGCTATCTGGGTCGCAATGGTGTCGCTCATGCTCGTGTCTGTCATTACTGCTATTATCTTTTGGATTCAGTGCATCCCGGCCGAGAAGATCTACGATCGCATGCGAGTCGAGGGCGTGTGCCAAGTTGACGTAACGCCATTCGCAATACTTCTTGGAGGTAGGACCTACGGCTTCTCCCTCTTCCCTCCCCGTTTAGCTGACTCTTGGCTGTAGTGTGGTGTGCCGTTGTCGACTTCTTCTTCGCCATCTTCCCTTGGATCTTCATCTGGGGCTTGAACATGAAGTACAGGGAGAAGATTACCATTGCTGCCAGTATGAGCTTTGGTGTAGTGTAAGTACCTGTCAACTTTGGACCGCTTGCGCCTCTAACCTGTCATAGCGCCGGCGTCTGTGGTATCGTCCGCACCTACGAGGTCGCAACCGGCTTCACGGCCAATTACACACGTAGGTTACCCACAGACACTGTGTAGTCCCAGCTAACGATTTTGACAGTCGACACCGTCCCCTTGATCATCTGGTCCGCCGCCGAAATGGCCGTCACCCTCATGTGTATCGGCATCCCTATCCTCCGCCCCCTCTGGCGTCGAACATTCCACGGTTCCAAATACTCCTCCGAACGATCCTACAAGAAGCAAGGCGAAGGCAGCGATGGTCCAAGCTACAACCTGGGCAGCCTGCCTCGCAGCCACGAAGCGAACGAGTCCAACAGAGGGTTCCCCAACGCGGACCCAAAGTTGGGCATCCGTGGACCTAGCACTATCACTCGTATCGCAGGCGACAATATGAGTGATGAGTCTATATTGGGGCCTGAGTATCGCAATAGTCGGGCGAGGGATGGAGGTATCTGCGTCAAGCAGGATGTTCAGGTCGATTGGACAAAGGGGAATCCAGTTTAGCCTTCAACATAGAGCTAGAAAAACATTGGGATCTTGGGGGTTTGTGAGTAAAAAATGGTGTTCTTGAGACAAGCTGGCGCGCTCTCTCCGTTCATGTTATGGGGCTTCATAGATCTTAGATAGACATCGAAACCCGTTGCCATTTTTTTCTGTCATTGATTAAAGCGACAGAGCTTAGCGCATGACCTCCTCATCGGCCGTGGACCCTGGCGCATCAATTCACATTCCCGTGATGTGCCCTATCCCCCTTAGACCACCTCGATCAGCCCCGCGGTGTCAAATACCATGCTCATACAACCGACAGCCTCAGATGCCTTTCTCAACAAATCATTACACTCCCGATGCATCCTTCTCGCCTCGTTTGACCTGTAGCAAGTTCTTTCCTCCGCTGCCAATACGTCAAGGAGCCTGAAAAATGGCTGCACAATCTCCAGGTCTGACTGTGCGTCTGCACATGCAGGGTGATCTAGCGCATTCTGCAAGAGCATCATGACAGCGGCGAAGAATGGGTGGAGCATGATCCTGTTGGTTCTTAGTAGAGAAGTGTCAGTTTTTATGGATTACTTACCAGACACAGGCATAGTCTCCATGAGGTATCAAATGCATCAAGCGAACTGCCTTTCTTGACTCGATGAGGCAGTCACTCTCGACAGGTACGAAAGTGCCCTGCAAATCAGATCCTTCATTTACTACAAGCTGCTGTCTTTGTGGCAAGTGTCGAGCCACCATGATAAAACAGTGAATGTAGGTGAATCGTAGGATAAGTACGTGCAGCGCCTCAGGCGACAGAGGCATCGTAACGTGGTCGCTATCCAGATCAATCTCAACACTGCTTCGCCAATATGAGATTATTGAGTCAAGTTCTTTCGCTACGGAAGCTTTCTGCATCTCGGACTGTTGTGATGCCTGTACCGAGTACAGTCGCTTGTAGACTTGCCCTTGGATCACAGCAAGTCCGATGCGGGATTTGAAGAGATCGATAGTACAAGGTTCATCAAGACCAGAAGGCAATGTGGAGAGAACACCCGATGGCAGCTCGACATCCATATCGTCATCGTCTTGGGAAAAAGGCTGCCCCATCCGGAGACTAATGTCTTTGTCAAGAAGGTACGCAATCCAAAACACACGTCTCCGCTGCTCGTTTTCCGCTTCGGTAAGGCCGTTATCACGAGTTTTTCGGTGTAGCCCCATCGCCTGTGCTAACCTTACCGCGGCTGCTGTGAGGACAGAGGCGGGATGTGAGTTTGCTGATCCCTGAAGTACGAGAGCCATGCCAACCAGAGCTTGAACTGCCGGTAAGCTATTGTGAAGAATATTGAGTTCTGCAACGACTGCAAGTGCATTATGACAATAACCGCACGCCTGAGCACTCTCGTAGCCTGTTTCAAACATGCGCATCGAGCGGAAACGGTGGGCGAGAGACAGAACGATGTTGATACACGCCCACCACCCTGGATTACTCGGACTCGAGGTCAAGTAGTGGCGGTCAAATTTTTGCAGGAAATCTTGCTCATCAAAGAGTGGGAAGAAGCGGATGAAGCTCTTGAAGGTATCCGTCACTAGATCGAGTGCGACTGGCTTTGTAGGGAGCTCCTGAAACGTGGGAAGAGAGAATGGGCCCAGTGCCATGCCCACTGTAAATGATGGGGACGGGCGTAAAGGCGATGCGGCGGAGTTAAGGATTTCTGTGAAATTTCCTGGTATTGTGTCAAACCAGGACGAAGGGAATATGTTGGTTATCCTTTGCGGAGGACTCGCAACAACCATATCTGTCTGTGGTTGCTCGCTCGAGTCCTCGCAAGGCGCATGGTCCATGGTATCTTCTGCTGGTGGGGCTTCGCCCTCTGTGGATTTGGCGCGTTGGAGAGCTTTCTCCAGGACGTTCTCCATGTTCTGAAGTCTCTCCTCTAACTGAGCAATGTACTTATAACTACAGGAATGTTAGCAACGCCAATGAGATTGCATGCTTCAGACGTACCCAGCAGGCCTCCGGGGCTTTCGTTTTGTGGAGATAGGAGTGAAGTGGCATTTTGTCTTGGACTTGGTGCATTGCGCACACCCTTGCTTTGTGGGCTGGCATCGTATCTTTTTGATCCGACACATGTCGCAGGCCTATGGAGCGTGTTATTTCCCTTTACTAAATTCGTCATTATGCCACTTACCCTTATCATTAGTCGTTGAGACTCAGCTGGCTCACTAGACGGCACCGAAGTTTGGATGTCTCCCCCCATTTTTGAGGTTGTGGATAGGTTGTCAGAGAAACTGACCAAGGGGGCAATCCTGACTCTGAATTGCCGAAAAAGAGGCTCAGCGATGCCCTCAGAAGTCTTGGCCCGAGGTTGTGGTAGGAAAAGAAGAGGAAGATGACGGGATGATGATATGAGATGAGCTCACGTGATGAAGATTCCTGTGATTATAAATCAACAACCAGTCCCCCTTTTGAGCCTCATTTCAAGCGATAGGTACTTAATTGCACCAAGATTTGTTTTCGGTTTAGAACCAGCCTCGTCCTGAAATCAGCTAAGATCACCAAGATAGCCCAAGATCGGGCTGAAGGTGGAAGGGAAAAGACTCGAGATGTTGCCGCCGGTGCTATCACGTGCTTCTTAATCTGCCCCTGCTTTGTGTGTAAGATTTCGCTCCTAAAAAGAGCTATGCTTGGCTGTTGACAGTCGTTACGCTCTGAATATCTCCCTGATTGCTTTTCCGGTGGGAATTTTAGGCCATACAACGACACAAAGTCACAATGACTGGTCGGATCAGCTCTTGTCTGAGAGCCTGCTGTCGCCAACAACCAATTGGATGATAACCTTGTCTTATAGCCGACGCATGCCATGCAGTTGTGATATTTTGGGACACCAAACCGCGCAGCCGATGCCTTCAGTTTCTCGGCGTGGGAAACGGCACCAATAGGACGTGGTGTTTCGGTTCCAGTGTGGTGAAAAGGTCAGGCTGAGGCCGGGAGGGAAGCCAAGTCACCAACTTGAGCTTTTGTGCCCCGTAGACAATAAGACAATGCCAAGGCTTTCCAGAGCGGAATTTATTGGCTGGGTGTGCCTGCCAACTCTTGGGGTGGCTGTTGGGTCCCTCGTTGTTCTCTTTCATATCATCTTCATCATGCCCGAATATGACTACAAATTTCGGACCATCACCGAGTACAACTACACACATCCCACTCCCACCTTATGGCAAGCGTGGCACGAGGCCTACTTTCGAAGAGTTGGAGGTGCCATTTATGCGAATGGCGAGTACGTACGGCTTTATGAGTCGGGGTGCAAAACTGACAGCTGGACGGCACCCAACTGCACGCGCACGTGCAGCAACAACACATACATGTTCAGCTCACCAGAGAATGTTTGGAACTGTATTACTCTCGCTGAGGTGTCCATGGAGGTTGGACCGGGAAACAAGACGGTTGATCCTGTCAATTTCAAGCAAATGGACGACAAGTTTGATCTTGGTGGTTCACTCGAGTCTTTTCATGAGCTCTTTGTCTTGTTGCGCGTTCGGAGATGCTTCTGGCAATCTTGCTCCGACTCCAAGTACGGGAAGTGCACACTGGATCTCGAGTGCTTCCGATGCAACCCCGTAGACCCTGGCAATATCCAAGATTTTGATCGGGCCATCAATCATGCGTATTGTCGTGATGCTGATTTGGGCGTCGACTCGGACATTGCGGGGCCTGGCATACTCGTCGCCTACATGGCCCAGATAGCTCTTGTGCTTCTCTTGGCCGGTCTCTTCTGGGCGACCTACCTGCCTTGGAATCGCCCCAAGACGGCGACACGACAGTTTCTTGGTGCATTCGACTCTACCTCGACGCCAAAAACAGGGCCAGAGATTTCGAAGCCCGTTAACCGCCTTACCTTGGCGGCCCACTCGACCATCTCAGAGCTGCAGGAAGCTCAAACAGCGTTTGGCTTGGCCGTCGGTGTCATCTTCCTATGCGCTTTTGGAGGAGGGAGTGGGCTGGGATTAGCCAACTTCTCATCAGTCTTATCCTACTCCGTCAACCACGATATTGCTTTCGGCCTCTTGGTCGTAGGCGCATGTTCAATCGCATTCTTACAGCCATGTCGTCAACGAGTTGGCAAACATATCAAGCCGAGATGGGTCTTTATGGTCCCCATGTTGACTAGTTGGGGTTTGATGATCATCGCACATGGCTTGAAGACTCAAGGCTCGTGGGCAGATCCCGAACATCTCATTGAGATTCTTAGAGAGAACGCCGCGGTGGAAGACTGTGGAAACCATCCGGGGCCCATGTCGTTTTGCCTTGGACCGTTGCTTCAAGGACCTGATGAATCGCAGCGAGTTTTCAAGATAACGATAATGCTTGCTCCCATTGTTCACATCCTCTTTGCTATTGCGCTTTTTGAGGAGTGGGCTATCAAATCGAGAGAAAACCCCGAGTCTAATATATCTCAGTCCTTTAGTGGACGGGCTTCCCAGATTCTACCCAGGATTTTCTTCACAGCGAACCTCCTGAGTTTAAGCATGCTGATAATCTGCCTTGCCGAGGTGGTAAAAGCATTCAAGAAGATCTAGGAAATCAATGGTGGCCGGTACTCTTGGGGTTTTGGCCAACTGGTAGCTATGGCCATCTGGATCCCCGTGGTGGCAAACTTTCTCACCCTTCTCACTCATATGTCACCTCTACACATTATCAAATTATGGCACACTAACTAGCTTGGGATATAGTTGGCACGGAGAAGGGAACAGAAACCAGAATCCACAAGCTGCTTCAAGTATCTCAAGCAGGCACCATTGCGACATCGAGCCAGGGTAGATCAGGAGAGAATGGCAATGACAGCTTCCCTTTGCTAGCCACTCTGCCATCGACTTCAAGCCTCCAGGTTATGGGTAACAAGGCTGTTGCTGGTCCCTCGCACATGAGCCGGTCGTGAGGCTCTGGGTACTGCGTGAGAGAGAAGAAGATGGAGGGGAGAAATCGGGCTGGCACCCTGGAGAGAATCCGTTCACTTGAGGATTACGTTATAGGGGAATACGAGTTGAGCATAATGATCTGATACACGAACTTCAAAGTTTTGGGTACCTAGCTTAGCTACTACCATAAAAAACGTTGATGATTGCCTTAGAACTTCGTATATCCCTGACCCTTGACAAAGGTCTGCTGCCATGGTCCCTGAGAGTCTCCTTCAGCAAGCTTAGTGTAAAACTCTCCATGAGCAGCACCATCAATGGCAGCGGAGGCACTCGAACCATCCGCCTTTCGCTCATCGGCATAGTAGAACCTGCAATGAATTAGTAATCGAGCTATGTAGGATGGAAGATGAGCATGTACTTGAATCCCTTGCTAGCATACGCCTCGGCAGCACATTTGATGAAATGAGCCGTCGCAGATTTTCCGACGCCAAGATCCATGAGCGAGACGATGGTATGGTCGTTAAGGAAGTTTCCGGTGTAGATGAAGGTACGAGATGCTGAGCTGGGGAGCTCCTCAAAAGCGAGAGCGGCTTGTTGAGCTGCTGCGAATGCACCGGTGGTGTTGATGGCCAAGTCACGAGTGAACGCCTTCAGATCAAGGCTGAGGGGGTTCTTGGCATCATTGGGAGTCACAGCAGCGGCTATTGAGAGGAGTGTCAATGAACGGGACAGGGGTAGTATTGGGAAGGCAAGGTACCGTTGTAAACCACGACACCCGGAGTACCCAGCTGCGATTTGACAGTTGAAAAGACCTTCTCCACAGACTCTGGGTCGCTAAAGTCACTGTGAATGTGCAACTGGTTGGGAGTGCTGTCCTCTTCCTTCAGGCTTCGAGCTGCGAGAGCAATTGTGTAGCCCTTGGCTGCGAATGCGCGACCGACATGTTGTCCGATGTTGGAGCCAGCTCCAAGGATGAGGGCGACGGGAGAGTTGGGGGCCATTTTGGAGATTGTACTTGGATAGAGGAGAATGTAAAGAATTGTAGGAGGATGGAGGGGAATGATATGCAAGAAATGTTGGAGCGATATTGCAAGATGCAATTCATATTAAAATAGTCCACAGAGTCCATCATCAACCAATAGGTGTCTCATGCAGCATGATCTCGTAGGGCGGTTAGTTCTGTGGTGGTGGTTGATCAGCGCCCGGAGCGGACCTTACGAAGCCTCCGGAGGCTTGCGCCAAGATAAATGGCTTTTGTCAGCAAGATGACACCCACCAGAACTCTCCCTCTCGGGCCAAGAGTGGGATCTAAGACAGTGAGAGATCCGACTGATAATTCTCCCATCTTACCCCGAATGGATTCCGTATATCTTGAATGTAATGGTGATCTCAATGGTGTTTTGCGGTGTCGTTGGTGGCGGTTTTGATGACATCGCGGGCCGGTACTGCCATATTGACAACATGCGAGCTGCTGACGAAGCCGCACATTGTCTGAGAAAGAATATTATAAAGAATTGGTAAGTTCACATGGCTGAAGAGTTCAATCAGGAGCCAATAGCGAAAGCAAGCCATCTCAGTGGAAATGATGCGACAATGATGATTCTGCATTCTGAGTCCTTGGCACATTACCAACTGATGTCATCCAACTAGGTATAGTTTCACGCTCATTCGCGACTTTCGAGACAATTCTGCCTTACACTCTCGTAGAAGCTCGTCCAACCACTCCGTCCGAATCGCTTCAACAATTCCACCTCTCTCCCCGTATCAACCTTGCACAAGTTGTGCTCTTGGGATGCATCATCGGCCGGCCAATCCTTTGCTGGATCCAGCTGACGAAAACTATCAAGCCAGCTATTGAAGTTGAAGGGACCTGCAAATCCCAACAGACGTTCCCCCTTCACTTCTTCTTGGTTGAGAGCAGCGATATGAAGTAGCGCCGTGTCCTGCACGTTAATGTACCACGAGGCACCAAACTGCTGAAGATCCTTGAAATGGCCAGGGTCTCTCCAGAAGTCTCGCACCCATTTCCCAGTACTTCCAGGCTGCTTGGGGTGTAGAATTGGCCCAATGTTGAAGCAAGGAAGCACCGAGTTGATGATGAACTTGGGCTTCTCTGCCTTTTCGAATGCCCAAATCTCCTGTTCAGATTGAGTCTTGAGAGCCGCATAGACGTCCCAGACGCGGTCGGCCTCGTAGGGCGGCGGTCGCCACGCGCTCTCAACGGCTGAGTCGTTCCACATGCTTGAGTCAAGCGACACTTCCTTGCCATTGATGACGTTGGATATCGCTCGGTCGCTGCTCGTGAAGACAAAACGCTTAACTGTTGGCTCCGTAGCCGCGGCTGCAAGCAAGTTTCTTACGCCCTGTACCATGGGTGTGATGACTTTGTTGGGGTCGGCGTCAAATGACATGTCTGTCACAACGTGGACAATGCCATCAACACCCTGGATAACCTTGCCCCATGCATCCGGTGCGGTGACATCTGGGACAATCGCAACTTCGAAGTGCCTAGAAGGGTTGCGCTCTTTCATGGATTCTGTGACCCAGGCTGCTTTGTCCGAGGAGCGGACGGTACCGCGTACTTGATAGCCGAGGCCAAGGAGGTTGTTTGCGATGTGAGAGCCGATGAAGCCATTGACTCCGGTCACCAGCACCAATCCCCGAGGGGGGACAATGAGTTGAGACGAATTCATGATGTGAAGGATCAAGTTGGAAAGAGAATATATCGAAGAAGAGTGATTCACTGATTGTAGATCAATGTTATGGCGGCTCGGGGGGCGAGCTCTTTGATATCCCGAAAAAAGGGGGACAAAAGTATTGTTAATATAGATTGCTATCAACAGACTCCGAATGGATCCTGAAAATGCTGAGTAGCTAGGTAATTAAGTATATTTCGTAGAGTTACTAGATTATTTAACTTTCGAGCAACGTTATTCGTCATACATTCCGGTGTTTCGCCCCAGCCGGAGGCCCGGAGCGGACCTCTCGAGACCTCCGGCACTAGTCCTTTCTTGACACGAGCAATTAGACTGGGACCAACACAGCTAAGCAACGGTGAATCGAATAGGAGTTGTACAAGTAGAAAATGTATGATATAAATTCAAGTCCTACCGACCTGGTTGATTCTGCCCAAGAGTCAATCTTCACTCACCATTGTCCATTGATCTGGAACCGAGACATCTACTTTTGTTGCCACCATGACGTCCCTATCTGACATAGATCTGGAGCCAAAGCCAGAAACCCAATCACCACATAGGACACCATCTCAAGTCCCTCAAGGTGAGTTGCTTCCGTGACCTTCAGTAGGCAACCTTGCTCACATAGTCTCTCCAGATGTCGAGTCTAGCTCACAATCCGACCAAGACAAGAACCTTTATCCAGCGGACGCTCTCTCAACTCCTCGCCAGATCCTCTTCGTTGGAACTCTCTGCACAGCCATGTTCACCAACCAAATTGGCCTGGGAAACACCCTCGCAACTGTCGGTTTGATTGGAGAGTCATTTGGCATCACCAATCCAGGCCAACTCTCCTGGCTCATCGCAGGCTATAGTCTGACTCTGGGAACCTTCATCCTCATCGGTGGACGTCTGGGGGATGAGTTTGGCCACAAGAAGATGTTCGTCATCGGCATGATCTGGTACTCTCTTTGGTCCATGGTTGCCGGCCTATCGGTCTACTCCAATTACGTTCTGTTCACCTTTTCCCGTGTGTTTCAAGGCATGGGTCCTGCTCTCACTCTACCAAATGCTCTCGGTATCCTGGGCCGGTCCTTTGCGCCCGGGCCGCGACAGAATATGGCATTTGCATGGTTTGGTGGAACTGCTCCTTTTGGTGCCATTGCAGGTTTCTTGTTCGGGGGTCTCTTTGCTGTCGCTTGGTGGCCGTGGATCTACTGGAGTCTCGCAATTGCGCTTGCTGGTATAGCTGCTTTTGCTGAGTGGACAATTCCACCGCCTCTTCAGGAGAAGCAGACTAAGCCACTCCGAGAGAGACTTGAAGCGCTCGATATTCCCGGCGGCTTGACTGGTGTTACTGCATTGGTACTGTTCAACTTTGCGTGGAACCAGGCTGTTGTAGTTGGCTGGAAACAGCCCTACGTCTCCGTCTGCCTCATACTCGGCGTCCTGTTCGGAGCAGTGTTCTTCTGCATCGAGATCTACTGGGCGAAATCACCTCTCCTACCTCTAGCTTCCTTCAACTCCGACATTGGGTTCGTGTTTGCATGTACGGCAACAGGCTGGGCGTGTTTTGGTATCTGGGTGAGTCGCCGATCTTGTGAAGAGGAGTAAAATGCTAACAAGGGATTAGGTCTACTACATTGGCCAAGTCGCTCTCGACATCGGAGGAAACACCCCGATTCAGATCGCAGCCTGGTTTGTGCCGGTCATCCCCGTTGGATTGATCTCAGCCCTGGCTGTTGGAAAGTTGATTGGGAGGATTCCAGCGTCTTGGATTATGGTTGTCGGTCAGGTTGCATACCTCGTGGGCTCCATCCTCGCAGCAGCACGACCTCCTCATTCTATTTACTGGACATATTATTTCTTCAGCGTCCTCATCATTACTGTCGGTATGGATACGTCATTCCCTTCCGCTGTCATCATCTTCTCGAACGCGGTGCCTCGAGAGGTTCAGGGAATGGGTGCAAGCGTTGTCTTGACCGTCATCAACTACAGCATATCCATCGGACTTGGGTTTGCGGGTACTGTAGAGACAAACATTAACGACGGCGGTAAGAATGAAGATGACAGACTGCTGGGTTATCGCGGGGCACTGTGGTTCTCTGTTGGCTTGGCTGGACTTGGGTTTGTGCTTAGTTTGCTCTTCGTTGCAAAGGGCCGCCTACTTACAGCACGAGAGCACTAGACTATGGAACTGGCTGGCTGAGACTAGAATGAACATAGCCTTCTGGTTGAAGTAGAGTGACAAGGGCGGTGGTGTTGGTCAGATAGACATGCCGAATAAGCTGCACCTGGAAGAGTCTGGCATTCCTTTGATTCAAATGACTAGATAATATCGGGGAAATTTTTAAAGAGAGTAGGAAATCCATTACCACCTGCAGGGTCTCATCCAGCTTGGCGTGATCGAGTGCGTGATGCCTAAGGTCCGACCACAGCCGGCCCCAAATATCGGCAAGGGGGGTTGTATAAGGCCATCCAGGAAAACCTCACTTGGCGTAGCGACAGACCCAATCCAGTAGTCAGTATTCCACTGTGGCAAACTATAGAGTGGTTTGTGGTCGATCGTAGATCATCTTTGGGTCAATAGGGCTTGCCGCAGTCTTTGTCTGGCCTTGAAGTTAGCTGCACAGCGAAACTTGTCACGAGAAAATGCCATGCAAGTATTTGAAAGCGCCTGCACAAGGTGATGTGCCTCTTATTCGGAAACTTGATGTCCATCAGCTGTTCTCAGCGATCGTCCAGACTGACCTCGGTGGCTGGATGTGGCTGGCTGACTGGGGAAGCCGTCGGCGCTATCGCTTGGCGTGGCGCTGAAGTATCGTTCTGGCCACGATGAGGGGTGATGTAGATCCGAACACGGCCCCTGTTGCTGAATCTGTTGAGAACCATTGGCAGCGCCTTGAGTTGGTGAACTCATGGCAATTAGGACTGCTTTTTAGTCTAGGTGTCAGATACCTAGTACTAATAGAGCTCTTCCAGAGCCCGCTTCCAATCGCCCTCTCAGTGATTCCTACTAATTTGCATAATCCCGAGCCTCCTCGTCGTCACTTCCTGTCAACGCAAGTGGTTGTGATACCGGCGTGAATGGCCAAATTTGTGATCATCCCAGAGACAAGTGCATAAGAGATAGCCGAACAAGGCGCACAAGTTGATGTCTCAGACAGTCTCTGCTTTGTGGATGTGAAAAAGCACGTCTTTGCCACGATGATGGATCAACGGGTTCTGGACCAAGCTGAAATCCCCATATGGGCTAGCCGAGTAACTAAGCGTATGTAAGGGTGCGCTTGGCAACAATAGTTGGTACATAGCCGTCAACCTCCTACCTTCTAGCTTCTGCATGTCTTGTGCACGACTCGGGTGCTCCCACCTGATCAATTGACATCGATAATGCAAACAAGATACAAGGTAGGCGACATCGAGGATGGCTCACGGTGCGCCCCACACGACTATCACTGCTATGATGTAGAGGCGGCGGCAGGGTCTCGGCCCGCCAAAGATATTTAGCGGTGACGGGAAGTGTGAAGAGTCGAGTTGCACGAGCGTTCACAAATTAGAAGGAGAGGGAGAATGAAGGAGTGAGCCCATTGGCTGACAAGACACGGGGATAATCCAGCACAAAAGAGGGCAAACGTAGCTACAGCTTGAGTATAAGATCTCATCCCACCTCCGCTTGATCTCTATTTTCACCAAACTATCACTTCTTACCTTCGCAAACAACCACATCTTGGCTTGAAACGCTACCGGGGTTTTCCGCCATCTCTCAATATGTCCTTCGATAGAGCCTCGGAGATCTTTTGGCTCGAGTATGGCGAGCAAATCAAGAACAAGGTTCCTGGAGCAGGTCAAATCGGCAGGATTTTCTTCCTGGCAAATGAGGCTCAGAAGGGCCCCCCTGCTGGTACTTACATCCCCTATGAGTACACGAATAAGGGCCTATACGACCTCGGCAACAACCTCTTGGCCACCGATAATATCTTTTACAACCCTTCCGCTCTTCATGGATTCGATCAAGCTGTTGGCAAGTGCGTGCCCCCTTTCCACTAGATGGTTGTTGTATGGGTCCTGACGCGTAACCGTAGTTACTTGAACTGGGTCGACTTGGTATGTAGTCTGAATGATTTGTCGACCATGCCACTGACTCAGTCAAGGGAAACAACAGCAACCCTGCTCTAGACTCTGCTCTCCTTTCTGCGATCCAACAGCAGGAAGGCGCCCAAGCAGCTTTGGAAAGAGAAAAGGTCAAAGCTCTATCCAGGTGGCAGAAGGAGATGCAGATGGGCTTGGCCACCCAACCCTTGCCCATCTGGGTTGATACCGGTCGCGCCCCTGCTTTGAGTGCGGCGCAGCAGAACGCCGACGCCATCGCCCAAACAATCATCCAGATCCGGCTTCAGCAGGACGGTCCCATGTCCCCCGAGGTTAAGCGGGACAAAGATGCGCTCGGCATGGGTTTGAATCAAAGCATCGACTATGAAGGGTAAGTCTGGCCAGTCAAATAATGATGCCCCAAGCTAACATGTACCAGCTACAATATGCACGTTGCAGCTGGAGATGTTCTCACCTCGGAAGAGCTAATCCGCAGTGAGCGGAACGGCGAAAGGGTCCAGCCTCCATTCTATTCCCGTGCCCCCTTGTACGACGCCCCGGACTATAAGAGGTTCGTGCAGAGCGCTATGGAGAAGACCTCCAGCTCCGACTACAATCCATCAGAGTCATTCCCAGTCATATTCGACGCGAGGAAAGACCCTTCCGACTACAACTTTGGACAGACAAGAAGTAGGGCTAGTGTTAGAGCCAGCTCCGGATGGTTCGCATTCAGCACTACCGGAAAACACTTCAACGAATCCGATACACTACAGACTGGCCCAGAAACCTCTCAGGTCTCTATCAAGGTGACCTACGACAATCTCAAAGCTATCACCATAAGCACTGGGAGATGGTATGTCATGGCCATTCTGGAAATGAATAGAACTTTAGTTGAGCCACTGCTGAATTTTCAAAGGGTCGCTGAAGTTTCCAAATACAATCTCCGCTCAGATGCCCCTGAAAAGGTCCGAACCCTCGCCAAGGTGAGCCAACTCGTCGTGGTCAGTGGCTTGGGTTACGAGATCACCGTGGGGCCCGTGACCGGCAGCCTTCTTGATGCTAAGCTCAGGGAAGCGTCATCTGTCGGCGGCAGTATCAGTGTTTTCGGTCTCCTGATCGAACTTGGGGGCAGTGGTGGTAGCACCACAAGGAGGGGGCAGAAACACAGATTCACATGGGATAGGGCCAGCAGGATCTTCAAAATTATTCCCAACTACGACAATAACTATGCCACTGTCGTCGGTGCTGTCGGCCATTCGTACGGCAGACCATTCTGAGGTAAAAGGCATCAATGCCGGTGGACCTCAATATCGACTTCCATTCACCAATAATACTGCGAATGACATAAACGCCCTTCTTGCTGATAGACTTCAACATGGTATCAAGCTGTAAGAAGCCAAGATCCTTCCACGGGCTGGTGAGCTTCTGGAAGAGATCGATGTGCATTGACCTTGGAAAGAAATCTGAAAGGCAATGAGACAACAGACCCTTGCAAATGTGGAGAGCTAAGATAGGACATCTGGGTTATTCATGAAAGGTTTAACATGGGAAATCTAGATAGAAGGCACCTTGACAACCCCATTCTCGTTGCAAATCCGCGCATACGTTGAAAGGTGCACACTCGCTCCCCATAAATATCTGCCTGCTTTTCCGAGCGCTATGCTTGGGTATCAAGGGGCTCTTTGGTATCCACTTAGCTGGCTGGGCTTGCTTTGGTCACAATGGGTCACCTTCTTAGAGTACTAAGAGAGAAAATCGTGGAACGGATACCTCAAAGACGCGGCTCTTACTTGCGTGCTCCATAGGCCATAGGCCATGTGCTATTGTGAACTTGGTTTAAGAACTCTGTGCCTGGCTGGCTTCTGCACTGTTCTCCGCCTGAAACTCCTTGATTGCCTTTTCGGTAACCCTCATAGCTTCAATACCGACAGGAACACCGAGATAGATCATCGATTGTAAGATGGCTTCCCTAATCTCAACCTCTGTCAATCCATTTCGTAGAGCTCCCTTGGTGTGAAGTGCTAGCTCTGGGTAGGCCTTTTGCGCGGTCAGGAAGGCCAAGGCTGTAGGGTAGTTAGTAATGAGCCATCAATCGTCAACGTAGTTGAAACACATACTGAGCAGGCTTCTCTGCTTTCTGTCTAGTCCGGGACGTGTCCAGACTGTGCCCCAAGCATATTCGGTGATAAGTTCCTGGGCTGGCCTCCAGTACTCGTTCTGGAGCGACTCAACTGCCTTGGTGACGTATTGTTCGCCCAGGACCTCACCGCGCACAGCGAGGCCCTTCTTGAATGTTTCGTTAAACTCTTGATCTTGAGACATGGTTGTTGCGAGAAGCTGTGGCTGCAGTGAGGGGTTCTTTGGCTAAGCTTCTGCTTTCATGCTGAAGTTGGGATCGGTTTGGTTGCATGTGACTGATGGTGCGGGATGCTCCGGGATCGGTCCGGATGACCGAGGTCCCGGGTCCGGTTACGGAACGTTCAGATTTCAACATCATCCTAGTCTTGAAACCTTGTAGCACCGGTTTGGGCTTTAATAATACTTATTTAAGTAAACTCGGCAATATTTCCGCCTTCCCGATGGTTGTCGATAACTGGCCCAGAAGTCAGTAGATAGGAATGGCGAAATGGGAACGGACAAGGCAAGGAGGGATCTGGTCAGTAAGTCCGTAATTCCATGTCAATTTTCTCATCTTACCATAAAGTTATCTTATTCTTAATCTATCCTATCGCTCCAGGGAATAAGAGAGATTTTAACAAAGCACAGGTATATTGTTAGCCAGGTATAGTAGGAAATCGGTATTACCCTAGGTAGTTGCAGTAAAAGAACATAATCCTCCTCACATGACGTCATTAAACTTGCCGCCTTAAAACGCCACAAACCACCAAATAGCATCGTAAAGCATCATCATCGAGCCTCCTTGTCAGCCTGCGACTGTCCGGGTGTTGTACATCTTTCATCATCGTTTGCTTCCGTAAGACTCCCAATGACGATCCGATAAACCTCATCATCCCAACGTTTCGTGTCCACGATGTCGCTTAGGACCACGTTAGTTCACGATCATGGCTGATTGCTCTGGGGCTTCGGGAGCTGTAAGGAGGATGTACTCACTATCTCACTTGCTCATGCTCCTGTTTGCAGTCATCGTCGAGTTCTTGTAGGCGCTCCGTGCCTCTATCATTGTCGCCGAACTGGATAAACTGAAACATGAGCGTTGAGGGGTCCTCTTTGGCCTCGATGAGGCGGTCGATTGACGTCTTGATGATATGCTTAACGTCGTTGAGCCTCTCCCATACCCCATCTGTGCACACATAGATGCTGGTGGGTTTGATGCGCTTGTTGTCTGGGAGAACTGCTTGCAGGATATTGTTCAGGCAGATCTTCATGCTGCAGCTCCCCTCAACTAGTTTCATATTCCGGATTGCCGATTCAACTTGGCTGCTTGTTGAGCACTTCAGCGGCTTAGTGGAATCTGAAGCAAAGAATAGAAGCGTGGGCTTTTTGCTGGCCACCTTTGTGATATAGCTGATCACTCTGGCAATTTTGGCAACTTGATCCGCGTGTGGCTTCATTGAAGTGAAATTGTCAATGAGGATAACCTAAAAAGCATTAAGTCACCGGAAATCTCTCTGGTAATTAGCTCACATACCTGAGAGCGGCCACGAAAGTCCTTGATCTTGCTCCGAGCCGAGTCCATTCCAGGGAGGTCTGTGACTCGATCCAAACGTCTGCCTCGCAACCTGTTCCAAGGCACCCAACAAATCGGACTATTACTTCTCTTTATTCCCAGCCTTTCGTACATGACGTCAACTGGAACTGGGACGCGGGTTTCAGGCGTGTGAGTGGCGTTTTCCCCGGGCTGCGTGGGGACAGGGCGTGTTGGTGGAGCTGTCATTGCTAGGGGCTGTGGAGGATTGGGCGTGCGCTCCTCTGTGTCCTTGGTAGATGGCGGTATCTTACCCGGGTCGTGAGACAGTGGGATCTGTGGCAGCAGCGAGGAATCCTCAAGAGCTTCGCGTTCCGCTTCTTTGATGACTCTCTTCACGCGAGCCATGAGGGTATTTGCACAAACCCGACTATCTGCATGTGTCAACATGTCCGATAGAATGAAGTTACTTATCCTCTCTGATATGTGATCGTTCCCTCTTTTGTTCTGTAGAACCCTGCCGTGAAACTGGGAGATAACCTCAAGAACGTCTTCGCCATTGTGGAAGCAGGCTTCGAACCCTCTGGCTTTGATGTAATCCAGCTTAGCGATAGCCTGCCTCCTGCATTCCCGATACTTTTCGCGGCCATCTTCGCCAGAAATTGACCAGACAAAGGCATCGCTGAAGACGGCCCCGAGAGACCATACATCAACACTGGTTGTCACTTTAGGCCTCACCACCTTTTGGATTGCGTAATTGGGGTAGCATTCTGGAGCGCCTGCGAGATGACGCGTTTAGTGACATCAGCTACCTCACGGTTGCGAGTTACTAGTACTCACCATACATGCAGTTGCCCTCGTTGTCAATGGTGAATTGTTCATCAGGCTTCGAAACTCTCCTGAGCTCGGCTAAACCAAAGTCGGCAAGCTTGAAACGAACATCGAACCTGGACTTGTCCCGCGGTGGCGACTTCGGTGGGTGAGGGAAGACTAGGATGTTGGCTGGCTGGATATCCTGATGGACTCTGCCTGTGGTTAATATCTTCTCTCAACATGTTGCTGAATACTTACGCCAGGTTGAAACCGGCTGTAGAGCTTCCCTCGAGTGGTGACCTGTCCAAGTTTTGGACCGCGTGCAAGGCTGGAACGAGCTTCAAGAGCTCACGCCAGAACATTAAAAATTCATCCGGAGTGACCGGAGGGAGGTTGCGGAAAAAGTCCAGGAGGGAACCCATGGCAGCGTACTCGAGGATGATGATTCGTGTCTCTGTTTCCTCAAAAGAAAACGAACCGTAGTGCTGGGTGATATTCTTTTGAGCCTTGTGCATTTCAGAAAGCCTTGAGTAGAAATCGGCTTCAGCCTTGTAGAGGCTCTTCAAGCCGGAGCCCTTGTAGATCTTGAAGACGACATGGGTGTCCTATGCTGCGTGAGTGATTGTCTTCCAAGGGAGATAGGCACGTACCTTATTCGCCGTATTGTTGCACTCGGGGTGAACATGAACTTTTCGAATGGACGGTCCATCACCACGCCATGCCTTGTCTCTGAGAGATTCAAGGTATGTCACGGGTAGAATCCGACGCGTAGGTAGGTCTCGCTTGTACATCAGAGAGTCGCTGAACTCTAGAGGGCAGAACATCCATTGTTGGTCTACGAATTCTTGAAGCGACGGAGACATCTCGGGCGGGAGTTCAGTGAAGGGCAAATTGAAGTTGTCATAGTTTTTGCTGATGAACAGGCTGATCTTGTCGGGCTGGCCGATGTAAACCAAGATGGAGAAAACGCAAAGGAACCTTTCAGTGATTTCGGCAACGGGCACATGAAAGGAGAAAGATTCGACAACCTCTTTGACACGCTCTGGAGTCCAGTATGTTTTGAGAAGGAGTGGAGGGACATATGGGCATTCTTCTTTTTTGCCGTTGACGCCGGGCTTCTGGGATTTGTGAGCCCACTCACGAAAATGACCGATGGGCTCGTTGTCCATGTCTGCCTCCGAATGCCGATGGTGGATGGGTTGTCATAGAAGGCAGTGTAGGAGACCTAAATAACTAGAGTTCAGGCATGAATGAAAGCTCAAGTTGAACCTGTGTTTTGTAGTAGGCACTCTGCTCGGGTAGTGGTTGATCTCTAATAGTTCTACGGAGTGAAGAGGGAGTGGAGAAAGCAGGGGGGGAGAGTAGGGGGGCTGGAGTATGGGGAGTAGGGGGGAGGGGGAGAAACAAAGTGGGGATCACAACAAACCACACACCACGAGTCAAGGTTGATGGCAAGGGGAAATTTTGAGCACGCAAATGCGAAATAATGCAGCGTGTGTGGAAAATGGGGGCTGTACTTGGACCACCATACGAAAAAGCTCCCGTATCCGGCTAGAACGGTAGGATTGTGCGGCTTCGCCCCCCTGGTTGCCTTGTCTGCCTTTTCCAGATCCGCTCGTCTTACAGCCTTGGGGTCACAAGTTTGGAGGTGGCTGAGTTGACTGCCATGCAAGGCGGTCTTAGGAACACCTAGATGTGGCTCTGGTAGTGAGTTACACGCGTGAAAATATCCAGTGAAACCGCCCTGTTGGTTTCGAACACCACCTGTCTGCCCTGTTGAAGGGCTCATGAGACTCAGTTCATGGCTGAGCCATGGCAAAGCCCCGTAAACTCTGGCAAGACATTCAGTCAGGTTGCCTTGCTGCGCAATAAACAATGATGACCCGAGGCGGCTAAAGCAATGGTGCTGCCATGTGGGTGGGCCAGGATGTCGATAGTTCAAGGCACTGCCGAGATTCATGGGGTAGGAACCGGTCACGCACATATAATCGTCGTTATGGGCAGCGGGGACTTGAAAAATTACTCACAAAAGAAAATTTGCATTCTAGTCCATTCTATATCGAGTCTATAAGGTGGAAAACATCCCTCAAACGCCCCCAGAAAGATGCGCCATGTCACTACTCACTCACACCTGATCAAGTCCTGCCCGGTCGCGAGCTCGCCTTGATAGACACCGAGAGAGTATAATCCACAAAGCAAAGGTAAGGAACATCAAAGGAAGACATATGGAGATGAATAGTTGAAAGGCAAATGCGTGGAATTCCACCGAATCGCTAACATTTGTTGCATTCTCGTTTATCTCGACCAGCCCGCTTTGGAAGAATGTCTAGATTAAAAGTTTCAGTGTAAATGACCAAAAGACCGCGGGGCTTGGCGTAATTCTTACAGCCACAAGCATTGCGGGAAGAAAGGCGAGTGTCACGAAGGTAATGACGTGCATAGAGATGGTCTCCTTCTCGGTCTTGACGGCGATGCCTTCCATCTTCTCGGATTGCACTTCCGAGCTTTCGGTAAAGATACGGCCGATCTGAACGTTCCTGTATTGCAAGATGCCGTCAAACTGTAGCAAGAATACGTCAGCGGCCGGACCGATCTCTGGAAGGGGTGGGTTTCTTACCAGGGCCTTGCCCTCCTGCAGCCATGCCATCAACGACTTTACCTGAGTGTTTCGTATTTGAAGATTTTTCCTAATGCGATGAACGCCCTGAATAAAAGACGCGATCTCTTTTTTGCAGGCATCCCTGATTTCGGCGGGAAATTCTTCTCTTTCCTGCAGTCCTTGGTAGGTCTGTGCAATATCGCGCAACGTTTGGTCGTTGAGATCCAAGACCAAGCGAAAGCGTTCCAGCAGCTCACCAAAATAGTAAAGTTGCTGCACCTCCTCGAAGGAGAAAGTATCAAGAATCATGAGTCGATCAATCTGGTCCTTATCGTTTGTTTTGGCGTCCCTCAGCAGCTGGGATATTGAATGGGAGGAGACAGCACCCGCTTTGTCTGCTGCATCGCCGTACGAATTCGGCGGGAAAAGCCATTTCCAGATTCTTGTTTTTAGGCTTGACGTTACCGGCATCACCTGCCCAGGAAGGCCGTTTGTAAAGGTTCTGGAAAATGTAGATGCTAGTGTGAAGGCTCGTCGCACACCTTTCGGTCGACCGTCAATTTGGGCGGTCTGAGCCTTCGTCAAGACCCCGCGGATCTTGGCCTCGATATCATTGATGCACTCTCGCCAATCCTCGTCACACCATTCCAGGTGAACCATGTGAATTGTCAAAGTTGCCGCAAAGCACCCTGCTAGACTGCACATAGCCTTGGGTCCCAGCACTGGGAATTCATTTGATGCTTCTTTGAGTCTATGCTCCATTACTTTGTTTGCTTTGAGGTTAATCCAAATGGACTTGCCGGTTCCAAGGTCGAATGCATGGTAGACGGCCATCTGGCGAATGTTGTACGTCGTTTCGCCTTGAAGACTAACGTCTCCCTCCAATGAGCGCAGAAGATACTGCACACGCAGCTCACGGCCTGAACGACCGAGTTTAGGGATATCTAGTAACCGTTCGCTACTTACATCCAGGGTGACATGGCTGATGAAGCCCGTCATGTGATAGTCGAGCGGCTCATCTGTAGCACCGAACGAGGACACAAAGTCCAAGAATTTGGGATCGACTTGATGGAAACAGCAGATATAAGAAAAGCTCTCGCGGGAACAGCCTAGCTCAGCGCGAGAGTGAGCTGCCTTGATGAAGCTAACCCGTGTTAAGACAGAATCGAATTTTGAACAAGCAGGGCAACATACATGAACCGTGATTTCGGGTCTTTCCGGTTGATACGTAAATGTTTCCTCAGGTCAAAGTAGCGCTGGAAATTCTTTTCCTGATAGACTAATTTGGAGTCAATATTAAGCAAATGCCTCGGACCTTCAGATCGGGTGCTGACCATCATCGCCATCGCTTAGCTCTAGGAGACCAATGTTCTCAGCTGTGGGGTCAAACAACCTCTTCTCGTCATTTTTCAGCCATTGGCGGTAGCGTTCAAGGATGCTGCTTAGCTGCAAGGGCCTCAAAAGATTACACGGGTAACGTGACCAATTTTCGCACAAGTCAACAAGGCGGTCGTGAGGATCCATGGCCATGGTTGGCACTGGTGGGGGACATATCTTGTTCCGACATGAGAAGTGGCTCCGGATTTACTACTTAAGTACCCATAAATCCCGCCTGCATCCCTCTATCAACTAAAATGAGGCTAACATAGCCGCAGATGGTGGGCAGTCTCACCTGCCGAGGCCACCATCCGACGCCCGAGTACCACAGCGCAGCGGCACAGTGCAAACGCATTGAATCAGCTGTAATTTCATTCCTAGATGGGGGCCTTCCACTTCGTCAGACCCTTCAACTTTCTGATTCCCTCTTTGTGGTCCTGTGTGTGGCGGTAAGTGACACGGTTGGGGCAGGGAGTTGGGAAATCCACATACACTCGACAATTCCATGCCGGCAGGGAGGCTGATAACAAGGTACCCATTTCGAGACTACAGGCCAAGCCCTGGTTAGACTAAAGTTCCCTACATGGCGTCAATCGGCCTTACCGCGACTGTAATGCTGTCATTTCTGATAGTGTATCGGAGCCAGGCCTCGACCACTTGTGGGGTCAACTGGTACGAAGGATATGTCACTTCCTCCATATCCATGGTGTCGTAGAATTGGGTGTGAGTAGATGAATGGTTAGGCGGAATTTGCTTCGCCACGGCGGAGTTTTAAAGCTGCAAAGCAGCGCGATGCGCCCATGTCTTGCCTAGATGAGGCTCTGCTGGCATTAGGCGGGGTGATAACGAGATTCCCAACTGCTACGGCGGTGACGGCTCTGTTTCATTACGATAGAATTTGTAATGGCAGAATCTTGCATGCGTCCAGTTGAATTATTTCACACTACACCCAGTTTCATGCCGTCTCGGTGAAAAGTGAAGTGACATTTTCAGCCCATGGACAACTCATCCTTAATCTGTAGCCAACCGGCTCAGCCCCCCGCACAAGTCAGCCTCACTTCAAGCAAAGGCTCGACTAGAATCATGATCTGATTTGCTGGGCGGTCGATACTTGTCAGGCCATTTGTGTATGCTGTGAAACCGTACAGCTCACTGCGTCGACGCCACAACTACGTATTGAAATTACAAAACAATGATATCTCGAGAGCCTTGTTTTTTTTCTCGCAAAATTCTGCCTTTTCAATGTGCCTGCCTTCGGGTGGGCAGTTTGATAACGATTCACCGTATTTTGGCACTGCCGAGCCTGATTTCAAGCTCAGGCACATGTCGGGTTGGCCGAATTTAAATGAACTGTTGGCTCCGAGGTGCTCAGAGCGACCTGCAATGTCTGGCCACATGCTCCCATGGTACGACGCGTGCTGGCTCGAAAAAAGAAAAAAAAAAAAAAAACCTTTGGAGTAGTAGCCAAAGCCCTTTGGTTGAGTCAGGTTCTGTGTTTTTTAGGAGCAGCCAGATAACGCCAGGATATGGATCTGGGCATCTTGACAGGGGAACTCGGAATGGTGCCTTGGATGGTATCGAGTACTCTCTTTCCCATTCATCTAGAACTTTGCTCTTCTGGGCATGGCGTTTGATCAGCCCTGAATATTACTATGTGAATGGTCAGACACTACCAGTACCTGATCTACTTGAAAGGTGCTACGGCCTATTGTGACTCTTACCCTTACCCACGCAGGGGAAATTGTGAGTAGCACAAACGCAGTGACCAGCACAACAGTGGCATCATCTCAGGTGTCGCACACCGCTACGACTCGCAGTATAGTTTCGAGCAACCAATTTAGGTTACCTGACAGTAATGTTCTCATGCTAAATGGATGAGGTTAAAGTAAGACATAGGAGCAAGGCACCAACCCGCAAACATGTGACCCATGTGCGCTCTATCAACTACCCCGCCCCTGCCATGAGTGGTTCAAAGCTGGTACTGCGGATATAGGCGAACCAATACGCAGAAGCCCAAGATGACGGGACTATGTTTAGTCGCCACTGTTTCTTGGTATTTTCCCGGGACCTCCCAGTGGCCTCATCCCTGTCAGAACTTGCCTCTTGGCCCCAAAAGTAGAGGACCTCGATCGTACTGAATATGCTATCTTGCGCGCAAGTCTTTCATTTTGCAACATTTATGCCTATATGACCATCTGAACTCATAGAATCCGTATCACCTTGCTTTGTGTTAACAGGCGTTAGCCTACCAGTTAGGAAGAATACCTCCCAGAAAGAGGTTTTAGCCTTCCGGGCTCATAATTGTGGAACACAGCAGACCACTATGCCAAAGGCAAAAGTAGAAGATACCTTCTGTTATTTGCAGAGGCAATTAGGTCATTTATGCTGCTCAACAGGTTACCATGTTGTGGCTAATCGTGCCCTTTACTCCCGTCTTTGGCATTCGGGCTGGAGAGGAGAATATTAGTAAACTAACCACGGTTAGATAACTTTGACATCTCACGTGTTCGAACCCGTTCCGGGTCATGATTATCCTCGGGATACTTCCGTTCTTCCGATATCGCGTGCCAACATGACCATGCTTTAGAAGGCTGTTCCTGGCTCTTATCATTTTAAAGTCTACCAATGGCTGATGCAATTGACGCGATGTCAGGATGCGATGTGTTATCTGCGAATCAAAACTGTTCGTCGATTGCGTGATGGGCTTTAGTGGGAAACTTGTGCGAACCGAGACCTCGCGAGATCAAGTTTAGAATTGCGTGCTCTGGGGGGACTAGAATCCCTGGCGATCTCTTGTTAGCGAGGAAGAAGTGCCGGCACATTTTTGAGAAAATAAATGAGGATGACCTACCCCATCATCTTGGCTGTCAAGCGTTGGTCATTTTCATGCAACCACTTGTCGCACAGCATCTCATCGACGTCGTCAAGAGAAGTGATAGCTGATTGCTCGCTACCATGGCACTTTCAGGCGTTCCCGAGCTCGTCAAACGAGCCTCGGATTCAATCGAACCCCCACTACCGCAATCGGCCGGATATGTCGTTGTCATCGTGGTTGGCTTCTTGATTGCGTTTTTCATGATGTTTGCCACCCATGTCTTGAAGAAGACGGTTGGAGAAGACAACAAAACGACTGAAATGTTTATGACGGCGAACCGACGGGTTGGAACCGGACTGACAGCTTCTGCCGTCATCTCTTCCTGGCTTTGGAGCACGGCTATGTTGGGAAGCTCCCTCGTGGGATACAACTTCGGTGTTGCCGGTCCGTTCTGGTTCGCAGCTGGGTGAGTATCCAAGTCATCAAGTGAGCTAGTTCGAGCACTAAGAGTTTGCAGATGTTCACCAATGATCGTCTTCTTCTCATTGCTTGGCATTGCCTGCAAGTTGAGGGTTCCAGAGGCTCATACTCTACTTGAGATTGTAAGAATTCGATACGGCACAGCCGGCCACCTTGTCTGGATCGCACTCTGCCTCATCAATAACATTATCGCCATCGCAAACATGTTGCTGGGCGCTAGTGCTGCTATTACTGCGCTGTGAGTGCAATATTTCCGATGCTGTGACCATTCTGATCGTGGATAGGACGGGCATGCACATTATCGCAGCCACTTTCCTACTGCCTGTTGGCGTGGTTCTCTACACCTTCGTCGGTGGTATCAAGGCGACCTTCTTGACAGACTACTTCCACACGTTTGTTATCACCATTATTATCTGTTTCTTTACCATCAAGACGTTCTTGACACCTGAGATTGGGTCGCCCTCAAGTCTATTCCAGCTTATCGTCGAGGCTGGAAAGGCAAACCCTGTTGCGGGCAATGAGGACGGTTCCTATCTAACAATGACGAGCAAGGGGGTAAGTAAAGTCAATAAGTAACTCAACTGCCCGGGCACTAACATTCAAAGGCCATTTACTTTGGTATCATCCACGTCCTCGCCAACTTTGGTCTTGTCATCATGGACACCGGCTTTTTCGCAAAGGCCTTCAGCGCAGCCCCTCAAGCCGTGGTTCCAGGCTACATCGTCGGGGGCATTGCCTACTTTGGCATCCCATGGTGTCTTGGAACTCTGATGAGTCTCTCAGCTATTGCGCTCGAAAGCTCCGAGCGATTTCCCACGTATCCTCGCCGCATGTCGATAGTCGAGGTTTCGAACGGCCTAGTCATGCCATATGCTGCCATCGCGATCGCAGGCAAGGGAGGCGCGGTCGCCGTCTTGCTTATCACATTCATGGCTGTGACTTCTACCATCTCGGCCCAAGTCATTTCGGTATCGTCGATTATTAGCTTCGATATCTACCGTCAATACTTCAACCGGGACGCTACGGACAGGGATGCCATCCGCTGGAGCCACTTCGGTGTTGTCTTTTTCGGCCTTTTCTCAGCAGCCTTTTCCACGGCTCTTTACTATGGAAATGTCGATCTCGGTTGGACGCTGTACATGTTGGGAGTCCTGACTTGTCCTGGCATTTTCCCCACAGTATTCACGATCCTTTGGAAGAAGCAGTCGAAGGCCGCCGCCATCATCTCACCTCTGCTGGGCCTGGCCACTGGCATTGCTGTTTGGCTGGGAAGCGCTTCTTCCATGTATGGAGAAGTTACAGTGGCTTCCACCGGCCAGACTTTACCATGTGTTTATGGAACGGTCGCCTCCGCCCTGAGTCCTGCCCTCTACTCTGTGGTTATTTCTCTCATCAAACCGGACAACTACAACTGGGCCGATTTCCGAAATGAGCGCCTTGCTTTTGACCAGACAAAGACTGCAGGACAAAGCGACGAGCCAGTATCGCATGAGGAAAGAATTGTGAGCTACACAGCTGATAAAGCGAAGCTTAAACGGTGGGGAAAACTCGCCGCGGTTTGGTCGCTAGCCACGTTCTTAGGACACTGGGTTCTTTGGTAAGTATAATCACATGCATCGCTTTAAGTTATGAGCACTGATCCATTCATTTAGGCCGCTCCCTATGTATGCTTCCAAGTATGTCTTTGGAAAGGGATTCTTTGACGCTTGGATCATTGTGGCCATCATCTGGGTGTGGATCACCATGTTTATTGCGGGCTTCTACCCTATCATTGACGGTTGGGGTCAGCTGAAGTATGTCTATCAGCAGCTGACAGGGGGCACGCCTGATGCAAAGGACCAGGGTAGCAGCTCTGAAGCACCGACGATTCGCGAAGAGATCATGAGTGACCCCGAGAAGTGATTTAGTTGATCGAAATCTTAGATTGGTAGTGTGAAGAAGAGTTGTTTCGGGAAACTTGAGGTCAATCCTGGCTGGACCTGAACACTCATAGAGCAGAGATTCACATAACATGAATGTTTTGAGGATGTCGCCAGTGGATCGAGCTGACTGTGACTACTAGCTGCGTTGTTGCCGGGCATTGCAGTCTGAAGTGATGCAGAGGCCCTGGGGTGTCTATTGGGGGCAATGAAGCTGAATAATGTTCTGCTAGAGGGAAAACCTATTCGCTAGACATCTCAAGTCTCTAGATTGAATCACGGGCCTTTACCGTCTTGGGTTTTGATGCGGAAATGCATCGATGACGGTGCTCATTGTTCTTTTGAGCGACGACCAACTTCATAGCCGTGATGAAGATTAGCAAAGAAATCTCTGAATATCTATAGAGAAAGTCAAATGCTTCAACAGTCACGTAACGAATTGGTGAATCAGTCTTCAGCTTTAAGTATATAAGGCGAGCTTGGCACCGGGGACCATCGACCAAACGCATTCCAAACATCAACCAACCCTGCGCACAGAATCCGCAATCTCGAAAACACATCGACTTCCCAACATCACACTACACTACCGCCAAGATGCCCGCCGAGCCCGAGCACATCCACATCATCGAGAAGAAGGAGTTGACCGCGGTCGAAAAGGTCAAGGAAGCCCTTGATGAGATCTATGGCAAGGGCATGACCGAGGTCGAAGAGGATACTTCCAAGTTCGTCGTCAAGACGAACAAGAAGGACCCCGAGAACCTCTTGAAGGAGCTCAAGGAGAAGGGATGCTAAGGTCGCTGCGCCAAGGGCGTTTGCGGCTAGCATACGCATCGCTCGATAATTTGATCAGGGTAAAAGGGGCGATATCTATTAGCTAGCATTTGCAACAGTTTAAAGGCTTGTTAGAGCCCAAATCAATCGTTTTCAACCATCCTCTCTAGCATCTACTATGTGCCACGTGTCTCTATTAGTAAAACGCATAGATATTTGAGTTGAAAGTCGGTATGACATGTTATATGGAGAATCTATGTCCGCAACCTGGCGGTGTATAGCGTACGGTCCGAGACCGACGAGTCTGGGCCGTGTTCGGGCTTCGGTGAGGTTAGACCACCTATCGGGAGGCCCGAGTGACAAGCGGTAGCGAACAGGTTAGTGCCCACTCTCTGGTGGATTTTCCTGCCATTTCCAGCCACGTGAATGAGGTGTATGCTATGTGAATGCAGTTTGTGACGGGACTCTCGGCTGCGGTTGAGCTTCTCGACTATAGCACCCGTATAAACCCATTCCGTGAACCACCTCTCCCACCCTTTTTTATCACCAACTGTCGATATATACTTCTTGACTAACTAAATAAGCATAATATGGTGGGAAAACATGTCACCCGCTAACCTTGTCGGGCGGGCCGAATGAGTTCGTCCCAATCCTATGGAATACGAAAAGCTTGAATCCCCTTTAATCCTCCGGCTCATGGATCACGGTATTTGTAAGAATGAAACACGCTCAAAATGCCACCACTGACGTTGAGACGTTTCTAGAACGACAGGGTTGTTCCATTGGTGGAATCATCATTATGCGGCACTTCGGAGTGGGTCGATCCGTCCGCCTCATTTGGGTAATTATGCTTATACAGACCTATATAAGAAGGGACTACATGTCTTTGTTGGCATTTTGTTAGAGCAGCCAGTCTTGGAATATCTACAATCATGGCGTTTCTGAAGCTTACCCCGACTCTTCTCCTGGCTATCCTCAGTGGGGCCTCTGCCAAGGACATCTTTGTCTCCCCTACTGGCTCTGGTTCTGGTACCCTCGATGCTCCCTATGGCTCTATCCAGTCTGCCGTGAACGCGGCCAAGGCTGGTGACACCATTTACTTGCGAAAGGGTACCTATGCTCCCACGACAAACATCCAGTTCAAGACGAGCGGAAGCAAGGGCTCCCCCATCACCGTTCGACCTTACCAGAGCGAGAAGGTTGTCATTGACGGTGAGAACCTTCCTGGGTAAGTTTTATCAGTCATCTAAGGAGTATTCAGTCGACTAATAACTAAAAGTACTCCCAAGAAGCTGGATGAGGCCCTGCCCAACGGTGAGCGCGGCATCTTTCACATCCAGAACGCCAACTACTGGTCCTTCTACAACCTGGAGTATGTATCCATCCTATAACCTACTAAACTCCCAACTTACACATATTTAGGTTGATCAACGGCCCCTACGGCATCTATGCCCGTGATGCCTCCAACAACTACTACGAGGGTCTCTCCACCCACGACAACTACGAGACTGGGTTCCAGCTCGAGGGTGCTTCCGCCAACAACGTTGTCGTGAACCTCGACTCTTACCGCAACCGCGACCCCCGCAAGAACGGTGAGAGCGCCGACGGCTTCGCCTGCAAGGATGGCACGGGTGAGGGCAACGTCCTCCGCAACGCCCGTCTCTGGGACAACGTCGATGACGGTCTTGACCTGTTCATGTTCGGCTCCCCCGTCACTCTGGAGGAGGTCTACGCCTGGGGCAACGGCTACAACCGCTGGGGCTTCAGCCCCTTTGAGGGTGATGGCAACGGCTTCAAGCTCGGCATCAAGAACAACCCTCCCGCCAACCACATTGTCAAGAACTGCATTGCCTTCGACAACCTCAAGAAGGGCTTCATCGATAACGGCAACCCCGGCACCCTGACTTTCGAGCGCAACACTGCCTGGAGCAACGGTGACGTTGGCTACAACATGAAGAGCTCCTCTTCCAAGATGAACAACAACATTGCTGCCTCCAACGATGTCGGCCAGGTCAGCTTGATCAGCAGCGTCAAGGCGTCCGGCAACTCTTGGAACGACGGCACCACCTGGAACGACAAGTCCTTCAAGAGCACCGACTCTTCCACCCTCAAGGGTGCTCGTGGCAGCGACGGTCGCGTCAAGGCTAGCGATTTCCTTATCCCCACCAGCGGCAAGGCCATTGGTGCTACTACCAAGGCCAAGGTTTAAAAAGTGAGGAGATTTGAGACGTTTACGATGTACATATTATTCAGAAAATAGCGGTTTGAGCCCTACGTTTGTCCGTTTTGACGGCTGTATATACAAACATTTATAGAGAACGCCAGCGATTTCGTTCCAGAGATGTCTCTTTTTCGCATTCGTAGAAGTGTATGACCATTCCTTAAACAAGCTCGACCTTGGAAACCGCTGTACCAGAAATCTCCTTGCACCGTTTGCACATATCATTGCGAGGCTTGTGGTTGGCTACGGGGATATCCTGGGGAATCCACTCACTGTATATCCCGATCCTCGTGAACTGCCCCTGTCCTGTCGATTTAAGTATCAATCCGAACCGGGTATCACTCCCAGGTCCCATGCTGTTTTCTGGCCCCAAGTGAAATAGCAGCTCTAGCAACCAGACCGACATGGACTTTGCTTTTATCTTCTCTTCCTTATCCAGAAAGAGCTCCACCGAGTGCTCGCCACCACCGTCGTGGCGAAAGCGAGCCTCTCCGGATGAAAGCTTGAGCGTTGTGTGGACCAGAGGGCCGTTGATGGTGATGCGGCTGCTTGCGACACTTCCGAAAGGCAATAGAGCATTCCCAACTTTGACTTCAGCCTCCAAGATGCTTGCAGTTTCTTAGTGCGTGTCTCTCCCCCACGTTTCGGGCTGCCAGTTTACTTCCATCAAATGGGAGGCCCACAACCTCTGTTCGTTTTTGACCAGATTTGACACTCCAGAGAAGTCCCCGAGTGAGTGACGGCTTCCATAAGCCGGCCACATACTCGGACGACGATAGACCGGCCGCTTCGGCGAACCGACTCGCCACAGCTGCGACAGCATTCAGTCTATCACTGGCGAATGTCAACTGACGCGCCGAATACTTTGCCACTGTGTTTGCCCACTCCACTCGCAGAAGGTCATCAGTTGGCGAAGGCAGCGTCCCAAAGCGGTGTTTCTTGCCAGAGCTGTTGCAAAAGTATGAGGCTCTTTGACTCCCATAGTCGATGATCCTCTCAGATAGAGCCTGTTCCTGAAAGGTCCATGCTCTTGTGTCGATGGGCTCGTCTACGGGACCCTTCCACTTGACAGCCTGAATAATGTTGTAATCTCCTTCAGGGCCTCTGATTGGCAATGCTACTCCTGGAGCTGGATGAAGTCTGTCATGTAGGAACCCTCCGTGGCAGGTGGTGGCGCAAGACGCTGATAAAGTAATAAGGGCTCCTTGATAGACTTCGGGCATCTTGTTGATCTCTCGAGCTTTGTCGTTTTCGTCATCCTGGATGATACAGATCGAGTCTATCCAGAGATATGGGAGGTTTAATTCGCGGCATGTACGGATGGAATCGCGTAGAGTCAGTGGCATATCGTCAAAGTCGATGGACTGATAGCGGTTCTTGACGTTTTGGCTGGTCGTCTGAGCCTTTTGAGGGCCACCCCAGCAGTAAGACAAGGCGGCCCAGGTCGGGCTACCTATGGGAGCTGAATCGACTAGGCGGAGGTTTTGAACATCCACAAGTCGAGAGGGGGGTGGCAAGGAAGTCCGAGTGCACTCAGCATGAGAGCTCAAGCATTCATCCAACGACGTTTGCATGTTCGTGAACGCTTTCTCGGAACTGACGGTCGGCTGAACAGCGTGCGACGTGAATTTGTTCCCGCAAGAAGCATCTGGTTGTACAATCAGAGACAGCTCGCTACAAACTCGACTGACTCACCCTTATGAGGCCATAGGCTAAACCTCGTTACGCCCATCGACAGCCAACTCTCCGGAGGACCATTTCGCCTCCAAGCCCCCTCTATAGTCATTTCATGGCTACCATCTGCCCTGCGAATGTACCAAATCGTAACGACGAGAGTGAACTGACGAGCAACATCCTCATTCACAACTTTCACTAGCGTCCGAGGTATGAGATCCTTCTCAAGAGTGACAACGCAGGGTTGAAAGAGTGCGCAGTCGTCCGACGTTGCTTTGAAAATCTGTGCTCCGGGGATGTGAAAGAGACCCAGGTTGGTTTCGCGATTCTTGGAGGCCTCGGCCTTGGCAGTGTCTACGATGAAGGTCTCGCAGTGCTGGCACGTGTGGAGGCGGTATTGTTTAGCTTTTTTGCGGAATCTATCCATGGTTTATAGTTTTACTTTGTCAAGTTAGAGAAGAGGGGTCTAGAAACTGATTCGTCTGTTGGTATAGGGTGGGTGAGATCAACTTAACGGGATAAATGACGGACCGACTGTCCAATGAGACCTAAAGGTCCAATGCAGTAAGAACGCCACAATACTTTTTCAACCAACTTGACTCATTTAGAAGAGACACATCGTTTATCATGCTCTGGAGTTTGCTTTGGTTGATCAGGCACGGATTGTAGTCCAACCTGAGCCTTACAATCTGTACCTTGAACACTGACCAATAGGATGCAAATTACCGAATACGGCATTTTTGCCTAGCGCTTACGCGTGAGCAAAATGGCGGATTCTAACGTGACATGAACTCCTCCAATGCATAATCACCACCGCTTTCTGGTCATTCCACTCAAGCTCGGCAAAGAGCACATAACAGCCACTTCGGTTTCCTAACAGTTGGGTCCCTGCAGTCATGGAGCCACCGCAAGTCACCATGCACCGCGATGGCTCCGTCACCAAGACCCGACGCGGCCTACGAGTCACCAGGGAAAAGCATCAGGGGATATCGTTTGTCAACGCAACTACTGTCGCAAAAGTCACAGAAAACGCACATTTTCCCACTACAAAGCTCAAGTTTGTTCCGGAGAAGCGGCAGAATCCCCGACAGGCGCCAAGGCTGGTGACTGATGATGACCTGGAGCGTGTGCAAGGGGGTGAGAACCGACGAATAGCGCCCAGAGCGGATTCAGATAATCAAGGCAGAGATGCAGCCAAAGACACTTATTCGGCGATCCCATATCAGTCTGTCGCTAGCAGAGTTCCCAGGGAATCGCTATCTTTTCCATTGATCAAAGCATGGCGCCAACTCAACGAGGCTGGTACTTGTTATGTCCCATCACCTTCTGGCATTACCCTACCAGATTGGGCCTTGCATGGGCTTCCTGCAGAAATCCCCGACGAGGGAAGAAAATGCTTCCACGCGTATCTCTTTTCGTGTCCCTTAAGGCATTACCCATTTGAACAGCTGCAGGTCGTTTCATGGCAACCGCTGTCTATGGATCAAAGCCGCTTTGAGCGACTGATGTTAGAGCCGTTGATGCTTAACTGTACTATGACAATGGGGGCCCTGTTCCTCCTGCTGAAGTCTGGGACAAGGGAGTTAGCAGGGTTTTCGATGCATTCGGCCAAATTATGCGCTTTGGTCAACAAACTGCTGGGAGACAAGGAACAGACCATCAGCAAGATGGTGGTCATAATTCAGTCAATTGCGAGCTTGGCTATTCTAGCAGTAAGTTCTTTGTCGAAATATGTTATTTTTACTTACTGACACGGCGGTGCAGACATTTCTCGGGCTGTACGACCATTGGTTGGCCCATCTAAACGGCCTCAAGCTGTTGGTCCAGGCAGCGGGTGGCTTACAGGTCCTCCCACTACCTGTTCAAATACTCGTAAAAAAGTGAGTTTTCCAGCTCAAACCAGCACTTACTGGCACTAACCTACCTCAGAGCGGATTTAAAGGGGGCATCCGAGATAGTAACGACACCCTTTTTTACCCAAGCACGCTTACAGAGACCAATCTCAGAAAGTCTCCCTCGAGACCGTCGGATGGCCATCGAAGCCGATGTTCAACTGGCAATTCGCCCATACGATGGTGCATGCGATAATTTGTGCGATACAATCGCCTCTTTGGCTACCCTTGTTGCCACAATCGACTTTGCAGCATCACAGCGAGGGTCGCTGATATTTGACCCACTTGCGCTTACGGAAGAATATCATGGCATCGAATATCGCCTGTTGATGACTTCAGTCCCAATACAGACTCGCTTAGAGGCGCTAGATAGGTGTTTGAGCGGGGGTAATGCACTCCAACACCATGACAGCCTCTCGTTTGGGTCGCCTAGCGATATGCAACATGGAGCCAAAAGGTCTGTTGACATAATCCTTCGTCTTGCAGCTCTCTTCTTCCTCAAGATGGTCAAAGGGGGTCCACCTGACACTCTATACGGGCTGGTCCACATGATGCAGATCTTGAACGAGCATATGCGCCGTATCACCCATCTACCTTTATCCATGGCAACTAATTCCCCACACGGCCTTTCCAGGAGCGCTCTCATATGGATTGCTCTTATGGCAGATAAGATATTGAGGAGGAGTGATTCTGAGGGATGGAACTGGGGTTCAAGGAGAGTCGATCGGCATATCCCTCGAGACCTTTTGGTATGGGCCTTGAGCGGAGGAGGCGTCCGCCAGGATGATTTCCGACTGTGCCGCATTTTGGACTTGGGAAGATTCGAGGTTGGCGTATGGGACCCTCGGGCACATATTGAGCAGATCCTGGCATCTTAACATCCACTTTGAGATAGGTCCGAGGCTGCAAGTAAGCAGGAAGCTCCAATTATCCAATAGACCCCAGTTGAAGAGCTTAGCGAGGGCCTATCTCGCCTTGAAGACCGGGAAGTGTGGAGTTGGTGACACTACTACTGCGTTTGGCAACTTTAATTCGATTGGCTAGCTTCAAAAGTCCCATGTTGTGGACTTAGGACGTGTTCGTCGGTTAAGTCGGGGGGGGGTTGTATCCTCCTTGTTTCTTGAACCCCCCTGGACAGTGGATAATTCGGTTGGCTGCTGAACTTTGATCTTTTGTTCTTCTGATCGAAACCAATCGGTGCGCCTTACCTTTGCTCCAAAGGCCGGGGGGGGGGGGGGGGGGGTCAGGAAACAACGGAAGTTCACGACCCCCCGACTAAACTGAACTGGCTACTTTACCCATGAAAGATTTTTCATGCTACATGATGACATGCTACACGACGACATGGGTGTTTCTAGAGGCGTTGGTTTGCGAGGCGGCCACCCTCCTGTGTTTATAAATAAAATCCCAAGGCCCCTTCTGAATTGACACTCTCATAATCCCACCTCACCACTATCTATGCTAGGTGCCTGTGACCAAAACTTTTGATAAGAGCTAACACACTGTTATTGACACAACTCTTTCCGAAGATATCTCACAGAAGGGTAGATCAGGCTTGGATTCTCACAACAGACCCAAGACTCCCAGCTGCACTCGCCATACAACTCTCCTCTCCCAGCATGTCAGAACTCACCCATCGAGCAGTCCCCAGAGACTCTATAGTTCTCGTGACTGGCGCGAACGGGTTCTTGGGCTCACATATTTCTGACCAATTCCTTCATTATGGCTATCGAGTCCGTGGTACCGTTCGCAACCTCGAGAAGAATACCTGGCTCGAGAAACGGTTTGAAGAAAAGTACGGAGCTGGGCGGTTTGAACTCGTTCAAGTTGCTGATATGGCTGCTGAAAAGGCCTTCTATGCCGTAACCAAAGGCAAGAAGGCAAGCCTGCTGACGTTGATGATCCTCGCTAATAAAGTCAATAGGTGCATCCATCGTCGCCCACACAGCCTCCGTCGTGTCCCTTGATCCGGATCCCAAAAATACAATCCCACTGGTTATCTCTGGTTCACTAAACGCTTTAAAGGCAGCGTATGATGAGCCAAGCGTGAAGCGGTTTGTAGCCACCTCGTCCTCTGCCTCCGTATATAACCCACTGGATGAACCTGGCGAGGTGACCCAAGACACCTGGAACGAAATAGCAATCCGAAATGCCTGGAAGGACCCGCCATACGAGCCTGAAAGAGGAATGATGGTGTACGCCGCGGGTAAAGCGCAGGCAGAAAAGGAGATTTGGCAATTTCACAAGGAGCACCGTCACGAGCGGCCGGATCTGGTCGTAAACACCAGTGAGCAACCCCCTTGATCACTGCCGACTATCTAGGTACTAATTCGCATGAGTTCTTCCTTGCACTAATCTGGGCAGTTTAATCGACCCAGTTAACCAAGGCTATACCAGCACATCCGCCTTTATCCCGCTACTTTGCAAGGGTGAAACAATGCCCATGCACCCTTTCTTTCCCCGCCGTACGTGTCTGACACTAAACAACTATAATGGTCCTAACTAACGTGCCTGCAGAATACTACGTCAACGTTCAAGATACGGGTCGACTTCATGTTGCCGCAGCTATTCTTCCAACTGTGAAGGACGAAAGAATTTTTGCATTTGCTGGAAGATTTAACTGGGACAAAGTTTTGTCCATCTTGCGAGAAGTTCAACCCACCAAAACCTTTCTAGATGCTTTTTCAGGTGGAGATGATCCACATGAGATCCAAGGCCGGGATAGGGCGGAGAATCTACTTCGTGTACTGGGTCGCCCGGGGTGGACGAGTTTGGAGGAATCAGTCGCGGACAATATTCGGGACTTGTAGACTGCCTGAGATCACTATGATCATATTGCGGCACCGCAGTTGTTTGTATTACGGCCAACAAAGGATCGAGAATGTTGTTAGAGGTTGCTTACACTCAGTCATGCTAAATTTGTCTTTGCTGCCTCGTCAACCCTGTCTTACGGAGACGTAAGGCGTGATAGTGGCTGCTCTTAACTGTTGGCCGTCTTCCATACCTGGACAGCAAATCCTACACTTTGGCTGAACAAGCCTGACCATGTCAGAGAATGGAATCTGAAACCGTATTCATTCGGCTATGCCCGGGAATGTCGAGGCTTTTAAGCTTCTTTCAGCCCGGTTCCCTGCCGCAGATCAGCAGGCTGTCACCCCTATGCTGTCCGGCAGTAAAAGCTGAAGCTGAAGCTATGCAACGTTCTCTTCTGGCCCCTGAAAAGGCAGCTCCGTATGCATGGATGCTCCTTTGCCGAAGACGTGTCGTGTTATTGTGGTGCGGGCCCCAGAAGGATGAAACATGCGACTTGTGTGGCTGTGTCAATGCTTCCTTTGGACTGCATAACCTACACGACTCATAAGCTGCTACCGCCTTTTTACGACTGGTGATAACTTCATTGTGGCTCCACCTGTTGGCTCGGTGTCGAAGTGAGCTGGCAGGCGCAGTTTTGGGCGACGGGCCGACTGAGCAGTTGGAAAGCCCAAGATTAGATCATTGTTCTATGTGTAGAGGATCAAAGGATTAGAAAGAGGAAATTATTGCGATGGCCAGCGAGGCAGAACAATACTCAAGCAACAGTTTATAAGGGACGGTATTTTTCTAAAATACTATAGATTTAGCTCTTCATCATCCTCACAATCACCAACGCAGCCCCCCAATCTATCACCACCGCCATCTTCTCCGCTCCCAGCACTTGCTTAGTCCATCACCATGAAGACCAACGCTTTCATCTCCGTATTCTCTGCTACCATGGCTTTTGCTTCAGTGAGTTGACCACGCAGACTACCATGTGAAGCTCTGCATGACTAAAAGATATCAAGGCGATTCCTCAGACCAGCAATGTTCCAAAGGTTGTCAGCGCCCCCATTGACGGCTATGAAATCGCCCCCATGAAGTGGACTGGACAGGTCGATAAGCGAAGCGAAAACATTACTCTTGAGGGCACCCTGGAGGAAATCACCGTCAAGGCCCGAGAGATCAACCCAGACTTCGGTGCCTCTCCCTCGGTTGAGAAGCGCGGCGTGAGTTCTCTCAACCTTGACTAGATCCATGGCTAATTCTTTGGTGGTTTAGTTCGGAAAGATGAACTGCGGCTGGGGCGGAAAGGGCCGTGCTGGTGTTCTGGCCATCAAGGAGGGTATCGACTATCTCCAGGGAATCGACGGCTATTGTGGCCTAGATGATGGCCCTTACAAGTGTGCTCGCGTCAGCTGCTCATGGGACTCTGCTATTTGGCTCTGCAATGACAACGATACCCCTCTTCGCGTTCCGTGCAAGGACCTCGGTCCCTTTGCCGCCAAGATTCGCGAGGATTGCATGTCCAGTGGCTGGTCCGAGCCCATGACTCAAGGTACGCCAAGACGAAGAACGTTGTATGATATTAAAGCTAATGCTCGACCTAGGCCAACTCTTCGGCGACCAGGGCAACTGGAATGTGATTGTTGGCAAGGACAGTTGCTAAACAAATAGTGGTGATGCAAGCGATGGGGTAGTGGATGAAGGGTGCCGGCACTCGACGAGATTGATGATCTAGACGACATGAGGGACGAAACGAGCATGGACTGGTGTTGGGCATTTCTCTTATCATTATGCAATTTTTGTATGCAAAATCAATTGACAGAAGTCTGATGGTAATTTATGTATGACATTTTCGGCTCCTGATACCAACCTGAGTGATCTGGCTGGGATTGATAACAACAAGATCTAGCTTACGGCAGTCGAGGCTGTTGGTAACCTTCGCTTCTTGGAGCTTTTCGAATCTGAGCTTGAAACTTGTGCTACGGAAGCCTGCTACGATTGCTTGTCCTGCTGTGAAACAAGAATTCTGGCCACGCACTTGCTTAGCTGATACGCAGCCATCCAAGCACGAGAAACAGCTCGTATTACCCTCCTGAAACCTGTTCAAGGCTTGATTCACCGCTCCGTGTGTCCTGATAGCTCATAAGCCATCCCTGGCTGCTCCAGCTCCGCGGCCCGCCTCGCCGTAGAGGGTCTGGCGGACTGAACGGAGATCGGCGTCGCTCTCTGGACTATGCAAAGTTCTGGAAGGTCGCTATGACTTTCGCCCTCTATATGAGCGCCTCGTGTCCTAAAGATAGGGCTGAGAGCATTATGACGGTTGAAGAGGACCCAGATTAACACTCCAACCGTTAATACACCAGCTGTGACGCCAAGACCGACGCCAGCTTTCATTGCAGTACTCCAGCCGCCGGGGCCAGAATTCTCACCTCCATTGCCGCCGACGGGCGGACGAGCTACGTCCGTGCTAGTTGTATTGGGCGGTAGTGTTTTGGCCTCTTCCCAGATACCGGCGGCCGACTTGTAAACTTGTATGATCGCTCCGTCGACCCAGTAGTAAATCCAGACCTCGCCGGGGACCTTTGACCGCGACACTACTGCTATGCCGCCACTTCTTTCGTCCGCCTTCGACCAAGTTGACTGGCTACCATTTGGTCCAAGAATCCATTCACCGTAAGTGCTGGACTCGCGAGCCTGATACAAAGTCGTGTCCGTGCCGATATAGTAGACTTCTCGTAACCCGTTCTTCGTTACTGCCAGCCCAATAGCTTTAGTGTTGGGGTTCCAAAATGGTAAAGAGAAGTCAGCGCTGGCTGTGTCGTCGAATTTCATCTGACTGGGTGCGGTCTCGTTTGTCGCGTTACCCTTCAAGGGGCGCGGGAAACTCCCTGAGAGTAATTAGTGATGCGCTTGGGGTGGAAATCTAGCAGCCAGAGATGCCTTACCAAGCTGCCATAGATCATCTTGTGGCAGGCGCGCAACTTCAATGTCTCCAGAACCTCGTGGGGCAACCACTGAGATGTCCTTGCCCTCGTGATAAACTGAGGCCAAAGCCATCCCATGGTCGGTATCCTGAGAGACCCTTCCTGTATCCGTCCACAGCTTTGCGTCCTGCTCCCACGACATCATCATTATTTGTCTGTCCGCGTTGTGGTAAAATAGTCGATACTGTCGATATCCAACTTGATCCACCAAAAGCTCGACGGACAGCCCGGTTCTTTCGTGGACCGAGCCAACACGGGCTATCAAGGAGGGGTACGATTCGGCCGTGCGATTGAAACGGCCAGTCTCCATATCGCACTCGTAGAAACAGTTCGCTATTTCGCCGTCTTCGTTTTGGAAGAAAACAGAGGCCTGAGAAGTATGAGTAAGATCGACTTCCGATGTATACCACCAATAAGCATACCAATACCTGTGTTCCATCCCACCAGCCTGCTGCGGCTAACGCGGTCCCATTCTGGGGGCTGCTGAAAGTTGGGAGCACGTTTGGGTTTTCAACGGGGAAGACGGGTTCATCGAGACTATTACAATTGCTGTACAGGATCCTGCCAGTATCCGGGTCTTGTGCCGCAGCTTGGATGCTTCTTTGTGTATAGAAGGCATACAGGTTTGATGAGCGGGCAGTTTTAATGCTGAAAGCTAGATAAAGGGCAGTAGCCACAAGTCGGCAATGCAAAAACGTCATGGCGCAGACAGTGCATCGGGGTGTGAGTTGGGCAGAAATAGTGGCTGGGGGAGGCTTCATTTAAGGAGAATCTCTCTTGTGTAATACCAACACTCACGTGTCTTAGGTGACCACGCGGACTTCTAGACTTCACTCGGGGCAGGGGCAAGTTGGTGGTGACGAGTCTCTCACAAAAGCTACAGGGGTGGATTCGAGTAAAGGACCGAGTTACTGTGATACGCAGGCGATCGTCCTACCTCAGAGCTCTCACGTAATTTTGCATCCGCCCCCATGTGTTACAATTGTTATGGCCACTATGTTAACATCGGGTCATGATGTTATGATGTGTTGACAATCTGTTCTTTATTATGGTTGCAGCCCGGGCCTTGATGGAAACTAAGCCAGAAGATTGTGTGCAGTGGGTGTTGTCCGCATGGCTGATTCTAAACTCAGTGAAGTGTTGAAGACTCGAACTACTATATTTTGGATGAAGTGTTGACTAGTAACATCATTTTGGAACAATAACCAATTCGCCTATGATATCGACCAACAAATTTTGTGCTGGTCATAACCGGCTTTCTACCTCCGAGTATTCTCACGAAGGGCTGGACTTCAAAAACAATAAAGAACACGTTATCAGCGTATCATTGCATCATATCCCAATCAACATGAGTTCACTTGCCAGTTTTCGCACGGGGGCTCGCCCCTGCTAGCCCGCAAGATGACGTTCATCACGAGTAGTTACTCAGTTGGCTCTAGCATGACAGTCTAGTGGAGTCTGAAAGCTCTAAAATATGATAAGGTGTGTCTTTATGGCCTCAGCTGCCAACGCCTCCAAAGCTGGGAGGAGGGTGAATGCCCAGGATGGATGTATTGAGGTTTTACACAAGTAATGCATGCTAGGTGGGCATAGAGGAAGGCTTAACATAGCCATCGTTTATCGTGACGATAAAGTGCTTATGTCGATTCATGCTACCTTGAGTTCCTACGTAATGTCCAGTATTCCAAAAAGCTTATGTCCTGGGTAGCAATTCCAGAAACCAGCCTACTGCTTATCAAGATAAACATTGTTTCCAATGTCTCGGAACGTCTCGATTTGATGGTGCATGTCCTTGAAGACATTATTCATGAGCAATAGCATATCTCTTCCTAGTGGCATTACTCGTTCGCCCTCTTTTCCTTCTCCTCGGCCTTCGCCCATGGCCACTTCGTAGATGACTTGACTGGCTTTGCGATGATCACCATCGGCCTTGTAGTTACTTCCTAGTAAGCTGTGGGCCACTTGGTCTGTTCTACCGCCAAGATACTCTTGTGGGAAGGGTACAGATGATAGACGAAGAGCATTGGTGAAGTTGGTATCGAACCCTCCAAGCTGGACCGTCAAGGTACGGATGTTGAAAGGAGCAACCTCGCGGGCTAGGATCCTTGTAAGGCCTATTTGAGATTAATTCCTAATTCAGAGCCAGGTTAAAGAGTAACTGACCATCCATCGCAGCCTTGGCAGCGGCGTAGATACCCATACTTTCTCTACCACCCACCCCGGCACCCGATCCGATGTTGAGAATCAGCCCTTGACGTCGTTGTCGCATATGAGGTAGCACGGCCCTAATAAGGCGGTATGGTCCAAAGTAGACTGTCTCCATTTGGCGTCGAACCTCATCTTCCGGGAAGCTCTCAACGGGGCCGTGAATGGACCAGCCGGCGTTGTTGACCAAAATGTCAATCCCCGTACCCTCTTTCTCCAAAGTCTCGATGACAAGGCCACCTTTGGGGTCGTCAACATCCAATTTCAGCCAACGACCGCCCTTGCTCTCAATATCAGAGACTAAGTCAGGGACTTTGGCTGGATTTCGTGAGGTTGCAATGACATTATGGCCGTTGGTCAGGGCGAGCCGAGTGAGCTCTAGGCCAAATCCCGATGCGGCCCCGGTGATGAACCAGGTCAGCTTGGGAGTCTTCCAGGAAGTCATGATGATGAAGCGCAATAAACTTGTATGGCATGTTGATGGTGGCTGTCCAGAATGTCCATGACCTTATAAGTGAGAGAGGGTCGCGATTCACGGACTTTAGCGCCGGTTAGGTCCGGGAAAATCGGGGCCGTATCGGCAACTCCCCCGGACTATTGCGAAGTCAAGATCCCGGCCTTAAAGGTCAGTCGGATTTAAGCTACGGACTATTGACTTGCAAGTAATATTGGAGTTTGGAGAAAAACACATGGAGAATAGTGACGATCTCCTTGGCGGAGGTGACTTAGCCCCATTGGGAGTTCTTTGCTCCGTGGCTCCAATCTGGCCATGGACTGAGATGGGTGGGAAACTGAAGAATATGAGGCTAGAAGGCTATTTCCCATGATAGATACTATAACAATAAGCACCAAACTTTCGAGACTTTTGGAATTGCAGTCTTCGCATTAGAAGCGAGCAGCGAAATGTATAATCTTGACTCATCAACCTTGGTCCTTTTCCGCCACCAAGGCCACAAAGACCACCAAAACCGCTGCATAAGCCGCGGTGGCTGAGAGAACCGCGAGGTTTTCATGGAGTACAAGCGCCATCATTACTCCAAACACATCGACGAAAATAGTCGTCATCCATAGTGCCTGTCGAGTTTTGAGGACCAAGATACAAAGCCACATAGGTGTTATCAGAAAGGCAGCACCGACAGCAGCGATACCCATACGCATGAACCGTTTCTGAGACCGGTTGCTTCGCCGTGTAGCGACAGGCGAGACGCGTTTTGTCTCCCAGCCCAGGACGGGTGTTGACCGTCCAGCCGGAGCATTAATGTTTTTCATGACAGCGTCGAGGATATCTCGATCGACCTGCCTCTCACCCGTGATTAGAAAGGGGTCTCTTGACTCCCCGCCACGCTTTTCCATGTATTCGTGCTCTTGTAAAGCTTGGACTAGATCGGTATTGGGTTAGTGTATCTTGATCTTAAATCCCCCAGTAAAGTAGCTTGGCTGTACAATGCTCAGGTGTTCTTACTATAACTTTGAAGATCCCTCTCCCAGTCTTCCCAGTTCTGGACAGGTCCTTCGTATAAATTTCTGGCATGGATGGCAAGTTGATACTGAAGTCTTTGTATACGCATTCTCTGCATCTCTGCAAGGCTGATTCGGTAACTTCTTGGATGATCATCAGGCGCGTTGGTCGGAGGCTGATAGTGCAAGGGGGGCTTGACGAAATAGGAGAGTCGGATATTTTCAATGAGGTTATTTCTGTATTGTCTTCGAATCCACTCCTGACCTGCTTCATCGGCAGCGGGCGCCAGCGGTGCAAGTGGTACCGTTTGTACTGTGCAATCCATTCTGCCGGATCGTTGATTAATGGTGTCAGCTATGGATCGTGACGAATAATAGAGGCAGAATGATCGACTTGCGTTTAAGATCACTCTTGAAGAGCTTGAGGAATTGCTTTTTAGACAAGTTCGCCCGAAAAGTGGCTGTGTAAATGAGCCCAACCAGCTGAAATGCAGTCGTCTGCAGGGAGCAGTATCAGGACTGGGACGGAGCCTTAATCAGTGCGTCTGACCACCACTGTGTCGTCCAGAGCCAGCCAAGGAGATTGAAAGACTGGTAAGCCACAACTGACACCGCTATAGCTAGGGGCTGTCGGACCTAGTCTTTGTTATTTCAAAGTGACAACAAGTTTCCAGTGAGGCTTGCTAGAGCTGAGGCTCCCTCTAAGGCAGAATATGCTTATTATCTGTCATGCCACACAAAACGGGGCAGGAAGGAGGCTGAGTAGGTACCTAAATACTTATTCGCTGAAGGCACCCAACCACAGTCCTCAAAGGGAAAAGCAGACCACTCCCCCGCGACACTCACAAAAGCCAACACGCAACCTTAGGAACGCAAACGACTCAGTTATTACAACTCTCTTCTTCTCTGCCGTCGGGCAATACACCATGACAAGTCACAATGTGTCAGACACCCTACGAACAGAACCTCCCACTGTCAGTGTCAGACTCGAAATCGGGGGGAATGGTTATACGATGGTGCTCCGCTTCTCCAGCGAAGAGCCAGCACAACAATATTTCACGTCGGTTCAACGGAACGCAGCCCTCAACCCACAGATAAGCGATAACTATCTAGAGGTATCGCTAGATCTACGAAAAGCTCGAAAGATCGTCCTTGGAAAGAGCCCTGGAGGACCATTCAAGATCCAGTTCAGGACTTGTTGGTCGGCTCAGAAATGGCACCAACTTTCCAACCTGGCCTATCTCTTTTCTCGAAAAGGAAGATGTGTGCTGATCGCAGAGTCCGTCGCAGCTCTTGCATGTCCATTACAGACGGATGTGCATGAACCCTTTCGGGGGAGCGTGGATTTGGAATGCTCGCCACCGAACGCTTTCGGTATCGTAATACGGCGGGCTGAATCACTCTTGATAAGAAGGAAATCCTTTGATCAACGTCACATAAGCACTAAAGGGTTACACTTGAAGTAGTTGAACTTGGCAAGATGGTTATGTACAACAGCTGGGATGTGAGGCTCAGCTGTACTTCATAATGAATATCTTGAGTGTGGGGCGAAATGAAGTCAATAATGATGCTGGGCACTCAAAGATATGGAGATCGAGGGCAGCTTGGATCATCATTCCCCAGAGGCTTTCAAGGACGCTTTCCCAGATCTTTAATGATTCTCGCACATATCCAGTCAAAAGTACACACGTCAATACGAAATGGCATTATAAGATATGTAACCCCCCTAGACACGAGATACATGCAACGCCACAACCCAAGCAGACAACCAGAGAATCGGCACATCGCGCATCTATATCACTCCTATTTGCCAATTTTCTCATTCTCATATAGAATTTTATCAAAGTAGGGATGAGTGCATGCCCTCTTTGCAGAGAGACGATAGGCAGGGTCGTAGACGAGAAGTAGATCAAGTAGGTTGAGCCCTTCCTCGTCTAGGTTGGGACACAAGGGGGCATCGTAGTTTCGTCTCCACTTTGGAAAGGAGGGCTTGAAGTCAGGATACGAAGTTACGTCGGGCCAAATCTCGTTGTCGGGTGTTCCAAGGATACTGTGAAAAGGTTAGCTCGCTCAAGAAGACAGCGGTGGCGCAGTTACCGGAAGATCTTGAAAATCTCGTCAATTTCGGAGTCTCCGGCGAATATCGGCTTGCGAGTGCACATCTCGGCGAAGATGCAGCCGATAGACCACATGTCCACGCCTGTTGAATACTGCCTGCCACCTAGCAAGACTTCTGGTGCTCGATACCATAGAGTCACGACTTCGTGGGTATAGGTGCGTAGCGGGACACCAATAGCTCTCGCGAGGCCAAAGTCGGTGAGTTTCAGGTTGCCTTCCTTATCAATGAGAAGGTTCTGAGGCTTCAGATCTCGGTGGAGGACACGATGCGAATGGCAGTACTTGATGCCCTCGCACAGGTGAAGCATGAATTTGCGCACGACTTGGTCACCCATGCCAAGGGTGCGAATGGTTGCAGATGACCCAGAGGGAAGGGGCTTGCCGCGGCCTCCATCAGATACTGGCAGGGAGTCCATGTACTTCTTGAGATCAAGGTCAAGAAATTCAAGGACGAGATACAGCTTGTGACTATCTGCATGAACGATGTTGAGCAGACTGACGACGTTGGGGTGGTTCATCTCCCTGAGAACTGAAATCTCTCGAATGGCTGTGCTGGGGACACCCTCATCCTCGGTCTCGAGGCGGATCTTCTTGAGGGCAACAAGGCGGCCATTGTGCGCTAGGTCCCGGGCTTTGTAGACGACACCGTACGTTCCTATGGTTGTGCGAGTCAATAGCTAAGCAAAAGAGATGAGTGTCGGGTCAGGGAAACAACCTTCACCGACCTTCTCTATCCTTTGGTAGTTGTCCATGATGTTGAAGGTGAGCCAAAATGTCTCACGTGAGACTGGCGCTGGGCAATGTGGAGGCGAGATTGCCAGGGAGTGGTGGCGACTTGGGCTAAAATAGTACACGCGCAAGTCTCCCTGAAACTCTAGTAAAGCTAGTATGCGTTGGGCTCGGAATAGTGTCAACTATGAAGGCGCATCCGTAGCAAAACGTTTTCTTGGTGAATCACGCTACGAGGGGGAAAGGACAGAATTTCTTTGCGGGTGCTCGCTCGGTGGTGGTCAATGTCGGTCGACGTGTTTTGTTGCGGGGACAACATGAAAAGAAAAAAGCGCGCGCGATTGGAAATAAACAGGCCCCGCATCAGTTGGCATAGGAACATCAACCACCTGATATGTCATGTTTAACTCCGTCATTTCCTAGCGATGCGTGCGAATAGATCTTTTGCTGCTAAGCTTTTTGTCATTAAGATACCTGAAATTCTCTCTCATTATAAGACTCTGATAACTCTCATGAGGATGTTCTGGCCTGTCCTCATAATTGCGCCCGATGAGCATGCTGATAATGGAAATATCAAGTTGTGTATGTATCTTCTCTATGTGTCATGTAAACCATAAATATCAGGCCTCTCGTACCAGCTGAGGACTAAAATCTACTCCGTAATGATATGTACCGCCAAGATTCATGCAAGTGCAGCAAGCAGCAAACTCCCAATCCCAGCAAGAGCCCCGATACGGGACTAAAAGATCTGAGTCTTTGACTTCTTCTGCTCCTTCAACTTGTCAATCTTTGTCTGAATCCCACCCTGGTCTTCTTTTCCCGCGTCTCGCTGCTCAACCTAGCTAACTAAAATCTCACAGTTAATCCTCTCCATATCATTTGCCCACCTTTCACTCTGCTCCTTTGCCTCCCTCTAGTGTCTCTTAATCTTCTTGATCTCCTCCTCGTACTTTCTTCGATCCTCCCTTCTTGAGCGGCTCATGCTGTTCTTCAGGTCGCGAATGAAAATGTCAGAACTCTCGAGGGCTTCTTTTAAGCGCATGTGGCCATCTTCCTTCTCGGCGGCAAGTCGTTGTTCAAACTCTCGAACAATCTTTTGCACCTCCCGGCTTTGCTGCTCGCTGAACTCATGCAGCTTGCCATCAAACTCGGCCTTCAGGCGACGTCGCTCCTCTCTGGCTTCTGTCTCGGTCTCCTTCTTGATGCGTGCTGATTCGGCAAGGACCTCTTGAACCATCCGTTCCAGCCTCAGCTTCTCATCGTAAAATTGTTGCTCCAGCCGACGCCGTTCCTCTCGTCCATCCGCATGCAAGGCCGCTTGCTCGCTCTCAATCTCTTGCAGCAGACTCATTTTTTCCGACTCCATTGCCTCAATGATCTCCTGTAGGTGCATATCGTGGTCTCGTTTCGCTTGTTCCTTCTCGTGATGGAGAGTTTGGAGAGCCTTCTCAAATGCTTTGCGCTGCTCGGCAAGCTCAAAGCTCAAGGCCTCACTAGCCGTCGTCTAGTCGACCTCAAGCCCTCTGTTGACTATTTCTTCCTGCACTTGCAGAGTGACAATGTCCAAGTCAACGGCCTTGGAGACAATGTCGTCCAACGCAGACTCTCGAGTGTTCTAAAATGTCATAATCTTAGAACCCTTGGAGGTCATGTATTCCTACCATTCACCTCAAACAAGGAGTTGTCGCTCGCGATCCTCGCCCTTGCGTTGATCCTGCAACTCGTCCCGGAATGCCGTGACCAGAGCCACCTTTTGAAAGGCAGCATCGCCGCAGAGATTGCGAAACATAGTGAGGTTGCGCATGATTGCGTTAGTCATCCATTAATCCTCGACTCAGTGCAAGTTTATGATGCCGTTCAACTTGAGGTTGTTCTTATACGAGGAGCTGAGGACCTGGGCAACGTCGGCGTCTCCGCAGTAAGTGTCATCAAAGCCAAAGGTGTCGAAGAAGACGACTTGCTTGTTCCCCAAGCGACATTCGTAAATTTCAGTTTCTTGTGAGCCCGAATAATTGCGAGTATTCCCCCCCACCCCCCAAAGCTCCGGGTGAAAACTTACACGAGGAGAGGAGTAGGCCTTTCCTCTCCCCCCTTTTCCAATCAGGTGCTGCAGGAAGTTTCTCTTTCTGGAGCCGGTAACCCCATCACACCAATGATGCACAGAGCCTTGGCGTTCTCCTCCCCCGAAGTACGGTCTTCCTGCAGCCCGGCTGGCTGCGGCAGTGTTACAGTCACCATGTTGCCATCAAGTGACTACCCAGAGAGCTTGAAGTCAAGCTTGTCGATGGCGAATGAATGAAAGTAGTACGCTGACGCGTCTTTGAGACTGGTACAGATCACATCTCCCCCTGGAGGCTTGAAATACTCTGTCTTTTCCGTCTCGAAGTCACAGCCTGATTTTAGGATCTGCCACATACCCTGGCGAATGTTAGCGCCGTGGCTGGTTGCCTTGCGAGGCAATCTGCATGTTTTCGACTCAGCCCCCGCCATAAAATCCCACAAAGCGAGGTGGATACCAATCAAACAGTTGTTTCTTTGATCTCTCCTCAATCCTACTGATTTCGGAAAAGCCTCGTTGCCTTGCTCAAGCGCTTGAAACCCACACAACCGCCTTGGACCACATCACCCTGTCTGCAAGCTGAACACCTGGATCAACAAGCTGAGACACAATTCGCGGCCTAGCCATGGCCTAAACAGGTCTCCCGTCCAAACACGTCCCCCTTACCCCGCTCAAGACGCTGTCCTCAGCCTCCATGTCTGAATGTGCTGAACGGAAGTGTTTCAGGTCCCGGCCTTCCAAACCCTCGACGCTAATGAGAACACGGCGTTTCCACGACTGAAAAGCCAGCTTGCCAAACAGCTCCACCAGCTCGGTCAAGTCTAACAGAGCACCCTTACTTATTTGTTGCAGCAGTCATGCATATTGTAGAACAAAGCCTTCAGCCTGCTCCTCAAAGAATTCTCTTGGTGGTGGAAAAGCCATCTCCAAGAATTCGACTGTTCGGACTCGCCAAGTTGTGATAATAGCCCCAAGGCCAGTTTGGCCCGCGCAGCCCCAGCTCTCCCCCCAGCTGCCCGCATTCCCCTCCACTCGTGCGAGCCGTGTATTAATACTCATGTGCGGCTGAAGCCATTCAGCTGATGCAGGTGACAATACATCCTTGCTTCGGGCTTATGCCGCTCACGCCTATCATCGTTCTCACTGATGCGCCACGTCTCCCTCATTATGGGCCTGCAAGCACGGCTGGGCATTGTTGCAGTTGCCCCGGATGCCTTAAACTTGGCTTGAAGGAGAGGGGGCTATTTCGTGCCAGCCCTTTAAAGCCAATGGGGTGCATTTCCGCAGAGTCCTGTGAAAGACAGACTCGTCAATTACCTGCGGTCTAATCCTATGTTTGTGAAACCACTTTTTCGTCTGACCCTAGATGGATACCGCGAACTTGGAGGAGCCAAAGACGGAAGATCAAGGCGGTTCGAGAGAGCAGGTGTACGCATTCATCATGAACACAATATTCTCTCAGTCCAAATCTGTCCAAGCTAATTGCGTTTCTGAACTTCAGCTATATCTTTGACTTTCTACCTACGAACACAGTCACCCCAGAGTCAGATCCCAAGGACGGAATCATCGAGAATCGAGTAGATTTCAACCTATTCCAGTCAGCTGAAGATGATTCGCGCGAAGAGGCGAGGCGCGAGGCCAAGAACAAGGCTCCCAACACTGCGTTTCGATGGGTTCACATACCCGTCAATGACACCGATTTGGTCCAAGTAAGGCTCCCAGACATAAAGTCCTCGGCGACTCATGAGGGTGACCAAAGCTAACTGCGGAAGGATTGTGTTAACGTTCTGATCGGCGAGAGCACAGGGAAACAGCTATCCGATACATGGGAGCACAGGGTGCGACCGACGTTATCAGTTCCAGAATATTCTGTCCCAGCTCACGCTTGGTACATGGAGCCATCCTTCCAAGTGCAAGGCGAGGACAAGACAACGTTTGCATTGTTTGTAAGATTTTTGCATTGAACAAGCCGCATTCTGGATGCGGCACTTCCACATGGCGCTAACAATGTAACAATAGCTTCCTTATTTGAACTGGGACATATTTAAAAATCTCAAATGGTTCGGAGGCACTCTGTGCGAATCGCCATCTCCCTCACGACATCTGAGAAGAACCCTGGATCAGTTCTTTTACTCTGGACTACAGAATACAAAGGTCCGAGATGCTCAGCAAACTGTCTCAAAGTGGACAGGCAGGAGTCCAGGCGTCGGGACCGACGGAAGGACTGAGGCGGCATCGGACAGCCTTGTCGTTATGGTCGATCAACTCTGGGTGTGGCTTGTACAAGATGGTGAGTGAGACCCTTGCTTGACGTCTGCTCCGCCGTTTAGCTAAATGATGATTCATATTCAGCCTCAGTACCGACATTGATCTCATGCTTCCCTTCTGATGATTTCGAACATCAGAAGCATCCTACTGGACAATCCACCTTTACTGGTATCATGCGTTCGATCGTTCGGGACTTCTCACCAATTGCCGATGTGTATGATTTGACGGGTTCTCTGGTTATGCACTCCATAACGAATATCTTCAAAGATGAGAATAGCAAATTCGGCGACCTGGTTGCTATTTATAGATTGGCGATCGGGATCAAGGTGAATAATGGCAGAGTTCAGGGATATGAAGACCGTCTCATCTGATATTTCTCTAGGCGGCTCGACATACCGAAAAGCTCGAGTCTTTTAGTGAACGACAATCGTCTCGCAACCGAGAACACCCTGCAGCTGAGGGAACTGATGAGTTGAAACTTATCCTAGAGATTGCAGATATCCTTGACGAGCTTAATATGCTGCTCCTCATACTAGAGAAACAGGCTCGCGTGTTAGCCTCGCTGCAGACAAATTTCCACCGACTCAAGCCCTCAGACCGTAAGGCAAAAGAAGGAGTTGACCAACGTGAAATCCTGGTCACAAACAGCACGTTGCACAACGTCATAATTAGGAACGGTGCATCACGTATTGGGTTCGACCACTCGGATCTGCACGGGCTCGAAATTTTAGGCGAGGAAAGGATGAGCACAATTGACGTCCTACATATTGGTGGCAATGCCGGTGTTTTACTTCAACAGGCTGAACAAAAGCTGAGATTGGAACAGTCCAACACTGAGAGACTCCAGGCCGATGCGGCGCAGACACACAAACTGGTTCGTAATATACCGCCTTGTCTCCATGATGAGCTTTGATCCAGAAACTCACTGAACATTTCAATAGCTTCTGGAGCTACTTAACCTTGAACAAACAGCTGCGAGTCTGAAGGAGGCCCGTGATACAACCAAGCAAGGAAAAGCCGTCATGTTGTTTACAATCGTTACCATCATCTTTGTGAGTTTCAACCCAAGCATCAAGTCCTCAAACTGCTATTGACTGCGTAGCTTCCTCTGTCCTTCTTCACCTCCTACTTCGGCCAGAATGTGTCTGAGATAACTGGGGATGCGAACAACCCAACCTCTGGCGAACTTTGGAAGATTGCAGGTATGGACTTTCCCCGAAACGCTTATCATTTTATAACCAATACTGGGTTAAATACCAATCTGACACCTCTGTGGTTAGGTCCAATATCAGTCGTGGTGATCATCTTCGCCCTTCTCGTTGCCTTTTTTATCATGTTTCCCTGCAAGGAGTGGAAGAAACGTGAACACCAGCAGGCGCAACCCCGTGCAGGCCATCATGTGCAGGTCTAATTATTCATCGTTTTATCATATCTAGTTTACCTTTTATCATCTGAATGACATTTTCGTCTACCCATCCATAACATACCATGCACCACCACCCTTTCGCCAGGTGAAAGAACACCACCGAAACTCAACCATTTCATTTACACAGAATCTCGCCAAAATAGAAGTTATTGTCAAGGGGTCACTTCGCATAAATAAATATCGCTAACTTAATCACCAAATTCCTCACCCCTCTTTCCCAACATTTCTCATGCTAGTCTCTTATAACGCACTAAAAATGCCTTCATCGTGGCCTGGTTGAGAATACACAGAAGACGGCACGACCGAGGCTGTATTGGATATCACCGATAACGGCTGTTCACACTCTCAAGCGGCTGAGAGATTAGGAGTACCTCGAAAACGGACGAGAAGTCTGGAGAGACTACTATGGCGGGCCGGATATGCTGACTGACTTGATAGACTGGTTCGTTGCGAAGGTTTGTGTTGTCCGTTCTTGTTATGCTTGCTGAACTAACCACGCTGTCAACGGAAAAATGTCTTAGATATCAATTGGAAGGTCTCCATATACTCTTGCTCGCAATTGCCAGCATGCCGACGCCAGTCCTCGATGGGACTCTTCGCTTGTAGCCTCAATGACTGTCCGGACCCGGTAGACAGCGAGCGTACGTGACTAAGGATCCCAAGATTGCTTTAACGTACTGACAAAAGTGATCGTAGATGCCGAATACGTTGGAAAGATTCAGTACACTATTGATGATTTAGATCTCAGCACGATCGAACCCAAAGTGGATAGCGAAGGCTTCTTAGTTTACCAGGTTCCTCTGACTTTCAACATTCGGGTCTGTGAGGAGGACGGCCTGCTTGACTTCAAGATCTTACACGAGAACAGAGAGTGCGGAAAGGCAAAATTGGCATTTTCTTACTCGATCGGATTGACGGGTGCTTTACAAAGGGGCACTGAAGGCCAGTCAGATGGTTTATAATGGGCAGCCGGAAGTTCTATGGGTCGATCCAAACTGTGCTATGCATGGAAGAACTAGGGGGGACATGGCTTTGACCAATTTAGATTAAACTGTTTAATTCGCTCTACCATTGAAGGATTCACTTCGGCACTAACGAGCCGAACTCGTTTTCTTACTGACGTATAAACTCTTCCTTAGCAAGGCTTATTCTTATTCTTACAAGTTACCAATTTCATGAGATCGTCGTCTGCCAGTCTCGGTGTCTCTCTCGCCGTCTGTATCTGTGTTTACTTCAATGGCAACCGGGTCGACCAGCTGACGAAATTTGGGCAAGTTAGAGATGAGGCCCCTTGAAACCTGATCGAAGTTGTGGTCCTCGTTTATCCCCTTCCGGAGTTGATTCACCACATACTTTAAGAACTATATTCTTTGTCAATGTGGCTGGTAGCATCTTCTAGAATCGTCACCAACTCCAAATGGCTTCACTCTGGACTGCGAGGAGCCCCTCGTCGCTCCCAAGCACACGGCGAGTCATGCTGGGCTTACCATACGCACTCCTTAAGCATAACACCTACCCGATTTGACTCTCTCTCCGTGGCCCCTGATCCATTCCCCTTCTCTGGCTGGCATCTACTAACGTTGAGCCAGTCATCCAAGTGGCCGAACGTTCGAAACCAGCAGGAGGCTCAAGTCGGTAGAAAATGACGTCAGAGTCGATATGTCTCTTTTAACACAGGAGTGGCTGGAAGAACCCTGTCTGAGGAGCTTTTAAGATTTGATACAAGCTCATACATGAGTGGATGTGACATCTAACCTCCGAAAATCAAACGATCGACTAATTGACTAGCTTCTTACCTGGGTTAGACAGACGTTCTGCAAACCTGGCTTCTCTCAAGGTCCCACTTCTACTTTTTCAATCACACCCTTATCAGATACATGATTAAAAAAACACCCGGAGACACACGGCAACATCGAAACCCAATGCTACAAAACACCGTAAACTTATGATAAAGTTAAGCTTCCATAGCCGTAGAAACCTAATAGTGGAAATATAAGGCTCGCAGTGAAATATCTTTACCCATTACACTCATTTCTGCTTGTCCTGTGTGACTGTGTCATTCCTTTGACTTCATCTACCAAGTTTCACCCTTCATCCTGATCCATCATGCCCAGTTTTCACCAGCTCTCTCTCCTTCTGGGAACCATCCTCCCCGCTGCTTTGGCTGCGCCCTTCGCCAGCAATCACAAGCTGCAGGAGGGAGTCATTCACGGAAAGTACATCGTCACCCTCAAGACAGATTCCGATGACACCACGGTCCAATCTCACCTGCACTGGGTTGAAGGTGTTCACCGTCGCAGCCTTTCGAAGCGAAGAATTGTTGGCATTCAGTCTACCTATAACGCTACGAACTGGCATGGTTACTTCGGAGAGTTCGATGAGGACACCATCAAGGAGATCGAGGCCAGCCCTGAGGTATCTTCACCTTTTGACATCGCGTGCCATAACTAACACCACGCCAGGTTGCCTTCATTGAGCCAGACCATAAGATCCACCTCCAAGGTGACTACGAGGACGGCAAGGTCTACTTCTGGGAACAGCCAGGACAGATTTCCAAGAGGGCCTTGACCACCCAACAGGGTGCCACCTGGGGCCTCGGAACCATTTCTCACCGGGAACCTGGTTTCACTACCTACACCTACGATACCTCTGTCGGCGCCAACTCTTACGCCTACGTTGTCGATAGTGGTGTCCAGGTCAATCACTCCGAGTTTGAGGGTCGAGCCATCGCCGGGTACAGCGTTTCCCCTGCTGCCCATGTCGATACCGTTGGTCACGGCACTCACGTTGCTGCGACTATTGCCGGCAAGACTTACGGTGTGGCTAAGAAAGTTAGGGCAAATCCTACCTCGTTTATCTTTATTCCGAGTATGTGATGTACTAAACTAACTTTACTAGGCCCAGATAATCTCTGTCAAGGTCTCTCAGGGACGTGAAAGCTCTAATTCTGCCAGCCTCCAGGGCTTCGATTGGGCTGTGAATGACATCGTCTCCAAGAAGCGTGCTGGTAGATCTGTGATCAACCTTTCCCTCGGTATGCAAGACCCTGCTTCTGAATGTGCGAACAGTATCAGACTGACAGCCCGTTCTAGGAGGTCCTGCTTCTCAAGCCTGGACTGCTGCAATTGCCTCTGCCTACAAGTCTGGTATCCTCGCCGTTGTCGCGGCTGGGAGTGGCGACGAAGATAGAAACCCCCTCCCTACCTCTAGGCGGTCCCCTGCCAATGCCCCTAACGCTTTGACTGTCGGTGCTATCGACTCTGACTGGAACCCTACCTCCTTTACCAACTACGGTTCGTTACTGTTGCCCCAAATGGTCATTGCCGTTGCTGACCATCCTCAGGGCCTGAAGTCGACATCATGGCACCCGGCGACCACATCGAATCTGCTGGAATTGGCTCTTCCAATGCTGTTGCGACCATGTCTGGCACCTCCATGGCCTGTCCTCACGTTGCTGGTCTCGCTCTTTACCTTCAGGTGAAGGAGAATCTTAGTGCCCCTGCTGCCGTGACCAAGCGCATCAAGGCTCTTGGAACACCTGGACGGATCAGCGGCAATCTCAATGGAAGCGCCAATCTCGTTGCTTTCAACGGTGTCAGACAGTAATTCAGGGCCACTGCGGTGCCTTGGTTGAGTTCTACTATTCTGCGGGTCCGGATGCCTTCCAAATATCCCCTGGGAATCTGACATGTTGCGAGTACCTGGCGTACCAACCAGCAGATAGGGATGATTTATAACCCCAATACACCTTGATGGATGTTGCGTGTTACTCAAACTGTTCAAAATACGCCACACCATATGCTTAACACACTCTTCTATTGCAAAATAGCACGCCTGTTCTATTCCCAAACCTGACTGTTTGCTCTCGTGATCATGACATGTCAGATTCCTCCCGCCGTCTTTCGATCTTGTGGTCAGGTGAGTTTTACCAGAGGCCTAAGCAGCTTACGGCGACGATGGCTCTCCATAATGGGCTTCATCTCTAGTAGTTACGACGCCTCCAGCCGTCGCTCAGCAAGAGAATCCACAGTCAAGGTCAACAGTAACGGTGCTAGAGGTCAAGCTGGGGCTGTCTTGCTTGCCAACTGAGCATCGACCGTTGTTGGAGTCCCACTTCCCACTTCCCCAGGCATCATCGCCGTACGTGAAGGTCGCCTAATAAATCCAAGATTATCAACTGGTTCAAGAAGACTGCTTCAGGTTCTCATCGATCAAAGTTAGGACTTACAACATCATCGCCAGATCCATGAGTGTTGATGTTTAGGACCAGAGGGAGGCCTTCACTCTCAGCCATGAGCTGTCCGTTGCCCCAGATGCTCTCCTTGGACCAGATCAATTGCTGCTTGCCGTCGTAGACCCAGACGTTCATCTCGTGGGAACCCTTGGCATTTTCTCCGTCAAAAGTATGGACGTGAACGCCACACCATCCGCCGTTGAAGCGCTTGTTGATCTTTGGGGTCTCGGCTGCTTCTTGAGTTGGGGCAGCAATGGCGAGACCGAGGAAAAGGAGAACAGATGTGAAGGTTTGCATTTTGGGTGGTAGTGGAGCGATTTACAGAGTATTCTGAGCTGAGAATAATGTGAAAAAAAGAGCCTGAGTGTCAAGATGTGTGATGGTCAACTTGCAATCCACTGAATTCTCGTGGCTGGCCTTCTGGCTCTTTATAGCCTTTCCCCCCTTCAAGTCTGCCATCTACAGCTCCTTCATACGGTTCTCAGTGGCGATACTAACCTTCCATTCTTTGTGGAATCGGAAGGATTTGGATCTTCGGACATATCAAGCCTTGCAGGGCTGCAGATGCTCAGCCGCGGCCTGGCCCAAGCTTGTTTCGAGATGAGTTGATCTACAGAGCATGGACGAGATATAGTGGATCGAAGGATTGGAAACGCAGTAAACAGCGTGACATCGGAAACAGGAGGTCTCATGCAAGTCATTGGGAAATTGAAGGATAGTCATCTTTGCATATTTGTCAAATTCCCTAGCGGATTCAACATGCGAGATCACTAGTCACTTTGTACATAACAACGATCAAGTGTATCACGTTACTTAACTCGAGTGGTTCGAGCAAACCTTGAAGACAAGAGATTTAGCAGGCAAATCGAACTTTCCCGATAGAACTCCCAGACGTCCTGTCTAGATAGAACATTCCTACTAAGCGTTGAAATGCTGTTGCCTTGAATCCTTCCATAGCATCGCCCCGTAGTTAACTTGCCGTATCAAGCTTGAAACGGAATGGATTTCGAGGATGCGATAGATCCCCATTGTTTGTTATGGGGCTTGAAGTTGTCGAGTAACCACAGAGTGGCCCAAGCATAACCATGGTCAATTGGTTAATCAACTACGAACACTAGCGAGGCATAGCCTGAGGCGTCCTCAAATTTTTGAAGCCGAGAATCAATGAGATGACGAATTAGTACTGTGAGCATTCGGACCGACGAGCTTTGCTTCGCCCAGTATCAGAGTTCACTTGTTCTTTCTGGCGTGGCCCGTGATGCAATAGCTTCTCTACGAATGATCTTGCAAGGGGTCTCTACATCCCCCAACGCCTCAGTTATTTGAAAATTTATTCTCTATCCGTTTTCTTCTTCATATTGTGTTGCGATAGCATAGTGATGATGCGATGGGTGGGGGACTTGCCGTCGAGGCACACTTCCTTACAACCGCAGATGTCAACTTTCGCCATTGGTTAAAAAAAGTAAATATGCTGTTTATTGACATTCTTCGAGCACAAACTTTGACCTCGGACACATGAACACAGGTGTTGACTAAATCTTCGCATTGGGTGTCCCGAATTCAACCGTGTTTGTGATTGATCCAATTCCTTCGAGGCCAACCTCGACAACATCTCCATCCTGGAGCCAGAGAGGTGGGCTCCTTCCCATTCCAACTCCTTCAGGGCTGTAACCAAAAAGATCCATTAGTAAATATTCAATCTTGTTAAGAAAGCAGGGGAAACTCACGTTCCAGTAAAGATGAGGTCGCCGGGTTCCAGAGTCGTACCCTGACTCAAAAACGAGATGACCTTCTTGATGCCAAATATCTGGTCTTTGGTGGAGCTGTTCTGCACAGTTTCACCATTGAGCTTAGTCCAGATGTTGAGGTTCTGGCCGTCTTTGATGACGTCCTTGGTCACGATACCAGGGCCGTAAGGCGCCCATCCATCGAAGCCCTTGCCAAGAGACCATTGGCCTCCGCCGAACTTGATCTGCCAGTCGCGATGAGATACATCGTTACCAACAGCATAACCCAGGACATAATCCAATGCATCATCTTCGGATACGTCAAGGGCCTGCTTGCCGATGACGATGACGAGCTCGCATTCATAGTCCAGTGACTGGCCGGTCTGTGCCCTAGCGGGAATGGGGATAGGATCGGATGGCCCTGAGAGCGATGACTTGGGTTTGTACTAGTTGAAGTATAAGTTTCCAGATCATGAGCTTCTCGTTAGGATCACTTACAAAAAGGACGGGAAATTTGGGAATAGGCATCTTGGTCTAGATAAAATTCATCAGATACAGAACTTTCCACACGGACGTCGTGTGCTCACCTCAATAGCATGCTGCGTGTAGTTCAAGCCAAGGCATCTCACAGTGCCGACATCCTCTGTTGCTAGTGGAGCGAGAAGAAGACGAATGTCGACAATCTTGTCGGTGACCTCATGCTTCCCAAAAACATCGCCGGTGATGACATGCGCCTTTTTCGCTTTGCCAACATTGGTCTCGCCGTCCGGGAGGATGGCATCACCGTAGTAGATTCGGTCATCTTTGGCAAGAAACCTAACGAGTCTCTAGGATGCATTAGTTAGATGTGGATTCCATTTCAGGTCTGATGAGGGCCTTACCGAGAAGGCTGGCATGTTGAGAATGGTCTTCGGCGGAAGTTGACCGAGGTTTTTTTTTCGGGTACGAGATACGGCTCTGGGGCGCACTTAAAAGGCTGCAGTCGAGCTCCAAATCCTAGAACCGTTTCTTAGGGTTTTCTGCCGATTATTCAGGAGCAATTAGAAGTTAGTTAAGTCTCTTGATTCGTCGACAATGCCATGCAAGGTCGAGGAACCATGACCGGAAGCGGTGACGGGTAGAACGGGTCATGGCGGATGGAGGCGGGGACCCTCCTTCGGCGAAACCTACCGAGATTTCGGAGCATAGTCCGAGCCAATGGCAAGCTTCGTAGCGGTAATCAAGATCAATCTCTCTGGATTCACCACCGAAAATGACATAATGGTTCAACCGAGGACACCGGATAATGGCGGAGATTGATCGACGCCGAACTACTCGGGGCATTGACCGGGCAGAAAGAGCCAGTCATTGAACAGGCGTTATCCACTCATTGTGTTTCCCCAGATTAGGGCCCCATGGGGATGATCTTAGCTCGGGGCAACGGAGGCTGCTGGCCGGACATTTAAGCTTGGAGATGTCCTTGTTTGGGTTTGTCTTGAGTTGGCGGACCTGGCTGGATGTTTATTTGTACTTTTACACCATCATCTTAATTCGCAAGCACGGCCTCTATCTGAACCAGCCCCTGTGCTCTCAGATTCATCAACATGGCCCTCAAAGGAGCTGAAGTCGCTGAGCACAACAACGCCAAGTCGTGCTGGGTCATTGTCCACGGCAAGGTATATGACGTAACAGACTTTCTCCCCGGTAGGCATCATCGAGCCAGATAACGATAATCTTGTGTCCTGACATTTCTTAGAACATCCTGGAGGTTCCAAGATTATTCTCCGATATGCCGTACGAGGCCCATCTTCTCTGTCGAAGGCATTACTAACCTTGCGCTCAGGGCAAAGATGCAACCGATGAATTTGACCCCGTTCATCCTCCCGACACACTCGAGAAATATCTCGACAAGTCGAAACATCTAGGTCCCGTTGACATGTCAACAGTGGAGGAAGAGGCGAAGGAGGAAGACCCAGATGAGGCCGAGCGATTAGAACGTCTCTCCCAAAAGCCACTTCTTTCGCAATGCTATAACCTACTTGATTTTGAGGCTGTGGCGCGACGGGTTATGAAGAAGACGGCCTGGGGTTATTACTCTAGCGGCGCTGATGACGAAATTGTGAGATGCTCCCACCTTACCTGGCTTTTTCAAGCTACTTCTCGGCCATGGACCAGTGCTGACTGCTATTCCTAGACAATGCGAGAGAACCACAGCGCTTTCCATCGCGTCTGGTTCCGTCCTCGAGTTCTCGTCGATGTCGAACAGGTTGATTTTTCGACAACAATGTTGGGAACGAAATGCTCGATTCCTTTCTACGTCACAGCCACAGCACTTGGCAAGCTCGGTCATCCTGAAGGCGAAGTCGTCTTGACCCGAGCCGCTCACAAACACGACGTCATTCAGATGATTCCCACGCTTGCGTCTTGTTCACTTGACGAAATCCTAGATGCGCAACAAGGAGATCAGGTTCAATGGCTACAGCTTTACGTCAACAAGGATCGGGAAATCACAAGGAAAATCATCCAACATGCCGAAAAGAGAGGCTGTAAAGGTCTCTTCATTACGGTCGACGCTCCACAGCTAGGCAGACGAGAGAAGGATATGCGAAGCAAATTCACCGATCCCGGCAGCGATGTTCAAAGTGGGCACGACACCGATAACAGTCAGGGTGCCGCCAGAGCCATTTCCAGCTTCATCGACCCAGCGCTTTCATGGAAGGATATTCCTTGGTTTCAAAGCATCACATCTATGCCCATTGTTCTCAAAGGCGTGCAACGCGTTGAAGATGCCGTCAAGGCTGCTGAGATGGGCGTTCAAGGCATTGTTCTTTCCAACCATGGTGGTCGACAGTTGGACACTGCGCCATCAGCTATTGAAGTTTTGGCTGAAACAATGCCGGTTCTGCGTGAACAAGGTCTTGACTCGAAAATGGAGGTTTTCATCGATGGAGGTATTCGACGAAGCACCGACATCATCAAGGCCCTGTGTCTCGGTGCCAAGGGTGTAGGCATCGGCCGGCCTTTCCTGTACGCCATGAGCTCTTATGGACAGGAGGGTGTGGAGAGGGCTATGCAACTTCTCAAGGACGAGATGGAGATGAACATGAGGCTTATCGGATGTGCAAAGGTAGAGGATCTCAACCCAAGTCTTGTAGACTGCCGGGCCTTGTCATCCCACGCCGGTGGTGTTCCGGCCGACAACTTGTCATCGGCTGTGTATGACCCGTTGGCTGTACCATCGCAAAGGCCCAAGGCTAAGCTATAGATTTTCTCTGGAGGATATTGGAGTTATGGCCAAAGAGTTATTTTCTCGCGCCTTTTCTTTCTCTTGAAGGGCAGTGATAGTTCGAAAAATAGACCAAGTCTCATTCTTAAACGGCATACCATGACAGCTCTTCAACTGCAGATCCCAAGGGAGATAGCAAATTGTTCCTCCAATCTCAGTTAGGCAAGGATCCTTCGAGTCGGCCGAATTAAGGAAGGCACCATCATTGTCTCCAACGTCCTTGTTCCAACTCCCCACGAAACCGACAGGTGGATTATCCTCCGCGCGAGTTCAAGGGTCACTGCACCAACCTCCATCAACAACATACGAACTTCCCGTCACCGCACTTGCCTCATCACTCCCAAGGAAAACAATCACCTTGGCCACCTCCTCCGGCTCCAAATCCCTCTGTAAGCTCTGGCCCCGCATGACCTCCTCCCGATACAGGCGCGTCAGGATCTCTTCCCTCTGTCTCTTCGTAGCGATGGCTCCAGGCATGACACTATTAATCCGGATGTTGAACTGCCCAAATTCCTTGCTCTGCGTGCGTGTGAGGCCCATGATTGCTGCTTTGCAAGCCGCGTAGACTGAGACTCCAGCGGCGGGAATTCGCCAGGAGATGGATCCCAGGTTGATAATACTACCTCCTCCAGCATTCTTCATTGCCGGGATGAAGGCCTGGCTCAGGAAGAAGATGTGTCGGAGGTTGCCGTTGATGTTGATATCCCATGCTTCGGGCGTCACTTGTTCTGTCCCGAGCCTAGCCTTGTTGCCTGCGCCGGCGGCATTGTTGACAAGAACATGTACTGTGCCGTGCTGCTTCAGTATATCTGTGGCGGTAGCTTGTAATTTCCCCAGGTCACAGACGTCGCAGAAGTAAAAGATAGGTGTCTTGATCACAATTCCACTAGAATCGTTGACGTGTGAAACAACACGGTCGATGGTGTCTCCGGCCGACTCCCCAGCGATGTCGAGGAAGATGACCTGGCAGCCTTGGAGAGCAAAGAGTTCGACTGTGGCAGCGCCTATCCCTTCTGCACCGCCCGTGATAACCACAATCTTGTCACGGAGGCTGGGGTAGATGGCATGCGGTCCAGACATGTTGACAGTAATCAGTAACAAAATGCGGAAAGAATATTGAGTTGGATGAATGAGGGCCTGCACTCATCACCAACCCCTCTTTTCATGCTCCTCGTGACAAATCTAGAACAACGTTACAATGTGATGACGTCTACTGTACAAAAGGGGTAAATCGATTGGTGTACAAAAACGCCTTGTCTTCGGGATTTACAAGACATGTGCATCTAGTTACCTTGGCGATATCACGATTGGGGGCAATAATAGGTAGCGAGATGAAGCGACAAGTAAATGGGTTCATAACAAATTTAGTACCCTTTAGGTTAATAAAATTTGCCCAGTTTGGGAGGGAAAGCATATTAGGGCCAGTCTCATGCTATATCAACGATGGCTTACATCAGACTCGGTGTGTTTTTTTGTACACCGAGCCAGCTTTCTTCTGTTAGGAGGCATGCCTATCTTTGAGAATACTATCCCTGAAACAAGGCCGAATCCCCATGTCGCTTCCCCCAGGGTAATCATCTCTCGATCCGGGGTAGCTATGCAAGTCATTGTCGCTACTCTGGACCCATAGAGTAGTTTTACGTAAAAGTCGCCAAGAAAGCAAACTGCCGTGAATATTTGGCGAACTTGAGATCGGCAAAAAAACAAGCGACAACCCCTCTCTCTCGGTGGAGTCGCCCGAACACCATGATAAACACCAAGCGGGGAAGCGGTAACACGCAGTTTAGGCATCGAGGTCACGAAGGAACTGTCGGACAAGAAATACGACATGACGATCCAACTCTGGCGCCTGACAGCTACCCAAGCTCTCGGAAAGATCAGAGCTAAGGACCTCACGATTGAGCAATATGCATCCTCTCTATTAGAACGCATTAAGCACCGCGACGATGACGTTAGAGCCTGGGCATATCTCGACCCAGCCGCCATCTTAGAACAGGCAAGACAGCTCGATAAGGTGCCTTTTGAAAAGAGGGGACCTCTTCATGGCCTGCCAGTGGCAGTCAAGGACATCATCTACACCAAAGGTTGGTGAACTACAAGCTCGGCGCGCCAAGAGCTATTTACTAATGCCAACAGATATGCCAACGGCGCATGGCTCACCGATATATAAAGATCACCTCGTGAAAGTAGATGCCGGCTCTGTCTCGATCCTTCGAAACGCAGGGTGCCTCATATTCGGTCAGTCTCAGCGAGGCCTCCAAACACCATGTTGCTGATAATGGCCAGGCAAGACAACAACAACTGAATTCGCTGCCGTCTTCGCCGGCCCCAAGACCCGAAATGCCCATAGTACCTCACGCACACCAGGTGGCTCCTCTTCTGGATCTGGTGCAGCTGTAGCCGACTTCCAAGTACCCGTCGCTCTTGGGAGTCAGACCATGGGCTCCATTGTGCGTCCAGCCTCCTTTAATGGGACGTACGGCTTCAAGCCGACATGGAACGCTATCACACGAGAGGGGCAGAAGTTTAGTGCCCTCACATTCGACACCATCGGCTTCTTCACTCGCAGTGTTGATGACGTCGAGGCTTTGATGGATCTCTTTGCCGTCCATGATGATGAGGAAAGTGCATTCACTGATGTTAAGGGCTCTCGTATCGCCGTCTGCAGGACGATACAGTGGGGTCTCGCCGGCCAAGGAACCATGAGCGCTATGGAAAAGGCCGTCGAGTTGCTGAAATCCCACGGGGCCCAAGTTGAAGAAATCAGCCTCGGCTCCGAGTTTGATCGTGTTGTCGAATGGCACGGCAAACTCGGCCAGACTGAAGGCGGCACAACTTTCCTTCCAGAGTATCTCTCCGCCAAGCAAGATTTGCACGATCATTTGATCGGATGGGTTGAGAACAGGCAAAATATTACTCACAAGGATCAGCTCGAAGCGTACGACGGTCTCTCAGCCCTACGCCCAAAGTTTGACGCCATCGCGAGTCGTTACGATGCGGTTCTGGCCCCGAGCGTGCTTGACGAAGCACCAGAGGGACTCGATAATACTGGAAGTCCAATTCTTGCTTCGACTTGGACGGTGAGTCAATTGCAACCCGCCAAGACATGACTAATAATGGCAGGCGTTACATTCACCCGTCATCAATATCCCGGGTTTTCGGGGTCCGAACAACATGCCGGTCGGGGTTTCGCTTATCGCACCCCGTTTCAGAGATCGTCACCTCCTCAAGGTGGGCAAAGCAGTCGGCCGTATCTTTGAAGCAGAGGGTGGATGGATTCAAGGATCATAAGATGTGTATAAATTTCGTGTATCTCGTCACAAGATTTGTGCTAGAATAGTAAAAGATGAGCCATTCTACTTGCTATGGCGGTCATCTTCATCCTCGGATGATGACAGCAAGGCCTCCTCATCTCTCCTCCACTCATCCATCTGTATATCTTCCGCCTGTAGTTTTGTGTAGACCGTTTTCGGTTTCCTCAACCTCCTAACGCCAAGTATGATGCCAACCGCAACGGCGGCGAAAGCAGTGATAATCACCCCCACAGAAATCCATTTCCTCCATCCTCTTATGCAACAAGGATACCAATACATATAGATACCCACAGCCCACTCCGTCCAGCTCATTTTCCGTGCTTGATCTCGGACAAGACCTTTCCGCAGCAGGTGCTTGAATCGGGGTCCGTTCGGGCCCGTCTCAAAGCGGTGAACTCCGAAGCGGGGGATGGTTTCTTGGCGAGGATCGGATTGAGGAAACTGGAAATCACCCCAGTGTCCTTTGTATTCAAACCATGAAGTGTGATTGGAGGAAGATCTCGGAGATTGTTGCTTGGGAGGGGCGAGGGGGACAAGAGTGAAGGTGTCGATGTCGAGTTTGTAAAAGTAGGCCGACAAGACGGGATCCCATCTTTTACCTTCGTCGCAGTAGTCGACCAAAGCCGCATTATGTACGGGTGCGCTGAAAGATACGTCAGTATGCAATCGGAGTTGCTGTAAAGAAGATCATACCCAGGCACGGCGTAGTTGGCGTGAGACCCTCGGGCACTGTACACGATGGGCTAGAAAGTTAGCAGGTCGGTCATGAGTTCACATGTTGTGAGTGAACGTACTCTGTCACCAGCTTTAGAAACCGCTCCATCATTCCAATCATAGCCCTCGCCATCGACATGCTGACTGTAATAAATGCCAATGGGCTTGCCGTCTCGAAAGCGGACCATGTTATGCTCCCTTTGGAGGAGGTCAGTCAAGCCCAACTCAGTGATTCCAACGCGACTCACCAGTCTCCAACGTGGTTGCCGAAATGCATGCCTGCGGATGCTTTTTCGCTCGTAACAAGACGATTCAAAGGCTCCAGAACTTGGGTGATGTTGGGTCCTTCGTTGTACGAGTAAAAGTAAAAGTAAAACGCATCCAGGTCAACCTCGTTCTTCTCTACGAGAATGACGGCGCAAGGTGTGGCATTGTGTATCCTGCCAGCATCGTCTGGTGCCTCGCCGAGAATCCATTTGGGGTAAGAAAAAGGATCATCTTGGGAAACCAGGGCAACATCTTCATCTCCGAACTCGTTAAGAGTCCCCAAGTTGCCGAGATTAATTGAAGGGATACCGTCAATTGCATGCCCTTGCACTGTCGGTGTCGTATGTTGAAGATGGGCGAGCAAGTCGCTGGGCATGTACGGATCCTCAGAATGCAGCCAGACAAGAGGCGCTAGAACAGGTCGCTCGTTAGTGAACCGTTGTTCCACGATTCGGACACGACGCGGTCAGCAAGTGTGACATACCGTAGTTAGCCACATAATCCGGACATCGGAGATCCGGCTTTTCCGTCTCGGCTCGGACAAACAAGACCATCAAGAAGAAGAGACACCTCAGTAGCAGCGCCTGGGCTGCCGATTGCCCTGCCATCTCGAAACCCGCCTGATCAGCACTTGCGATGACAAGTTGAGGCTCGAAGGAATAAGCATCAGGGATGCTCAGTCTGAGACAGGTAAAAAGAATGATATCAGAAATGCTTAATCAGCCAACGCAGCGCGCACCCGCGTCGGTCGGTAGCTTCGGCTTCAGGGGGGGCTGGGCTGGACGTTGCTCATTGGCGGTCTCGTGTGAGGCATTTCCAACCAATCAGCCAGGCTCTGTCAGTCGCTGTTGGCTGACGCGGTCCACAAATAGCAGCGTCGATACGAGGTCCTGTTAGTGTGCATAACAAGATGGGATGCCAAAGATGTGAAGGCATTGCTCCTTTATCATCATTGCCGAGGGACTCCGGAAAGTGATATGTCAAGAATTAATTATGACGTACCTAGTCAAAGCTTAACCGAGAATCGGAAGCGCCCACATTCCGCATTTCAGGGCGATCCAGGGACAGATAAAGGGTAGAGCTCAAACGATAACGGCCTTATCCAGGGGGTTCACGGAGATGACCTCACAGCCCGGCAGCGACAGCGAATTTCTTCGAGAGCACATGCTATCTAGCAATACTTTTGTAGACGTAGTATACTATATACATCTTCTATTGTCAATTAGATAACTCTCAAATCTGAAATTATAAGCTTTCTACGAAACCGGAAAAGCCAAGCAATAAATTCCTACCAAAATTCCACACCACAGCTCATTGCCCGTCCAGGGTAGGGTTTTGCATTCCTGTCCGCACACCATCCCAGCACCAACCAACGACACACTCCCTTTATCTAAGCTTTATGTTTTATCATACATGTCAATTTATGTCTTTCTTATAGAGACTTTTTTCCTTCTTGTTTGTGAATATTTATCACCATTAATGCATCTATATCGTGGTCACAGTAAAATTCCTTTGGATAAGTATAGGATATATCTGCCTTGCCTTTTTTATAGTCTTTCTGCTGCCTGCAGTAGAAGGCTCATGGCTAAGTAGGTATTCAACATTGCATGTGGATAATAGGTGAATACTGGTGCTCTTCAATCACAACCAGAACAAAGAATACTCCTTACTATAGCCTACGCTTCATCACAGCCGTCATCACAGCCGTCAGCCATGTACTCTTCGTAGCATCCCCTGTGGGAATAAGCTAGAGATACCGATAGCTGCTGGTTTGTTTCGATCCAATGCTATATACCAGCTATAATCGAGCTAGCAAACTATTTAATATAGGTACAGTAAGTTAGTCTATCACTGCGTAGGTAATCTTAGTCATACATACCCTGGTGTATCCGACGGCAGTGTCGGAAGAACTCTTGTGATACTCAAAGGCACTATCACTGGCATTGACGCCTCCAAAAGAGGTCATCAGCCACAGTAGTGACAGACACAACGGCTCGCGATGCATGGTCGCCTAAGACAAGGCAGAACGACAAGTGTTTGTGTAGTAGTACCAGGAGGTCTGTTTCTCTTGGATTGGTAAATTTGAACTGGAAGAGGGGATGATGGGGAAAGGCGCGGAATGTGTTGGAACGACTCTAATCTTATACATCTCAACATCCAGTGTCAGGCATCTAACCTAGGCATGCATGCATGTTTGAAAGGGCGCGGTGTTTCCATTTCATACCGTGACATTATTATTATAGGCAATGTCGTGTCCATCAGAAAGCCACAAGGCCCTTAATAAGGCTTCTATGAAGTTGAGCTTTATGATGTAATTACTTTAATAGCATACAGAGGTAGAGATACCTAACAAAGGCAAGAACGGCTGTATTACTTATTAAAGAACATTGTAAAAGTAACCCCCTAGATTGATAATATCATCAATAGTAGAATCTTGACTTCTCGACCGCGAGGCATATGAGGCCGAGGCTCTGATAGTAAAGCAGATAGACGTATCATAAATATCAACTTGTCTTATTTCGTTTCGTACTTGTCTTCTAGATCCAGCTTTGCTCTGTTGAAGTTGATCCGCCGTTCTGCTTCCGCAGCCTCAAACTTTTCCTGCCGTCTTGTTTCAGCGGCCTCAAACTCAGCCTTCCATTTAGCCTCGATAGCCTCAAACCTCGCTTTCCATTTTGCTTCGGCGGCCGCGTATCTCATCCTATACTCATCTTCAAACCTTTTACGTGTCTTTTCCTCGATCATAGCGACTAGCTTTGCCTCTTCCTGTCGTTTAGCCTCCTCGGCCTTGCGCATCGCGTCAAATTTGACCCAAGCCTCTGCTTCAGCTCTTGCGCGAGCCTCGGCCTCAACTTTTTGGCGCTCTTCAGCGGCCTTCATCTCGGCTTCGAGTTCTAGTCGACCCCTCTCCTTGGCTCTCCTCATGGCCTCAGCGTGATGCCGATCTCGCTCCTCCTCAGCTTTTTGTTCAGCCTTTATCATTTCATAGGCCGCCTTTGTAGCCTCGCGTCTGGCCCTTTCAATCTGGTTCTTAGCCTCTTCTTTAGCTTCGTCCATAGCCTCCATTCGGCTTTTGAAGGACTCTTCAGCGTCCTTGCGGATCTTAGCCTCGAGCTCTCTCTGCTTCTCAGCAGCTGCGTGTTTCTCCTCCATGGCCTTGAAGGCAGCTATCTCAGCCTCAAGACGAATCTTTTCTGGGTCAGGAGGCGGTGTAGGTGGCTGAGCTGGGGTTTCTGGAGGAGGAGGGGGAGGGGGAGCAGGGTAGTAGCCAGACCCATAAGGCATCATGTCGGGTCCACCTTGGTTTGTTGGAGAGAATGGATTGACTGTATTGGGTTGCCTGGGCGAGTAATTTCCGTAGGGAATCATCTGGCTATTGGCTGGATAGACTGGCATCCAAGAACTGGTTTTGCCATCGCCAAGCCCTGGAGGGCGTCCATACGGCGGACCAAAACTGCTGGGTTCCATGTCGGCGGAGTTGCTGACTTTGGTCGCAGCTCTCGCAGCTTTCGTAGTTCGTATAGCTTCCGGGTTTTGAGGGGATGTAAGGCAATGGCCAAGGTGATGGTGGTCAGACTGTCATGGATGTTAACCTAAAAGGCTGTAGGGCTGCATGATTGTTCATTAATTATACATTTAAGCCAAAAGGTCTTGTGCAATGAAGCCGACGGAGCCATTATTGTGCGATTAAGCCCTTGCAGCCCCCCCCCCCCCCCCCCCCCCCCCCCCTGTCCCACATTAAAATGCTGAAGGTTAACTTGGCATAGCAACTAAACTAACAGTCAAAGAACTAATAGTTATCTCTTCTTGATCCAAAGCCTTAAACGATAGATTGCAAATTCAAACCGCATCTTTTTTTTCTGCAAGTATCATCTTCCAGGTGTCTTCTTCGGAGTATCTCCTATTCCGTTCTGGTTTGCTGCAGGTCAGCATGAAAACCCCGCAGCTGAGACTGTGGAACGACGGCCAGAACACATTGACGAGCCAACATGGATTTAGTCAATGCCTCAGATCCTTCTCACTCCCAACCGGTGCCTCCGTTGCCTTCGTTTGAATCACCATCGGGAACGGAGACTTCAGCTAGCTCCGACATCCACGATGAATCATCTTTAGAATCAGGTCCCTACCGGTACTATGAAACTGCTTCAGAGACAGACGAACCAATCTCACGATTCTCTCGTCCTGCATACCCATACCCTCCTCGCGAACCGCTGTTCTCTCGTCTAGAAACCCCTCCCAACACTACACCATGGCGCTACCCCCCAACATCCTGGGAATTAGAGCTTGAAGGGCTTACACACACCTTGCCCCTCAAGGCTGATAAGGAAGACCAGATTGACGATACCTCCGAGTCCAAGGAATGGCTTGAACCCGAGAGGAATGTGGACGCTAGTTGTTTCACTGAAAGGCTTGTTGTTAATGCCTTGGAGTATTCAATCGACCAGGACAGACTCACCTTGGCCTGCCCTGAGGGTCCCCAGGCCAGAGTTGTTGACCCGAGATCTATTCAGTTGAGATGGTTGTGAGTGAGAATACTTTTTGTCATCCGCATGCGCTCAAGACTGACACGGTATGTCGGCCAACTTAAGACATATCCGAAGGGCCTCGTTGGATCTCACAATTCTCCGGGTTTGTTCCCCCTACCTATATAATTAACCACCCAGGTCCACATGTCGCTGACCTTTGCAGAAATACGTAGTCGACTGCCCCTTCTTGTCGAACGACATGAAGTCTGTCGCAATCCAGGTAATGGCCGAGGTCGATGACAGGTTTTCTAGTAGGTTCGGAAACAGCACCTGCATTCGACCCGGAAGCATCCGCTGTATTGGGTCATATCCCTCCTCTGATGGTGGCCAGCCCAAGAAGACCAAGCCCGTCATCTTTGTCAGTTCTCAATATTTGAAACTCCAGACAGTGGAGGCTCATTCTAAACACAATTATGGCCAATTCCCCCAGCCTCTTCTCCGCTGTCTTTATGGCTATGATGTTGATGCCGGCCGCGAGAACGATCAAGCTGTACGGAAGATGTCCATCAGCTCGAAAGAGGTTCTCCATGTGGGCCAGCTATGGTGCCTCCTCGTTGGCCCTGGTGAGCATATAAAAACCCAGCCATGGCTGTATTTACTGACTCTTTCTAGGTATTCTGATCACCATGTCTCAGCACTCTGCCCATGAGCTGCGCGGTCGGCATATCACGTTAGAATTGGGCGCAAAACCTTTGACCATCCAACTCATTGATGAGGATGGAAGTGTCTGTCAGTTCGTTGTCCAGCGAGATTGCAGTTACGTGGTATGAAGGATTTCTCCTAAACTCTTGACCCATGTTGTGATTAGCATAGGCTTACGAGAGACATACGCAGGAGCTTCTAAGGCGCGCAGTCTTTAGAGCGAAACGACCAGGGGCTGATGCCACAAGATATGATCTCGTGGATAGGAACCGAAATGTCCTAACTGCAAAGAGATGGCTCCAAATCTCGGCGTCAACGACTATTAGCCACTGCGTTATCTATCTCACGGCGAAGAGAGTTTGGAGTCCAGGCCACGTTCCTCCGGGCTACAATTTGCTCACTTCTCCAACGGCTTCCATGCCTTCCCAAAAGCCTTACAAAACTCCACCAAAGCAACACAGGGCCCTCCCAATGGGTAGCAATCCTGCCACTAAAGATAACGAGGACAATGCTGCCTCAAAACAAAAAGAAAACAGAGAAAAAGCGACATCCACGACTCGAAATTCCACTGCTGAATCCGAGCACATTCACTGGATCCCTTTCTTTAGCTGGCTCCCCGAGGGTGGGGCAAGCGGGCAGATCTCGGAAACGGGTGACAAACATTTGTTCAAGGCTCTCGATCAGGTTCAAAAGAAACTTTCTAGCAGCCAAGGGAAGCCGTACTTGGAAGCTTTCCAGTGTACATTTCATGATCTTCTCCATCGACACGGACTTCAGTTCCCAACGGCGGCAAGTTCAGAGAACAGTCCTCTTGCTAAAGGAGGAGAAACACCAAAACCGAGCTCCCCTACCTCTCACTCCAATGGGCCAAAGATAGAAGTTACAAGCTCACCACAGGTTGGGCCCAGTTCAACCTTTGGTAATACGAAGTCTGGAAAAAAAGCGGCTGGATTGTCTAATTATTTGTCACCTACCGTTGAGACAGCATCAATGAACTCTCAGAACAGTGATGATTTATCAGACAGCTCGACAAGGCTGAAGTCCAGGATGAAGCGAGCCTGGACAAGCAAGTCAGATCCGGAAAAGAAAGAACCCAAATATAATCCAGACCGCCAGGCCACCGAGCGTTGCCGGGAACTGAAACAAAAAGTTTTGGAATCCTCTCAGAAGATCCTGGCCTCATTTCTCCCAGACGGAGGCAGATCCCTTGATCATCCTGTCCTTATGCGGCTCTGGGGTTGGGTTGATGCTATCTTCCGGGTGAGTTTGACTTCACGACACAAATTAGAGGGGTGCTAATTGGTGATGTGTTCTAGCAAATATCATGGGCCTACGCGAGTATCCCGCGCAAGTCCTACATAATCCGGGACTTTGATGCCTTGTCCTCGCTTTCTGAGAAGGCTATGGCTCTAGGGCCTACACAAGAGACATGGGCTGATTGCCTCGACTGCCGATCAGAGATGGTTTACGGATCTGCTGCTGAAGCCCTTCAACATCTTTACTCACACCATTCCCGGCGGGTCACATGTAGAAACGAGGGTGCAAGGCCTTTCGACGACCCGTCACTTGTGTGGCTACATCCGACTACTCATGGAGATCAGGATACCATCGGGATCGACCGCATCGAGGAGGGAGTGAACAAATTCTTTCAAGATCTGCTTGACCTAAACTCGACGGTTGAAAAATTGTACCTGTTGGTGGCAAGGGCGTTCAAGACAGACAAGATGCAGAAAACGCCCCCTCATTCACCAAAATTGCGCTCCTTATTTGGAGAATTGGTCTCCTTATATATCCTCAGGGGAAGTCATCTCTCGCTGCTGAACAGGCTTTCGCTCGCCACCACCGGTAAAGACACCATTCGACAGTCAGATCTTATCACTGAGAAAATCACCGACGTTGAGCGTCGAGCGTCTTGGGCATCGAGAAACGCTAAGTCTCTCGCAGAAGATATGAAGAGTGATATTATTGTGCGCACCAACACCACCTCAACAGCCGGGGGCTTAGGTGCCGAGGCGGTTGGCGCCGAGTTCCTCGTCTTGGCTCTCATTCTCAACCTCCAAAGCCGACCACTCAATATAGCCAAGAACATGAAAGATGACAAAGTCAAACCCCACGAAGAGGACATGGAGGTTGTCAGAACCTACCAGGATTACGTGGCTAAGCTGCACATCCAGGCCAACCGGCGGCCACAGAAGCGGCTATTTCTCGACATCAGCGCCGTACAGGAAGAGATAGACGCGCTGCTAGTGATGGGAAATTGCCAGTGGGTGGTCGTCAACAACTTCATGAGATTGATATGGCCGTGGTCATTCCACCTTCCTGAACCGACTCGGATGGACTTGCACCTAATCGAAGACCGTTATGCGAGAACACACATGAATAAACGGGCGATCGTCGACTCTAATCTACTAACTCTCAGGGAGAAAACTACAGCTTTGAAGGAAAATGTCAAGCAGACCGTCGAAGTTCTCGAGGAGAACCATGGAAAAGCCATCCGAGTATTTACCATTGTCACACTCTTTTTCTTGCCGCTGTAAGTTTCCTGGTATAAACAACGCGCCTATTTTGATAACTACTAATCGGTGTATAGGTCTTTCGTCTCGAGCTTCATGGGTATGAACACGATGGATATACGGGACATGGAGTACAATCAGACAATCTATTGGACGGCTGCTGTGCCCGTGACGGCGGGTACTATGGCTTTGGCTCTGATATATGCCTATAGAGGGCAAGAAGTTTCAGACTGGATAGCTTCTAGAATGAGATAGTGATAGGCATCGCCACTCTGTTGATGCTCCCTTGGAACAAGTTCAGGAGATTGGTCATTGCTTCCCGAGGCCAACGGGACCGGATCCAGAGTCAACGACGGGAAGATACGGCACGCCGAAATGCCTGGCCTTATTGACATAGCTTATTTCAACCACATCACGGCTTCTGCCGTTTCTTGGCTGGAGATCGTGGCCTCCAAGCTGAAACATTCACCGTCGTTGAATTGTTCCTATGTTTAGCCACATGGTCTAAATAATTCATCATCATGAGGGCATACGTATGAATCTCTCCCTGTTCCGTTGATTCTCGGAGCTCGGTCACAAGACCCAAGTCTGGACCAACCTTGTTTTGTGAAAGGCGTGTCGAAGACCCCCACCGACTTTATAACCGGACAAGCACACATGCTTTTACACCTTGGTTCTTACTTCTGCTTGACTGATCAAGATTATTGTCGCAAAAACCTGTCAAGATCTTCTCGCAACTTCACCATCTTTAGAGCAATGGCCCCTGCCAACTCTGGTAGCTGCCTCTGTGGGGCATGCGCCTACTCCTACACGGATGAGCCGGCTATGAAGGTAACGCCGCCTCAACTTACGACTCTGTCACTATCTAACGCTTCGCAAGGCTCTCTGCTACTGTAGCACCTGTCGCAAGGTCTCAGGAGGGACAAATACTACCAATTTCATTATCCCAGAGGAAAAGTTCACCCTGAACAGTGGCCAGCCCAAGTCGTTTTCTACCGAGCACGAGACCGGGATGATTCTCAAGCTCTTCTTCTGTCCCGACTGCGGGACGACCATGTGGAAGGAGGCTTCGGCGCCCCAGTTTAAAGGTATGAAAATAGTTCAGGCGGGAACACTGACGGATCCGACCAACTTCACTGGGAAGATTGATGTCGAGCTGTACGCTCCTGAGAGAGCCTCATGGCTGGTTGCTCTTCAGGGCGCAGAGCAGAAGGAGCAGCTTTGATTTGGAGATAGTCCACAGGGGCTGGCTTTTTGTAGGCAAGGCAGGGGAAATTGACATAACCGAACTTGTCCCGCTGTACACGTAGTCTGTGTGAGAAGATCATTGACCTTTAGGAGGCTCAGAGTGAAGAATGTACTACAGCTATTGGTATTGACTGAGCTCTTGTTTCTTCTTTTCTCTTCTAGCTGAAGGTATGGATGAGGAGGCCCAGAGACCGGTCCGGCTCCCCGTGTTTGGTCTCCGCAAGAGCGTGTTTGGATGGTCAGCCAAGGCCAGCCACTGAGGGCCGTGATATGGAATGATGTAAGTCTGACGTGTCACGACTTTGACCGTCCGTTGCATCGCATACCCATGTGAAGACGCTTGAGATTACCGATTAGAGGTCTTGCGTTGTAAGGACACTCGAATGGGCAGATTGGAAGTCGGCGATGCGTCGCAAGCGATAAAGGGGCACAAAGGAGAGATGTTGGCTGGGAGTAGGGCTGTGGGGCACCACGTGATACAGCTTGATGCTGACCAGGATATCAAGCCAATCAGTTTTGGGGTCGCCCATTTTTAACTGGGGAATTCCTTCCCGGCATGTCTTATCGATAAGATCAAGATGGACAAAATGTGCACAATTAGCAGAGCGAGATCGGAGGATGCATAAAACATGCATACTTGATGTCAGTCAAGTCTGGAAGGTCAAGTAGAAGATATAGTGTGAGGCTCGGATGGATGTTTCATGAAGTGTTGTTATGACGAATATAAAGATTAAAATAATACTGCTTTTTCTTAGTCACCCTGCGCCTCTACGCAGTCCCTGTGACGATATCCATCTCCTGAATCGGGACCATCTTTGTCCTGAAAAGGAGTTTATGTCCGACAACAAGAACCACAAACAATATCAAACTGATGTAATTTGTGAAGAACTTGCTGGTGTCCCACTCAATAAACACCTCGAAGCCACTCGTGATAATGATCAGGACAGTGAAGATCAGGCCGTACCAAGATAGGTAGGGTTGGAAGGGTGCTACATATGGCAGACTTGATCGGGGGATCTGATAAAAAGACAGGGCCTTCATGAAACGGATGTGGCACACATTGATGATGGCCCATGCGATAAATCCTGCAACCGACGTGATGCTCAGGAACCAGTTGAACACTACTGTGCCGTCGTTGGACAGGTTCAGGAATGACAGGAATCCGAAGATGGCACAGAACCCGACCGCATAGTAAGGTGTTCCGAAGCGGTTCGTCTTCTTCAAGAAAGCTGGGGCGTGGCCAGAGTCAGCCAAAGAGATGAGAATACGGCTGCTCGAGTAGACATCCGAGTTGGCGGCAGTCAAAACAGCGGTAAGGAGCACCGCGTTGAGGATGGATGGGAGGACTGGAACTCCGGCAAGTTGGGCGACGATGACGAGGGGAGAAGCTGAAGCGTCTTGAGAATCGCTGAGAAGACCCTCATTTGTGTATGGGATATTAAGGCCGAGGAAGAAGACGGTTGAAATGAAGAAGGAGAAGACACCCCAAAAGGTCCAACGCATAGCAGAAGGAATCGTCTTTTGGGGATCCTTGGTTTCTCCAGCTCCGATGGCGACAAGCTCTGAGCCCTGATAACTGAACCCGGCAGTGATCATGACGGACCAGAAGCCGATGAACTTGCCAGTTGCGCCCTCTGCAAGATGTTCAGCAAAGGCACCGGGCGTGCCCCAGTACTTGAAGCCCAGGTAGCCTTGTTGGCCAACACCTGCGTTGACGCAGATGGAAAAGATCACGAAGCCAATGATGGTGATGACTTTGATGCTGGAGAACCACATCTCAAATTCTCCAAACCACCTAACAGGGAGGAAGTTGGCAACAGTGAAGAGAACCCAAAACACAGCAATCCAGATGCCGATGTTCAGGCTGTCGTCCCAGTATTGAATGATGAGACCAGCGGCTGTTAACTCAAGGGCGAATGTGATTGTCCAGCTGAACCAATAAACCCAGCCCATGGCGAAACCAAATGTGGGATCGAGGAAGCGTGTCGCATAAGTTGTGAATGCGCCTGCAACGGGTATGTAGGCAGCCATTTCGCCAAGAGCAACCATGACTGAGAAGAGAAGGCTGCCGACGAAGATGAAGGCGATGAGCAGAGAAACAGGTCCGGCAGTTGCAAGAGCGTTTCCCGTTCCGATGAACAAGCCTGTCCCCACCGCAGCACCGATGGCGATGAATTGGAGATGCCGGCCATGGAGTCCTCTCTCCAGCTGGGTATCATCGGCAGCTTCGAAATCGACAGACTTGGACGATTGTGCCGAGTCCTGGGCCTCTGTCTTGGTCTGAATATCCATGATGGTGGCTGTGGATGACGAAAAGCAAGAAACAAGCCCAGGTCAGAAAGAAGCAAAGAAGGACCCTCTACACCAAATTACTGGTACTGCTACCTCGAACTTTCTAAAAAGGCAGACGCTTGAAGCCATTTTATCTGATCCGATGAGTCAAGTCACCATCCGATTCTCGAACCCTCTTGTCGTGTTAGGGCGAAGATTGGTGGAGTCGCGATGACAAGAGTTGAATAACTGTTATATAATGAATTGCTTTCTGAGACCCTGTTCTCCTCCCCTTTGTACCCCAGAGAATAGGCGGGACCCCACAATGACCCCATGGTTTCTTATCTTTGTTGTTGTGAGGTCTGTGAGATGCCAAGATGATGCGCGTTCTAGCGGTCTTCGAGAAAATCTTGGAGGCTTTTGTGGCTGCGGCTCGCCCTGAGACAGAATGTTATTCAGCATAAAAGCCCAAGAGCGCATGAACTGCACTTTTTCGTGCTTTCAAGTCTTCCGCCCTTGTTGAACAAGGCTTGAGCTCGCTAGTCTTCATACTTGTCGTGCTAAGGCGGATGTACAAGTTGGGCGGAAGTGGGTCTATGGGGATGTCATGTCAACCAAGGGCGGAGGCTAAGATTTCATCTCGCGTGAACACCTTCTCTGCCGAGAATCCTTGCCAAGATTTGCTCGCATGATCTAACGGGTTTGCTGGGTTTAATTGGGGACTTAAACCCGGCGTTGGTAATCATGTCGTTGAACAAGTGGCCGCCGGCCGCCGGCCGCCGAGGGTTGGCCCGATGTAATCCCCCACACTGCTGTTACGCAAGCGGAGTGATCATCTGGAAGAACACATGGTAGATATTACCGGGGTCGGATTTCATCAGAGATCTGATGAATCTCGGATGACATGTTAATTACCCACTTAACTGCCCCTCGCCATTCGGTATTGAAAGGGTTGAGGCCCGACTTCGGACCGTCGGCCACACGACAGAGGCTACTCAATAGATGTTGTGATGACTGCATGGAATATGTGGTACAAGGAGAAGAAATCCTCTAGACCAGGCTCGGTTGAAGACGTCGTGACATACTAAGGCTCTCCATCTACTATCAGTTCATCTACAGAACTCACGGAATAGCACACTAGATCGACGAGGGGAATTCCTTGCGATAACTACCATACCCTATAATATTGTAGCGAGATGCACTACGCATGGCCCAACTGATCACTCAACCAAGTTTAAAGAGGATAAATGAAGAACTTGTTCTCCAGATCAGTCAGATCAAGCATCGAAACGTCAACCTTGACCTTGACCGTCTCATCACCCACCACCTGCTCAACATAGCCCTCTCCATGGTTGCCAATGGCAGCTTGCTCGGCAATCCACTGTCGGCGCTCCTTGTTTCGCTTAACCAAGATGTATCGGATAGCGAGCAGCAGAATAGGCGTCAGCGTGAAACTGGCGACAATCTGCGTGGCCCAGGCACCGTAGTATCGGAACCCTCCAGTTTTCCACAGCTGAGGGGAGATAATGTTGGAGATGCCGTAGAGAATCATGAACATGGCGTTGCGAGTGAGACGCTTGGTGTGGCCGGCACAGCTGGAGGAAAGCCAGCCAAGGGAGATAATCCAGGTCTGCGCGAAGCAGTTGGGAGGGAGGATCAAGCAAGCCAGGAGTGCGATCGTCTTGTGCCAAGGAATCGTCACCATACCAATACTGCTTGCGATGCAGGGAATGCACCAAAGTGCTGCCCACCAGGCGCTGTAGCCGGGGAAGAATCGGATGAGGAGTGAGGCCGTGATACAAGCCAGAATCGCGAAACCACCAGAGGCAACCCAGACTAAAGTAGATCCCAGGGGAGAAACTCCAAGGTCGAGGAAGAGTAGACTCTGTTGGTAGGGGAGGTTGTTGGCCAGCATCAGAGTGAAGCCGGAACCGGCGAATAGCCAAGAAACGGGGTCCTTCAAGGCCTCGTAGAACTGATACTTCTTGAATGTCTTCTGTTCAATAGAGCTTCGAGTAGAGTCGTGGACTCGACGAATGGCGTGAACCTTTTGCTCGGTGCTCAAGAACCAGGCCGTCGCGGGGTTGTTCGGGTACGCGAACCATGTGATGACGGAAAGAACCAGAGAAATACCACCTGTAATGACCATGAAGAACTTCCAGGGGCTAGTGCTGACCTTGCTAAAGAGCAAGCCATAAGAGACCAATCCAGTGAACATGGGCGAGCCGATACACGAGATGTAGAATAACGGCTGCACGTGGAGAAGTTCTTGGGGGGTGAAGAACATGGCCATTGTGATCTCGAGAGCTGGGATAACTGAAGACTCGACGAATCCAAGGAAGAAGCGAAGAGGGATGAGGGCTCCATAACTCTTGGCGACGCAATGCAAGAGGACGACCACGGCCCAGCAAAAGATTGTGCCGGAGATGTAGGTGCGGAGTCGGAGCTTTTGGATAAGGAGTTGTCCAGGCACCTGACCGAGGATGTAACCTTGTACACGATTAGAATCTATCCTGATTGCGAGTTAAGATTTGTTGGGTCAATCTCACCAGTGTAGAAGAGCGAGTTCAAATTGTTATACTCCGCATTGTTAAGGCCGGTATCCTCGAAAAGACCCAGGAGAGTAGCCTGGCCCAGGGTTGACTTGTCCACCTGTTTTATGCATCATCAGTAACTGAATTCAAGCTCGTTCTAGATAGTTGAGATGTGCTTACGTAGAGCATAAAGTCAATGAATGTGACGAGGAGCAAGACGTGGATGTAAAGCTTGCGCTTCAACTTCTTCTCCCCCTCCGGCGTCAGCTCACCAACCTCACTTCCATACTGCTCAATGAGCTCCAAAGTCTCATCAGCAGCCTTGTTGGAAATGACATTCCCATCATGCAGCGAACTGCTAGAGCTCGCATCCACAACTGGGACAGGGTGCTTCTCGTCACTCATCGTGTAGGAATGTTCAAGGCGTTGCTTTCTGGTGGAGAATCTGTCCTGCTGTTGCATTGAACTGGAGATCCATCTCGGCGCGTCTTTGCTTTGTTTTAAATACGGATCTCTTAGAATAAGACTCTGACGTGCTCGGTGAGGTGTTGTCGGCGTCTTCTGTACGAAAGAGGATACGTGAGGAAAAGTTGTCACCGATTCGCCGGCGACCATGAGCCACTTTGGGTTAGTGTGTAGATTTTCTTTAGTGGAATGATCAAGATATCCGTGCGTTCTTCCTCTGGGTCATGGTGTTGCCCGATGTGAACTTGTTGGTTTGCGGTTTCGAACCACACGCGATCGAACTATCGACTGACGGTCGGCCGTTAAGAAACTCTAATAATGAGCGAACCTCGAAGAAGGGTTATAGATCTCTGCCTGGGCCTATTGGCAGTGATCTGGTGATATGAAGTGTTGGTCTGGACATAATGCAATTGCTCGCTCCCCTGAGTATGCTAGCAACCATATTAATACGCCCCTCTCCCTCATAAATATCTATAGTGTTTAACATGAAGCCATTCAAAGAGAAATTTTGACATGTCTCAGCGTGATTCCCCTCTGATCAACTTGAAAATTGTATTTACTGTGGCAAAGGCCGTTGATGCGATGTTGTTCGGAAGCGGCTCCGCCATGCGGCTCCGTAGTGGGTACAACTCGGATCGAAGTGCCGGAGGCGAATGGTTTTCAAGAAAGATAAACTGATAGGAATACTGTAGCTTGTGCTAGTAAGGGTTCCCAGGAAAGGGCGATGGTGCAATCCTGCTTCTAAATGATGACTTGCTGTCTGGTACCTGCAGACGGCGTCTTGCGTTGCTTTATAGCTGTGGTGTCGGGGACCTGGTTCTTTTCTAGGCTAGCTTGCTTTTGACTTGATTCTAGATGTAAAATGTTTTAGTGATGGCAAGGGTTCGGTGACTCAGGAGATGCCGAAGGTGGTTCAAATAAGGGTATGACTGTGTTGTATGACACTACAAATGTGTACCTCTAGTCAAAAATGCCCTTATATCCAAGCCACTTGCACGTGGTAGTTTCTGAGTCCACCATCTCACAACTCGTTAAAACCCTATCACTACCCAGCTTCGGCTCAGCAGCGATGATGATACCATCAGCCAGCGATGCCCTCTTGCCCTGTTCTGAAACCGCCTTGACTTTGTGAAATGTCAGCTCTCCAAAGTCAGGAAAGTAAGCGTCAGGATCTTGAGGCGTCATGAAGCTCTCGACAATCCACTCTGCGTGGTTTGTGCAGAGAGTGCCGTTGGCCGGTGCGGTGAGGTTGATGTCAAATCTGGAATCAAGGTTAGTTTCAGAGGAAGAGTACTATCCAAGGGCCTCTTACCGCTTCTTTTGGGTGAAATTTTCCCAAGTAAATGTCCCCGTAGTGTTGTCCTTTTGTGTCACCGTCATGCGCACATGATCTCCGATATCAGTCAAGATACCCTGGGTGTCATCCAGAAAGATAGGTGGGTTAGGAAACCATTCATAGAAAGCAAAGACACCAAAGTCACCCTCTTTATCGTACAGATAATAGTAACCCCCTTGAATGAGCCCTCCATTGTAGACCCTCGCAGGGTCATCGCACGTGTTTTGGTCACCGCCAATTCCGACCCAGACAGACGAGCTGTAGTATGCGGTGGAGTTGTAACCATAGGGGAATGTGATGTTTGGGATGACCACCTCCGCCGTGACCGAGGCAAAACGGGGCCCAGCGACTTCACCTCCGTTCCAGATGTAACTTGTTCTGTGCTGTACATCTCGAGGGTGCTGCCGAGTCTTGTCGTGGGATTGTAGGCTTCTCGGAATGATGCCCTTGGCCCTCGCTGTGGCAAGGTCTAAGGCAGTGACAAGAGTGCCACCCAGTAAGAGCACGTTAGTGAGAAGCTGGAGTCTCATCGTGTACACAGGCGGATGGATATTGAAAGACGAGTGACCAATGGTTGAAAAGTGTTTGGGTTTCACAAGACTGGGCATTGCCAAGCCTAATGCTGTATATATAGTCATTTCCATCCATGTACAATAAGGACCAACGTCTTCTATGGCATTTTCCCGTCAATTCTTAGCCAGGGGAAAAGTTCCCGCTGTCAACGTTCCGTATGTCACTACCGGTCAAAACCCTGGCCTCGTTCATCTTGAGACAAAAGAACCCTGCAATAATCCCTTAATTTCCATTCATTTGGATTTCTGGGTTAGTCTCGTGGCCCGTGATGGTGTTTAAAGTTCATGGCTAAAACTATCTTGGACTTCAGTTCCAAACCACCGGGTAACCCGGGAGGATGCATCACGCTCGTATTCACTATTACACCTGGCAAACTCAAAGAAATTAGGCATATGGAGTTGTCCCAGAGCATCCGGTACGGGAGATGTCCGCGGATGCCGAAAGCACGGCGAGGAGTAGCAGGGGCAATGCCGTTCTTCGCTAACGTTCTCGCAATACATGATAGTCGACTGAGTGGGTATTGAGAATATAATCGGCGTGTTCTCTCTTATTGTTCCCGCTTACTAACTCCCTGGGTTCTACTCGTCCTACTCCGACATCGCCGGTAACTGCGGTGGGAAATCCATCCACGAGAATGCCATGTCCACCTCTGCCAAAGAGCTCACATTAATTCCACTATCAACGAGAGACAAAGCTGAATCTGATGCCATATCTTTCTCACTGGGCAAGGCCTGGTTAGCCATTGATCGGATGCTATCCGAAACTTCTCGAGCCAGTGCCCAAACCGGATACAATGTCTTTAGTATGCCGAGACTCAAGCACAGACGACTGTGGAACTGGTCGGAGTATCGAGATGGACGCAGGGAAGAAGCGGATAGCTGAACGGTGCAACTGAGAAGCAACCCGTTCAGCATCAAGGGACTATGCTTCAGAGCTGAGGATTCCAGACCGACCAGGTCGATGAAGCGCTTGGCAGCCTCGACTGCTTTAATACCATGCATCGACCTTGAATAGGTCGGCAACAGATCCAAGCTTGACTTTATCCCCGAGGCCGCTGCGATGGCACCTACAAGATCACTTCGGGGAAAGTGGAGGTACATAGTGGTGTACTCGATCAGAACGTGCGCTTGGAGGAGCGTGTGATCCACACCCCCTGTAGAATCCACAGGCTCTGTTTTGCCGGTGCCCAGGTGATGCTGCCAGGCGGCCAAGAGATTGTCGACATTTTGAATCTGATCGCGGTGGACATCATGCGTCGAGGCTATCGATAGCGCACGAGCGAAGAGCTGGGCAGCCTCTATACGATACGCGAAAGACGAAAAGGGGAGGTCGTCGTTGGTATAGATCCTCGACTCGAATTGTTCAAGCGTTGAAGGCTCAAATAACAGCGGTTCCCCCGAGTAGAGAAACTCCTCACATGGAAGAGACATATCTGATTTAACCGAATTGCATCGAAAGTTGGGCTTGTGGTCGAGCGCGGCTATGAAGCCGTCGGTAATGTATAGCTCCCACCATGTCCTTCTAATGCTTTCTTCCACGACAGGGGATCCAGCTGAGTGTGCGACGCTGAATGACTTGCGATGCATGTTCAGCTCTAGGGCAAGAGAAACAGCTTTAGAGAGGCTTGAGCGGGACCTGCCGTATACGCAACGGGCATGAAGGATCATGGAAAAGAGCAGAAGAGCTTGTAAGAGCACAAAGTTGCGCTCTCCTCGGTCCCATGCCTTCTTCAGCGCATCGTCTGCCATGCCTTGCATCGTCTCGCTGCATATCGTCCCGGTATAATGGCAACCGATGAGATGAATGACGAGCTTCATGTAAGATGGGTAATTTTGTGATGTGTAGAGCGCTCGAGGGACCAGGAAAGGATGCGTTGGGAAGAAGTTCGAGTAAAAAAGATTAATGAGAAGAGTGTCGTCCTCTACCGGCTCAGTCTCATCACCAGCGTTCTGCGCGCTTTGTAAAAGACATTCTCCAAGGCTTGGCTCGCTCCATGGATAATCATTGCCATCGACAGAGGGCTGGAAGTCCGTGAGAGCACTATGAGGATCGGCGGAATCCCAGATGATTTGCTCAGGCTCCCGTCGACCCGCTCTCAGAGTTGAATCCGTTGGCGTTCCCGTCGTTGACAGGTCTCCCGGAGAACGCGAAGTAAAATGGTGAAGCTTTCGTCGCTTCATGCCTCGTCGCGATGGCTCATAGCGACATTGCAGTCCCTGAGTCTGGCAGCGCATGCATTGAGGAGACCCGGCGTCGCATTTGACGTGTTTTCGGCGACATTCGGTGCATGCTAGCGCGCTGGGTTTGCTGGAGCCATCTTGAGTTGAGTTTACTATCGGGGATGTCTCGGAATTGGCGCTGTGGAGGGACATTGATGGCAACCAAGATCTAAGAGATCGCTGGAGTATCAACAATTCTCGAAACGAGATTTCCAGTGTCAATTCAATAGGATGCATGCAGAAGAAAGCGCAGCAATTGTCCAGTCTTAACGCCGTCTTATCGAGCGGATGCGACCCTAGAAAGTCGGCTCCGCAAAGGCTGGGTCCAAGATCACGCAATGCTAGTTGATAAGGCGCGATATGGTGTCCTTAAATGCATACTATTCAGCACAGAAAACCTGACAATGAGGAAGAATGTTTGTATTTCTGGCGAAATCGCGCCATGAATATGTACTTGTGAAACCAGCTGCGAATCAGCGTCGCGTCTTCCTTTTCCCAACTGCCTCGCACACAGTGCAAGGGCCCTTCTGCATCAGATGCTCTTTACATGTAAGAGGCATCATAGTAGCCCTTGGAGGCGTAGCTTCCAGTCAAGACAGTCGAGATAGACACTGCCGAAGAAAGCTTAGTGTAGAAGGAAGCTCGCTTGCCCGAAGCTCCAGCACCAGTGTTGCTGTACTCTCCAAAGATGACGTTGCCGGTTCGCTCGTCGCCGCTGTTCCACACCTTCCACCCGGCAGCGTTGATGACGGAGGTCATGCTCGTCTTCTGGAAGACGACGCGGGCATACTCTCTCCAGGGACGGCCGAGGTAGTACGCGCCGTTGGTGACGGAGTTTCCAGAGGCTGCGGCGATGTTGCAGTTGTTGAAGACGTAGTAGGAAGGGTTAGAAGAAGAGTCACGGCCGTTGGCTGATGGTGTTGTTAGTACGCAAGTATTTGTTACTGCTACGTTTCTTGCTTACCGGTGATGTAGCCAATCGACGCGCTGACGACACGAAGGTCGCACTTCTCAAACCAGCTCGAGGCCTTCTGGCCAAAGATAAAGTCAGTGGCACCCTGGATCAGGCACTTCGAGTACAGCTGATAGCCCTCGTTGCTGAGAAGAGTGTCCTGGTATCCGGTGAGGGCACACCCGTAGTATCCGCTATCAGCGTAGGCGCTCAAGGCGACAGCCTGGCTGCCCTTGCCGTACGTATTGGCAACGTTGACATTGTACAACTTGAAGTTGGAAGACTTGACACGGAGAGTGGCACTCTCGTCGTTGTTGAGACCATCAGCCTGACTCTTCTTGGCAGTGATAGTGACCTTGTTGCCGCTGTAGCTGCTAGTGTCGGCAGTGTATCCGTAGATGGTCAGCTGAGCTGAGCGCTTGGGTACGAGAACTTGCTCGTTGTAGGTGCCCTGGTCGATAAAGATGCACTGAGACCCGCTGGCGCTAGTGGAGAGAGCGTTGACGGCAGCTTGGATAGTGCCGTATTGGCCACTAGACGGGGATTTCTTGACAGTCAAACATCCGCTTGGCGCAGAGGTTCGGCTGGCAGCGAAAGCCGCAGTAACAAAATTCAAGGTGGCAAGAAACTTCATCTTGGCTACTGATAGGAAGTCGATAGTAGTCTGATCCAATAACTATTATCAATCAAGTCATCCAGCTCTTTATAACTTCCCATTGCTGTCTTCTAGAAACCCGTCCCATTTACATGCAACGCAACAAACTTTAAACGTGATTGGTGGAGAATGCAATTTCCAGGCGGAATTAATACGAGGTAGCAGTGAGGTTAGCCTCGAAGATCGTTCGGTTCCCCCGGAGCCACGTCTTCCGAGCCTGGTTTCAGACGTTTCAAGTCAATTGCCGGTATCCAGGCATGTTCAATGCATTGAGTTTGCGGGGATGGGGCATGGTTGGTGGATTAATCTGGGGTCATATTCTATTGGAGACGAGGGGGGATGTTCCGCCAAGGATTGGATATATGTGTTTCATGCATCATTCTCCCGTGAAACCGGTTAGTAAGAAGTCAGGCTGAGAACAGCAGTTGAGTTTGGCTGTTTGCCCCTTAATAAGTTGCGGTCTGACACATTGCAGGACAGTTATAGTAAACTCAGTTAAGAGGAGACATAAAGCACAAGCACAAGGCGGTCAACGTGCGATCCAAGCCAATTGCATACTAAGTGTGAAGCGAATTATTCAATACATTAAAGCTAAGCTGCCCCAAGTCTCCAGTGCCGTCATCCGGCTAGGGCTCGATCCAATCATAGCTGTAATTACATACGTGTCGTTCAGCACAAAAGTTTTCCCGCCAAGAGAATGGCAAAGTCCATAAAGCATAAGATTCATAAGAATGTAAAAGAGTTTTTTGTCCCCTGCCTGAGAAAGGCACACACAACTGCAGGGATCACCCCGGGGCAACAAAGAAGAGTCCAAGTGGTAAGAGGGTCAGCAGAAGAAGAAGGGAAGAAGACTGCGACTGCTGGGGTCGCCAGTTGGGCTCATTTCTGGATAGATGGTCAGTAACTGAGTAGACGAGAGAGGAGAAGAGACTTACAGAGAAGAGCAATGGCACCCAGGGCAAGGAGAGCCAGGGCAGGTCGGAGGCTCTGGCCGCCGCTGACAATGACAACATCGTCGTCAGGGTGCTTGCAGACGGTGGGCTCGACCCAGGGGATAACCTCGAAGGGGTTGTAGCCGAGGCAAGAGGTATAGGCAACCTTGCAGTGGTCAATGACGTCGCCGGCCTCATCACAGCACTTCTTGTAGACGGTGGTGCACTCGATGCAGCACTCCTCGGCGGTACCAGTCTTGCCAGTGTTGGGCTTGGTGCCAGTCTGAGAAGTGGGAGGGCCGCTGATGATCTTGCCGTCCTTGTCCTTGCCATCAACAACCTTCTTGGTACCAGTGGTGTCACCGTGCTTGCAGACAGTGGGCTCGACCCAAGGAATAATGTCGAAGGGGTTGTAGCCAAGGCAGGTGGTGTAAGCAACCTTGCAGTGGTCAATAACATCGCCAGCCTCGTCGCAGCACTGCTTGTAGACGGTAGTGCAGGTAACACAGCACTCCTCGGGAGTTCCAGAAGGCTGCTTGGTGGGGGGGCCAACAATGATCTTGCCGTCCTTGCCGCCCTTAGGAGGGTAGGAGTCATGCTTGCAGACAGTAGGCTCAACCCAGGGGATGATATCGAAGGGGTTATATCCGAGGCAGGTAGTATACTCAATCTTGCAGTGATCAATGACATCTCCAGCAGCGTCGCAGCAAGCCTTATAGGTGGTGGTGCAGGTCACGCAGCACTCCTCAGGGGTTCCAACAGGCTGCTTGGTGGGGGGGCCAACAATGATGCCGTCCTTGCCGCCCTTGGGAGGGTAAGGCTTGTCACCGTGCTTGCAGATGTAAGGCTTCTCCCAGGGGACAACATCCCAGGGGTTGTAGCCCAGGCAGACGGTGTACTCGGCCTTACAGTTCTCGATGATGGCACCGTCGGCGGCACAGCAAGAGTCATAGACAGTGGTGCACTGGAGGCAGCACTCCTCAGGGGTTCCGGTGGGCTTAGGGGGCATGGGCTCGTGGTGCTTGCACACGGTAGGCTCGACCCAGGGGATAACATCCCAGGGGTTATAACCCAGGCAAGTGGTATACTCGATCTTGCAGTGGTCGATGACATCGCCAGCAGCGTCACAGCAGGCCTTGTAGGTGGTGGTGCAAGTGACACAGCAGACCTCGGGGGACTCGGTCTTCTTGGGCCCGGGGACGGTGGTCATGCTCTTGGAGCAAGCAGTGGGCTCAACAAAGCCAGTGCCGGCGTAGGGGTTGTAGCCCAGGCACTGAGCGTAGTCAGAAGCGCAAGAAGCGTGGTTGGCACCGGGAGCGGTGTTGCAAGCATCGTGCTTCCTGTTGCAGTCCGCCAGGCAAGGGTCGGTGGGCATCGGCACCGGGGCGACCGAGCTGGTAGGAACAACGGGCTCGGAGGTGGGAACAACGGGCTCAGAGGTAGGAACCGGCTCAGAAGTGGGAACTGGCTCGATGACGGTCTCGACGGGCTCAGTAGTCTGGGCCAGGGCACCAGAGCTAAAAGCCACGGTCACAAGACCGGTGAGGGCGAACGAGTATCTCATCTTGTTGTAGTTGTGTTTTGTTTGTGCTTTCAGACAAGGAGTGACAAAGTGGGATAAAACGAGCAAAAAAACCAAAGTCGAACCTAAACGAGGGGCAGACGCAATCGGCTTGTAAATGAGTGGAAGCTGATTGATGCTGATGAAGAATTACGATTTGAACGGACTATCGCGACCCTTCTTATACTCGGATCTCGCTGGTTGAGGCCGGGCTGTCGACTCCTGTCATCCTATGCCAAGAAAGGGAAGGGCACCTTGGGAATCTGGGGAACATCCCTGGAATTGACAGGATACGATATTTCCCCGGATTAAGATGCCATACCGCCACATAGGGCCAGCCTGGCTCTGCCAGAGGCGCTCGTCTAGACGGTCTCCCTTGAGAATGTCTCGGATTCTGACCACTGGGCTGACCTCGGGTATTGGGATAAGCAATGCAATGCAGCCACAGACAACTTAAGGGATAAGCTAACATGTAAGCATAATGAAAGCTTGAAATGAGAGGTTGGTCTCGTGTCTGTGATAATTTAGCCGTGATACAGTTTCAGGAGTCTGCATATTCAGCTGGGCTGATTAGATTCTCACCGATACGAGTCTGCAGCAGGTAAATAAGGGAGAGACCGAACACAATGTCTCGGACTATCGGGTTAGATCCGAAATCCCATCCAATCGCAATGGCTCCGAGTGTGCCACCTCTCGGCGACATGTCTGCCGACGTCCCATGCCCAGCTTTTCAACGGATTGTAAGGTTATTTCCAACGCAGGGGTTTGGTTGGCGACTGCGACTCTGGGAGAATGATGGCTTTTGAGTCTCCCTGCGTAGGGCAGAAAGGGAGGGGCGTAAATTAGTTGGGCTGAAGTTTTGCTGCACATGATGGTTGTCGATCATCTGAATGGCTTCAACTGGGTTGAGAAGTAAATACCCAGGCTTGCAGAAGAGTCCACAATCGGAATCAGCTCTGAGTTGCTTTTGCTTATTGAAAGAGTGTCTTGTTTCAATGTTTACTTTTCAAATGTGCAGACGTGTCCTCTAGAGAAACCACACCGCTCTTCTTCACAAACACAACGTTTGTGGGCGGTTTTACCCTGGACCAAGCTGCCACTGAAACATGATTAGGCTGAGGGCCCGTTTGTACACGATATACACGTGACGGTTGAGTGTGAACACAAAGATTACTCCGCAATTTCAAGTCACAGCCCATCAACTGCCTAAAGATGCTCTGATCCGTCTCTCTCGTCTTCCAACTCCAGGTTCATTGCCATCATCTACCCGTAAGAAATATTTCGCCCTCCATAATTCCCCTTATCCTGCGTGGATGTGGCGACCTTCGCAAAATAGTCACCCACGTAGCGTCCCCCGCCAAGACTTGTTTTCTTTACGGGCGCGAAGGTCCCTCCAAAGCTCGACTGTAACTGCCTGTTCACGGACTTAGCCCATGATTCCACTTCTTTTAACTGAGCAGCAATATCCCCTATGTCTGCAAATATGTTCTGGCCAACTTTGCGCCCTTCGGCCCAATCCACTCCTCCACCCGGGTTATGGACTGGGTGTTCACCCCCAAATGCCTCGACGATGTTGTCGACCCTGCGCAAAATCTGTTTCATCGCCCTCAACCTGGATTTCCGAGAGAATTGATCATCCCTCACCAGATCCAAAGTTCCGAGATCACCCTTCAGTCCTTCATTCAGCTCAACAGCTTTGGTTTCGATGCCTAGGCGGTACTTGCCAGCCTCAGTGCTTACTGCCCTAGAGAAATTATTGAAGTGCCGGAGGAAGAGGTCCGTCTTGAACGTCAAGCGCTGTTGCACTTCTCTGACTTCGCTGTTCGCATCCTGAGCCTTGGCAATTAGTTTTTTACCATGCTCCCCCATGATGTTCTCCCCGCCTCTGTCAAGAAAGGCGACCGTATCGGCAAAACTTTTATTCATTTCCGCCTTGACATTGGTAGGTAGTGTTGGAGGACGGGATTTTTTGCTGGTCGATCGTGAACGGAAGTGTTTGTTCACGTTCAGACCTTCCAGGCAGGAGGTGCGGTCACGGAGACCTTCTAACATAGCGCTATCCTTCTCTAAACGGCTGTTGAAAGCAGCATGTTCAGCTTTAACTCTGCGTTGTGGAGATCTTCCTCTCTCCAAGCAGCGGCCTGAATGATCATCAAAATTGATAGGGTCATTGTTGACGTATTGGTACAAATTTGGTCCATCAATATCTCCTGAAGGATCAGGTGATGTCCATCGTCCCAGCCAAGGGCAATAGTATCGTGCGCCGCAGTGATAGAGTCCAGTTTCTCTGTCATGTTTGTACCGCTGGAAGCGATACTCGCGAGATGCCTTGACTTCTTGATGCATCGATGAGTAGGTGACTGCACCAAAGGGCGAGTACTCCTCATACGAGATCAGTTGACCCTCATTGTCAAGCTCCATGTTGTCACCAACTTGGTATCGTGGCAACGTTCTTTCGCCAGTCGAGCTCTCTACCAAGGCCAAAAGCTCGTGACCCGTAACATGGGCGATTGTGCGGTGAGAAACGTCGTTTGCGACAAACTTGAGCTGGATTTCAACCCCATCGAGGCAAAGGGTGTCTCTCTCCTTGCGTGTGGGAGACCCAGCTTTGGCAAAACTCTCAGTCACCTTTCGAACTCTCTTTCCAGAATAGTCGTAGACATAGTAGGTTGTCTGAGGGGTGTCGTCCTTGGTACACTGTGTAGAAGACGACCCCAGCAAGTTCTCAGAATTCCAGCTCAGCTGAGAATACTGAGGCAGACTTGTCATACAACCCACCTGGCCCCCATCGCCAGAGTAGCCGCACTCTTCCGACAGGGATCCAGATGTCGTACTGGTCAAGCGGTTGCTCATCTGGACTTCGGAGTCGGTGCTGAAACGGCTCGGAGAATCGTAGAAGTAGCGGCGCGTCCACTGAGAAGCCTTTGGTTGGTTGACAGCAGCATGGGTCATTTTCTCAATGTTTCCCGCGAGATCATACTCATACGACTCGAGATACTGGTAAACCTGTTGGCCGCCGACGGCGCCTTTGGTGGGGTTCATTCCAGTCGTCGCATTGTATGGGTGAAGAATGCCAGTGCTCGGAAGAAGAGCCCTCCCAGACGCGGATGTCAACTGCCCAATCGCGTCGTAGGTGTACTCGCGCTTGGGCTCGATTCTCGTGTTTTGGAAATACTTGGTTTGTTCAGACGCGTCGTAGGTGTAGATGCAGCGGCCCACACAGTCGTAGGCGTGTGTCAGGTCTTCAAGAACAGTTACCCGGCCTCCATCCTTGCAGGTCGTCCTCTGAGAGATGAGCTGCCTTGAAAGCTTGTCGTACCGGAACTCAGTTGAAGTGTTGTTTCCATAGGTCATCTTCAGTGGAAGCCCATCGGCTGAGAACGTGGAGTCTTGGAGATACGCCTGTAGACCCGGAATATCGACGTGCTGATGAGTGACCTGCCTGACTTGACCTGACAGGGTAAACTCCCTCACGGTTCGGTTCCCTGCTGGGTCCTCTTCCTCCAATGTCTGGTCAAAATTGTCAAACTGGGCCTTGTGTATGTATGATTGTGTCTCGCACATGCCATCCAGTAGCGATGGACTTGTGTTCCAGTCCAGCAAGAGTTTGTACTCCTTTGCTGGAGAAAAGGCCTTCTCGATGCAACGCCCACGAATGTCAAAACTATTGTTGGTGTGTTTACCGGATTGATCTTTGATGATCCAGACCTGGCCCTTGAGGTTTCGATCAGATACCTGCGGAGCGTCCTCGCCATAGACAATCTGCACAGTCAACTTGGCAGCCTCTGACCCATGTTGTGTCCAACGGCCCGTCTCTCGTCGTAGAGCATCGTAGGAATGCCGGGAAGAGATTCCACGACTGTTCCATGAGACCAAAGGGCTACCGTTGACATCTTGAAGGGACACGATGTCTCCATCATCCATCCCCTGGACCAGGATTTGGCGGTTGAGTTTGTCGTAGAGACTCACTTCGCACACCCGACCAAGGCTGTCGACGTCTCGAATTTTGTTACCCGAGAAATCATAGTAGAAAGTTCGTGAATGCGCCTTCCCATCTGCGACTTGCACCGTTTTAACTGGGAGCCCACAGCAGCCAAAGTGCGTAGTGGTCGGGTTGGTGCCATACGAGGCGGATTTTACAGCGGCTGTTTGCTGCTGCTTCGTTCCTTGAAGATTAATCCCACGCCAGGAAGGAAGATATCGGGACGAACTGATGCGGCTGAAGAGATGACCGACATCAGCATCTTCATGTGGATTTGCCACCGAGATCATGTCTGTAATACCATAGTCCGTCGTCATCCAGGGTGAGTGAACAGTCTTGGACCACGTGTGATCAGGATGAAGTTGAGCCACTGCACGTCCAACGCCATCACAAAATACAGTTGTCGCGTTTGATGAGATAATTGGCACCGGGGCCAAATTTGGAGTAGATGCGAAGAAAGGGGCGAAGGTCCGCACAACCTGTCCTGTTGCGCCAGATACCGATGCAGCATTGACCAACCACCTCTCATCATTTTTGTTCAGGTCGTTCAGGTGTATCTGCTGGAGAGGTGCTCCATGACCATCAAGATAAGTGACAGACACATGTAGTGTTGGATTCTCAGACCGTCGGAAAGAAAGATCGCGTGATACCTCCAACAGGAACGCGGGAGACGGACTCTCAGGTCTCGAGCTCGTCTGACCAGAGCTCCATGTCTCAAACTGATTGAGGCAGTAAACAGTGCAACTTCCAGATTTGCCAAGGAGCCTCCTGCCTTCCTCTCCACTTGGGTTCGAGAGCACAGCGAGAGCGATGTCTGCAGAAGTTGACACAAGAGGCTCAATGGCATCACCGTCGTCATTATCCTGGGTTTGCACGGCCTTCCCAACCATAGCGACGCCAATAGCGCGACCAAGGCTGTCAAGAGTAACCTGTTGGATGTTGCTGTTGTGATCGATGATTTTGACGGGTTGCAGGTGATGGTAATCATTGCCAAATGAGATGGTGTTCCCAAGAGGATCTCTCACTTCTTCCACCATGAGATAATCCCTGTCCATTTTGACTGTTGATGTGTTTCCAAAGGCGTCAGAAAACAAGGTAGGGGTGTAGAAGGAAGTTCGAGCATTCACAAGCTGATCGTTGTCCGTGGGGGAGAATCGTGCCTGACCGGATGAGGTCCACCAATTTCCCTCTGGGTCATCCTCCAACTGAATGTATCCACCTTGCTTAAGCTGCTCCTCAAGAGAAATCGCGACTCCATGCTCATTCTGATTGTCCTTGAGCTTGGATAGGACGTAAAGTGTCAAAGCGAGTGAGCAGGTTCGATCGAGGAGTGAGTAAGCCTCCAATTGTCCTCCGGGCAGACTCTGGAGCAGCTGACCGTTCTTGAAGTACGTCCGGCTCTCGGATCGCAAAGCCTTATAAGTCGACTCTGTCTTGCTGCAAGGAAGGCCCATGAAGTTGAAGGTACGTACATCGTCGACGTCAACCATGTCTTTGAAGCTGAAGCGCAAAATCTCATAGTCTTGGTGTCTCCATGGAATGGGATTTCGAAAGTAATGCAGCTCATCAACCGAGTTGGTGTACCAAGTCTTGACGAATGAGACATTACCCGCAGCCTGGTTCTTTGCAACTTCTGGGTGGCTGTCGAATAGCGTGAATGAAGATGAGCGCGGGTAAACTATGCTCAGAGACTCTTCGACGGCACCAAACTCGTTGGTCTTGAGAACAATCTCGTGGCTCACGCGGTGGTCATCCTGTTTTCGGTCCAGCACAGTGCTGACAGAAGCCCGTGGCGTGACCTGAAATACCGCATACTTGTTGATCGACCGTGGTTGGATTTGTCGAACATCATAAGACATCTCCTCGACAGAATAGGGCAGGTTTTCTCTCCCACTGTCATCCAGGGAGTACACTTCGGTTCGCACACTAGATCCCTTGAGACAAAAGAGAGCTTGGTCGCGATCTCTATCACTGGTGCCGTGAAGACTTGACGAAACTTGTGAAGGCATGTAAAATCGTGCCTCGTCGACTTTGAGGCTATTGCCAAGGTTGAACCAGGACTTGGTGTAAGTCTTGGGAGTCTCGAGAGTCTCATCCTTCCCAAGGGTGATGACTTCGGATGTCCAAGTCTCAACCATGCCAAACCCTGAGAAAGTCTTCTCGTTCGGGTCGTAGTATCCATCATGGTAGGCGTACTCGGTCATCGCCGAGTTTCCAGTAATCTGGTCGACGACCTTCGTACTGGAAACACACTGCACTGGGAAAGGCAGCTTCGTAGTCCATGGCCGCCCCTTGGCGTGATCCTCAAGGTAGAATCCTGTCGACGGTGCATAGCTCACACTTGTGCTTGCTCCTAAACCATTCGAGTAGCCTTTCAGCAGATGCGGCTTCGTCCCTCCCATCAGATCCAAATATCTGATGTCTGTTTGGCCCGAGACACTTGTGTCTGCCCAGCAGAGACATGCTGTTCCTTGGCCAAGGATATCAAGCATGAAGACAGAATTGGGATCGACTGTCCTGGGCAGCGTGGGAATGAAGGTTCTCCTACTCCAACGGTTCCCTGCGAGGTTGTAGTAGAGGTGTGCGCCGTCATCTAGCAAGAGATAGAGCAGATCAGTGGTTCCGCTGCCATCAACATCTATCAGACGCAAACGAGCTTGGTCAAATTCGAGATTCTCTCCAAAGACTGGGGGACTTCCCATCTCGACGGCGGTGCCAAAAATACCGTGCCCAAGATTTGGCCAGTACGTAATCCTTTCCGCTGATATCTCAACCAAATCTGCTAGGCCATCGCCAGTCATGTCGGCAACATGTGTCTGAGCAATTGGAGTCTGACTCAAGCGTGGTGGGCTACTAGCACTGAAGCTGAATGACCTTTGAGAACCTGAGAACCCTTGCTTTCCCAAATTCTGCTCCCAGGTCAGCTCACCAGACTCGCCAGACGAACGCAAAACATCAGCGTGGCCATCTCCAGTCAGATCGATGGATACCGCCACGTCTGACTGTGCATCGCCCGTTGGAGTCTCTGGAAAGTCAGAGTACTCACTCCATGAGTCCTGGTCCCCCCATTCCCAGTAACCCTGTGGGCGACCGTGAGCGTCAACAGCAACAAAATTCAGATGGCCGTTCTTATCAAGGTCATCAAACCTTCCACTCTTCACCATCTTCAGGGAAGGTTGCTGAATGAGAGCCTGAGGGGACTGAAACACTGTGTCATGATCGAACACTGCGCTGCCAAGGTTGCGTTGGTAGCACATGGTGTCGTCTCCAAGTCTCGTCAACAAGCCCGGAATACCTTCACCGTCGAGGTCAAGCCATTCCGAAACTGAAGAACCCACTCCAGGAATACTGAGCAAGTTTGCTACCTTGGCCTGTGTGGCCTTGAGTTGGCTTGGTCTTGGTGTAGTGGTGTAGTTAAACGTCCAGGCGGGTAAAGACTGGCTGAGGTAAGTTGGGGGGGCATTGTCGCCTCCTGGCTGAGCTGGACTATGGCCCTTCATCACGTATTGATATAGGAAGGTTCCTTGTTCAGTCTCGTTGTAGGTGAGCTCAGTCGAAGATACCAGGCTCTCTGAAACGCCAGTCTCTTCAGGGAAGTGATGAAACATGAGAATTCGTCGGCATAGTCGATATGTGCGAACCTCAAATCCCGAGTGGCCCTGTGAGAAGGCATCTTTTCGTGATAACCAAGGCTGTTCGCCGGAAGTGCTAGGACTCTGGGCCTTGTGCTCGCCATAGTCAAAGACGACTTCAAACGTCCACTCTTGTGGCCACATCAAGTAGTCCCAGTCCTTCAGGTCTCTGCATGGGGTGCGATTGCCGTACCTGATGCGTTTGATGTATCTCTGACGAGATATGACATCAAGAGGGCGGTTCTTCTCCCAGATGGGGAGGATTCCATCTTGCTTAATTCCATCACCGTCCTCCGGCTTGTAAGAGTACTCCATGGCATTTCCACTCCCATCGTAGGATCGACACAACAGCCATGAAAATATACGCTTCACGCTGCCTGAAACATCCGTGATTCTCGAGGAGTCATCCCGGCCGTAGATAGACGTAACATTCTGGGATGAAATTGTCCGCCAGTGCACTTCTACAGGATCCTTAGTATCGGCCCAACGCTCGATCCGAAGGTCTTGTGTATCAACTCGAGGCCGGTAGCTGACGATTTCAAATCCCGGCTCTTGTCTCACATCGATGGATCCGTCACTCTTCAGTCGTGGTACAATATCCATGCCCGAGAAAGTCATGTCATCATCCAATTCACCATAGCGAGGGATTCCCTGGCTCGTCTTTCGACTCACTGCCGGCAAATTCACATCCCAGCCAAAGCCAAATGGCCCATTTCCTGACTCTGAGCTGTAGGACAAGCTCAACTCGGGACCAAATCCGCCTCTAGCTGGGGAGGTCTGGATGGGAAGGGAAAGGGAAAGCGTGCCATTGACCGGGATGATCGAGAAGTTCTCACTAATGGGCCGAAATGCACCTCCTCCTTTCCCGGAGACGTTGAACGAGGTGCGAAAGCCAGGTACCCCGTCACCGACTTTCAGATGTTGTTTCTCCCCGCCAAGCTTGGCAATGGTATTGAAAGACTTGTTTCCAAAGGCACTACCAGGGGTGGAAGCTGGCCCAGCGGTGAGATTTGGTCCGGTGAGGCGCTGAGGCAAGGGGGACACAGTATCGTGGCTGGGAGGAGGCCTCGACGGGCCAACTCCCGTACGTCGTTTGTTGGCTGACAACATCAGATTTAGAGACTGAGAAACTATCGTGAAGCTCAAAGACGAAGCCGAAGATGTTACTATGGAGTGCTCCGTCCATGGCCCAGATTGGGGTTTGCCTCGTGCCACCACTTACCTATCGATGCCTCTCCCCTAGCTTGACTTCACAGTGCGCAGCCAGCGGAGCAGCTCCCATCAGAACGCCACGACGGGATCTAGAACTAGCCCTTCCGGCGCTATTGGAATGTATGTCTTGCCCGTGTCTTAAACCCCGCCCGCTGGATGAAAGTCAGCTGAGAGCTCAAGCCCAATTGAGAAGATGCGCGAGCACATAAGTAGATCTTTTTCGATAGGCACATGCGGGTCGAATAAGAAATCGAGAGTCTAGGCCAGCTGAGTGGGCTATTTACTAATAGTATTAGACCTAGCAATCCTCTGCATCAAGTGGCGTCCCAATGAGCAATAGCGGATAAACATTACCACTATGAAACTATTTAATTATGGGCTTATCCTTCTATTTATTATAATTGCTTATTATTATTATCCCTAAGGCTATTCCCTCTTTCCCTTCTAGGCCGCGATATAGCCTTTCAGATTAGGACTAGCATAGCCGCATAGCTAAAGATTAGCTAGCTATAAGTCTTATATAATTACCCTTAGAGCTATTATATAGGATCCCGCTTAATATACCTCTTTAGCGAGAGAGTATTACCTTTTATTATTTAAGCTATCTATAAATAGCTTCTTTTATATAGAGTCTTTTATTCTAATCTATTAAATCTCTAAGAGGTTATTATACCCCTTTTATACCTTTTAAGGCGCTATTTATAATACCTTTATCTCCTTTAATATATCTTTATTTGCCTTACTTTATAATAGCTTTAGTTCTTATTATTTACTTAGATTATTAAAGACTTATTAGAGAATTTAATTAAAAAAAAAAAAAAATTTTAAATTTAATTTTTCTTATTAATTTTTATTTTATTTTTATAAATATTTTTATTATTATATCTCTTTTATTTATTTATATTATTAAGTTAGCTTATTTTCTTTATAACTTTAATTATATCTTTAATAATTATTTTATTAATAAGGCTTTTTATTTATATTATATTACCTAAATGTATTAAGAATTAATATTTATATATATTATTAATAATAAGTTAAAGACTTATAGTTTTTATAACTAAGGTTATAAGAGATATAATATAATAAATCTTTTTTTTTTTTTTTTATTCTCTATAATTAATTTTATTAGATTTCTTTTAAGCTCTTAGGTATTACTTAGATATATTAAATAACTCTTAAGGACTTTTATATTTAATATAATATTAATAATTAATCTTAGTATTAGATTAATTAGGTTATAATTACTCTAATTAAATATAATTTAACTTAGAATTTTATCTTTAAGTAATTAAATAAGTTTACTTATTAGGCTTTAATTTAAAAGACCTTAAAAGATAAAATAATATTTTAAGAATTAATCTCTTTAAGGTAAATTATAACTTTTCTTATTATATAATTAATTTATAGTCTTTTAGTCTTTTTTTATTTTAATTCTTTATTTAATTTATATTTTTAAATAACATATATAATAAGATTATATCCTAGATAAATATATATCCCAAAAATCCCTTAATCTCTCTCTCTTTTATTTAATTAATTAATTCTTAATTACTAAATATATCTAAATTTAATAGCGAGGGTAATACACTTCTTGCCCTTTAAGCGCTTTAAAATAACCTAAAATTACATATCCGACGCGCTATATTAATCTATAATATTTACCCTAAAAAGCTAGGTCGCCGCTAAAAAGGCATATAATCTCGATGCGATTAGATTCCTAAATTATATAAACTATTTAATCTAGAGGAATAAATTATTATTTAGTTTATTCTTGACCTAGATTCGCGAGGATTTCCCCCGCGACTATATAGTATTAAAGAAATAACTAACCGATTACTTATTAACCGCGATATACTACCTATTAATAAGCGCTAGGCTTCTAATTTCATTAAGTAATACTAAGACCTTAAGATATATTTTTTTTTAGAAATATAATTATTAAAGAGCTAAGTATAAAGATCTAATTATTATCTATAACTAGTTTATACTTATAGCGAATATAATCGCGAAGTATAATATCTAATTAGAAGATATCTATAGCTTTAATAAGACTAACTTTATAATAGGTATAATTTAAAGTAGAATAATTATTATAGGTATAGATAAGTATAGAAAGCTAAAATTAATATAGCCTAGAAACTAGGAATAGATTATAATTATCTAAGTAATTAATATAAAAGGCTAGGCGATTCTATTATTTATTATTAGTATAGGCTAATATTACCTCGCTAATTAATACTAAGAAAGTAACCTCCCGGGCGATTAAGCTATTATAATAACCTAAAATAGCTAGATAGATAATAAGATTAATCTAAAGTAGCTAAAATATTTTAACTAATATATAATTAATTAATTAATTAATTCTTATTATCTCTTAATCCTTAATAGCTATAAAAGTTATTATTCTATTAATTTTAAGAGATATTATTAAAATAATAATATTATTATACTTTATATATTACTTTATTTATCTTATTTATTTTAGCCCCTTAATATTAGGTATTTTAATATACTTAAGAGTACTTATAATTAAGAAATAAAATATCTAATTAGATACTTTATAACCTATGTTTTAAAGATTAAGTTCTTTCTAGCCTTCTATATTATATTTTAGGCTATTATAATAGAAAAAAATATTAAGTTAGCCTTTAGAGGAGCTAGGCTTATTCCTCTTAACCCAGAAAGTATAATCTCGAAGTATAACGATCGTGGGATTCCTAAGGGATAAACCGGTCGTGCTAGGTTTATATTAGCAGAGGAGAATATTATATAGCCTTAAAGGGGTAATATAAATTATATCTAGTAATATACTTAAAGGTATTAAATATAACTAAGTTATATTAATAGCTAAGGTAACTAATATATAAGAAAGTATAAAGAGTATATTTTATATACTTATGGTTAATCTTCTAGACTAATACTCTCTAGGTTCAGTCTAAGATAAAACTAATATTTCCTATATTTAGTCTTTAGACCGATATAGGCGATATTTAGT